GGTCCAGTCTCAGTCCAGACTCCACAGGGGTGCAGGTATTGGATAAGCTTTGTTGATGACTATTCTCGATATAGAATTGTCTACTTGCTGCACAAGAAGTCAGATGCATTTCTGGCTTTCAAGGAGTTCAAGGCCTTTGCTGAGAAACAGACTGGTTTCCCACTTAAGGCACTCAGGGATGACAAAGGGGGGGAGTACATGAGCAAGGAGATGGATGATTTTCTTAAAACCCATGGAATTGCAAGGGAGCATACCACCACAGCCACCCCTCAGCAGAATGGAGTTGCTGAAAGGTCTAATCGAATATTTGATGAGGGGATCACTTCTTTGTTGAATGAGGCTCACCTTCCTGGTTCTTTCTGGGGAGATGCATTGGGAGCCTTCATCCATGTCCTGAATCGTTCTCCATCTTCAGCTGTCAAGGGGGTAACACCATATGAGGCCTGGTTTAAACACAAGCCCTCAGTCTCACATCTTCGTGTCTTTGGCTGCCAAGCTTATGCCCATGTGCAGAAAAACAAACGTAAAAGCTTTGAATCCAAGACCCAGAGATGTATCTTCATTGGTTACCCCTCAGACTTTAAAGGCTGGAAACTCTATGATCCATCCACTCAGAAAACTCTTATTTCAAGGGATGTGATCTTTGATGAACAGACAATGCCTGGAACCAAATCCACCCTTTCTGATACCTCCTATCACCCTCTACCCTTGAACCAAGTGCCAGAGTCAGGGGGAGACAAGTCAACTGCCAATCACTTCACTCCCTTCCTTGATGACATTTCCAACACATTGACTTCTGCCACTGATTCAAATCCACTGCCTTACCATCCTCCTTATCCCTCTCCTTCTCCCACTCCCACTCCCACTCCTTCATCTCCATCACCTCCTCCTTCTGGTGCTCCATCTTCCTCATCTGGCCCTACCAATCTTCGCAGGACTACTCGCTCCAATGCTGGCAAGCCACCTGGTGAGTGGTGGAAGGTTAAGCTTCCTCCACCTGCCAGCAAATGGGAAGCCAGAGAGCCTACACCTGATGTTGAATCCCACTCTGAATCTGAGGATCTCAATGAGGAATCAGAGGATGAACTTGCAATGTCAGTTGGCTTGGCCAAGTACCAGTCCAAGGTGTTGTCAATGGAAGCAATGGTAGAATGGGCTTTTAGGACTTCTCCAACTGAGCCTAGGTCAATGAAGGAGGCTCAGAAAAGAGATGATTGGGACTTATGGTATGAGGCTGCCCTGAAGGAGTACACTCAAATGTTGTCACACAACACTTGGGAGTTGGTTCCCCTGCCAAAGGGAAGGAAACCTGTTGGGTCTAAGTGGGTCTTCAAGATCAAGGAGAATGCAGATGGTTCTATTGAGAGGTATAAGGCTAGGATTGTTGCCCAAGGATTCTCCCAAAAACCCCATCGTGATTACACTGAAACATTTGCCCCAGTCACCAAATTTGCTTCCCTCAGAACCATCCTTGCCATTGCTGCCATAGAAGACTTGGAACTCCACCACATGGATGTGTCTTCAGCCTTTCTCAATGGTGACCTCCAAGAAGACATCTATATGGTCCAGCCTGAAGGATTTGTGGAGCCAGGCAAGGAACACATGGTATGCCACTTGAAGAAGTCACTCTATGGTCTCAAGCAAAGTCCTAGGCAATGGTACCAGAAGTTGCATGAAACTTTCTTGGATTTGGGATTCAAAAGATGTCCAAGTGATAATTCTATCTGGGTTTGGGCCAAGGATAAGGTCAAGGTTATCATTCCTGTCTATGTTGATGATCTCACACTTGCATGCAATAACTTGGATGCTCTCACTGAGCTCAAGTCCAAATTGCAATCCAAGTTTGAAATGAGAGATCTGGGGGAGCTCAAGTACATTCTAGGCCTTGAAGTTCATAGGAATCGCCCTAGCTGCAAGATCTGGCTCTCCCAACACAAACATACCCTTGACATCCTCCATCGCTTCCATCATGAACACTCTAGGCCAATTTCTACCCCTCTTGACCCTTCCATTTCCCTTTCCAAAGTTGAATCCATGTCCCAAGAGGAGAAGGAGTATATGGCTGGTGTACCATACTTGAGTGCTGTTGGAAGCCTCATGTATTTGGCTATTGGGACAAGGCCTGACATTGCTTATGCAGTTGGGCTGCTAAGTCGCTTCAACTCTTGTCCAGCCAAGGTCCACTGGAAGGCCATCCAAAGGGTATTCCAATATCTCAAAGGTAGTTCAGATTTCTGCCTTGAGTTTGGTCCATCCACTGTAGGGGGAGTCAGCCTCTCAGTGTTTTCTGACTCTGACTATGCTGGTGACACTGAGAAAGCAAGATCCACATCTGGCTATGCCTCCTTTATTGGGGCTTCTTGTGTCAACTGGTCAAGTCGTCGTCAGGATGTTGTGGCTAAGTCCACCACAGAGGCAGAGTTAATTGCTGCCAACTCTGGAGCCTCTGATGGGACTTGGTTGACTCACCTACTGGAGGAACTTGGATTCCCTCAAGCCTCACCATTCCCCCTTCAAATTGACAACCAATCATCCATCAAGGTGGCTAAGAATCCAGAGCATCATGGGAAGATGAAGCATCTGGACACAAAATATTATTGGATCAGAGACCAGGTGGATTTGGGGAAGTTGAGGATAGAATGGGTACCATCCAGCAGTAATTGTGCTGATATCCTGACCAAGGCTCTCAGTAAAGATCTCCATCAAGACCAATGCCAATTACTAGGGCTTAGAAGACAAGAGCTAGGTTGAGGGGGAGTGTTGTAGTACATCTACCTCTTGTTTGATTTCCTTTTCTTTTCCTTTTATGTGTCACATGACTGCAGAGATGAACTCTATCTGTTTCTACTCTTGTATAAACATTACAGTTCATCTCAGGCAAGTCTCTCCTGTACTTATCTGTTTCTACTCTTGTATAAACATTACAGTTCATCTCAGAGGTGCCATAACCTGAGTTACAACATAGAGAAGTAAGAAAATAGAGTATTATTTTTCTCAAGCATTTCTGGTTGTCACTCCAGTGCGAAAAAGTGATATACAGTTAAGATTGCCACTGTAGTAAAAGGCAGCAATTAAGGAGAGAAATATTAAGTAGATATTTCAACAGGAGAGCTGGTTAACACTCCAGATTTCAAAGTGTAAACACAAAACAGTTATCTTGCTACTGTTAAAACAAGCAATAAAATAAGACAAAAATAAAACAAACCCAAGGGACACTCCAGACACAATCCAAATTCATTAACTGAATAGAATCTTTGAAACTTCACCAGTAGAAGATTAAATTCAAGTTTAAATCCAAATTAAACAACGCTACACAGAATTACACCTAGACAAATTAAGAAATTTCAATAAAGAAACAGCTCCGCAGGGCTCAGTTTATCTGTAAGTCAATTCCCAGGAACTTTAAAACTAACCCATAAAAATAGAATTAGCCAAAACACTCGGATTGGTACTATATTTACAATAAATAATACTAGTACACTTCCCCATCCTAACTAAAGAACCAGGGAACAGCTTGGTGGTGGTCTCGTTTGAACCTCCCAACTGACCTTCCTTTGTTCTCTCCTTCAACGCTCCCACCCAGGGAGTGCCCACTTCGTCGAGCCCACAGCCCGACAATGTAGCCCAGGCTATGTCATCGCATCTGACGCAGCAATCGGATGTCCAGATGAACAACCTGGAGGAAAACCCTCCTCCGGGGCAATGACTCCACCCTTGAGAAAAGGGAAAGTGACACGGTAATACACCATCGAGGTGCCCATGAAAACACCTTCCCCCAACTCGAGGCCCCGCACACAATACTGCATGCGAGGAACTGCAAGTAACAATTGCGGAAATCTCCACTCCACCAAAAGACCCACATCCACCACCGCTCATGTGTAAACACCACTTACACACGAACCCTCACGGAACAAGTGAGGAACACCAAAGACATACAACCTTTGGGTCGAAATTCATTTTCGACAAACTCCACTATTTTTCTCCCTGCGATACCCATGTATCGCCGTTCACTTCAAAGTAACAGCCCACACTCATTTACTTCTTAAACCCTCCCTCTCTCCTTCACCGACATGTATAAAATCACCCACTTTAAAGAGGCGACAACAAAAAACACTCATTGACAATTCCAAACTCAATGTAAATCAATTATTAAAATTTTGTTTTATTTCACTATCAACCTTGTATGCGTCGCAAATGCAATGCAAGGGGGGAGAATGTCAGGGCAATAGCCCCGAACCCCGAGTCATATGTAAATTAGATACATATAGTCACGTGGGTAAGCGGAAACCTCCGGGTAACTGCTTACACACCACCGCAAAATACACATACTTGTATCACTTACGGCTTTGTGTGCTGAGCTACCCAAAGACCTCACACCTTGTTCCCTTGCTCATTTGCTGTTGCAAGATTCTTGATGGGCACCACATGTCCGGTTCGGTGGAATGTCTGTCAGAAAACAGCAACAGTAGTGAAAGGCATACTTATACTCAAACCATCTCACAGCCCATTCCATTACACTAGTGCCATCATCAATTTACTTGCGGTAACTTTTATGGTACAACACATTGGATGGCCACTGGAATAGGTGGTTGGCAAAGCTGAGGCCGGGTGGGGGCTAGGAGGGTGGGAATCTGGAATGCGGCAATCGCCGATTGAATTACTTAGTATGTATGTCTCCACTAAAACCTGAAATGATACATCGGGTATAGAATCTCCATGTTGATGACCCCTTGTGGTGAGGCCCAGCTGGTTTGATTGCACGTGAGTGTGGGAATCGGATCGAACAACTGCTTGCGTTATCGGCGTATGCCGGGTTGCATCATGATTTCATATCAGTATTGATGATTGTGTCCCGCGTGCAGACCGAAATGCCAATGAAACCAAGATCAACAGTTTCCCTGGGTCAGGGGATGGGTGAGTTGAGCCTGGTCGGTAGTTATATCTAAGAAACGTCCAGGGTTGCCCCTCGTCATCCCTCCTTCCGCTACGCAACCCTCAGCATGGCCATCCAACCTCTCTCGAGCTTGACGACTTCGACACGAAGAATGACTGGTGAAGTTCCTCCGGTCCTCGTAGGAGCATCGACCACAGTCGTGGGTAACAGAGTATATCTTTTTGGCGGTCGTCTCGGCGCAACTCGACGATTGACCTCTGACCTGTACGTCCTCGATCTGCGTACTTCCGAGTGGAAGAATATCACACCCTCGGAGAGTGGCAGCGCTCCGCACGCCCCAGCCCCAAGATACTTCCATAGTGCGGACAGCTGGAACGGTTTTCTTGTTGTATTTGGAGGAGTGGGATACGGCTCGAACAACAATTCCCCCGGCGTACTCAACGATGTACGATTCTTCTCACTTGTACAACACCGATGGATCCCAGCCGCTGAGACAAACCCCCTACCTCCCAATGTGCCACCCCATTCTTCTTGTATTCCTACTCATGACCCACTAATTCCTCGACCGCGTTATGCGCACATCTCCTCAGTCACTGATTCGAGATTGTTCGTTATCGGTGGACAAGACATGCCCTCCCAAGACTGGCTTGATGATATTCATGTCTTTGATCTCTTTCAAAAACGGTGGATCGAGCGGAGAGAGTATCCGCGACATTGTGGGATGTATAGGAGCCTCGCCACCGCGCCGCAAACAGTGATTCGTGACCCTGTTCGCGAAGGGGTTCCAACCAAAACAGATGAGCTTGCATTTTTCCCGGTGGGGAAGGCCACCTCCCCCAGCTACAGCGTGTTACCTCCCCACCCACCGCAAGGAATCTCTGATCGGCTCGTCTTTTGCCCATACTCCGACGTACCATCCTTAGAGCATCCCGCTGAGATTCATTTGTACAGCAACTATAACGTACGCCTTCTGGGACTTGTTTCTGATCATACCATAGTGTAACATTGTCCCCGTAGTTTTCCGATGTTAAGCGCGAACTTGAAGTGTTTACGCCAACCGAGAATTCGTTTTATACCACGGACAGATCCGATATGATGAACGGATCATCCTTCCCACCCGGCCTCCGATTTCCTACTGGAGCGATCCTAGGAAATCACCTCATCATCGCTGGGACTTATCTGTCTCAGTCCTACCAGTGTTATTCCATATGGGCACTTGACCTAAACGAAATGACGTGGTCACGCATTGATACTGGAGCTGTTCTTGCAACTGGTTCCTGGACGCGTGGCATATTGTGGGGGGATGCTAATACGTATGTCATTTTTGGAAATCCTTCGGGGAACATGGTTGAGGACTATAACCATCGCATCCTCAACTGGAGCCATGCTGTGCACGTTGAACTTGAAACATTTGGGATTTATACTTTCCCCACCCTTCAAACCCCTGTCAAAGGCCAAGTTCTTGGCCTTGACGCCTTGGAAGCTGAGCTTTTTGCCGATTTTGAAATCCTTTGCGAAGACGGGAGGAAAATTAAATGCTCTCGTAAACTTGTAGAAGAACGTTGGCCGTGGTTCAAGCGTCAGCGGATCAACTATGTCGAAGCTGCAAAGAAGGTCGTCTCGACGCATATCCTGACCGACATTGAAGATGTTCCTCTCCCAGACTCCTTACCTAATGAACTCTTTGCCAACCCGGAAGACCGACCCGATCCCAGGCTGACACCGAGGATGTTGCGCCTCTCCGAACCGTATCCGATCACGAAGGCGTTGCTGCAGTACTTCTACTCTGGGAGCCTGATCACTCCATTGCAACACGCCCCCCTTGTACTCAGTGCCTTGCTCCTTCTCAGCAACATTTACGAGTTGGCACACTTAGCTAAACTTGTGAAACATGCCATGCATCAGACTCTTTCGCCAGCTACAAGTGTAGATGTGTACGAAGTTGCCACATTGTGCGACTCACAAAATCTACAGATTCGGTCAGTCTCCCATTTCACCATTTTACAGAAATGGATGCACTTTTCTAAACAACTTGCTGTAGGGCTTTGCGCATGGTGCTGGGTTCGAACAGGAATGTGACTCAGCAAAGTGGGCAGGACTACTTGCGGTCTTACGCCGCACGATTGAAGTTCACGTCTCAGGACAACATACAAACAATTTTTTACGGAACCAGAACGAATGGACGGTGCACTAGCGCACAGTTAAATCAGGATCGCGAGAAAGAAACGCCAATGCAGAGTTCGAACGCGAACATTACATGCCCGGATGTAATCCATGTCGGAACGAAGGATCCTATGCAGCGATGGAATGACTCTGACACGAGAGGTCTCCCACCAACGGATGCGAAGCTGCCGCCGGCCTCACGCCCAGATTTCCAACTTAAACGGGAAGGTTCATTGATACCCACACGGGTGTCATCATTATCACTGGCGGAGCCTGTGGTGCCTAACCCAATGCACAAGCGAGCGTCGATGAACCCGGCCAACCCAGGTAGTCTAAAACAGCGCCCGAACAAAATCGCCTCCGGGCAACTAACCGATCAGACTAAGATGATAAACTCTTGTGCTCAAATCCGCCAGGATGTGTCTCTGCCACCCTTCCCTCCTTTGGATCGCACTGACCCCCATACCTCCCCCCTCGAATCTCACGCCTCCACGGAGGAGCCACCTCGGTTTCTCCTTATGTCGCCCACTGAATTTCCTCACAACGTATCCTCTTTTGTTCAACCATCTCGCGAAGTCTCTAGGCAGCAGAGTGCTGACACCCTTGGCTTGAGACATTCGGCTAAATCGTCCCGACCGAGATCATTGAGTGACGCAGGTCCCTCACGTCCATACGCTGACGACTCTGTCCAGAGCATCTCATCACTCGCAACTAGCATCGAAAGAACTCGGGACGTCGTCTTTATTGAAACGGACGATGCGGACCCCCCTCGCGCGGGCAAAGTCTCTCTCCCTCCAAAGGCACTCAAGATACTCGGAAATGACGACATTCTGCCAACCCCTGACAGCTTCCTTTCTGATACTCATCCGGATCAACACTACGCAGCAGAAGTTCAGTCTATCTCTGGGACGAGCGGATCCGGTCGGTCAACAACAACCCAAAAGAGCGGGAAATGGAGTCGATTGCTTTCACGATCAACTGATTGGTCTACCCCCGCAAAGAAAAAGAAACCCAAACAAAGCCTATTCAAGGGCTCGTACCTCGCCACAGAGGGTCATTACCAATTCATGTAGGCGGCTGGCGATTCATCCCGAACGTGGCGATGCTGGTGGGGAAAACCACATTCTAAACCACCATTCTTCTTGATCACCTCCCAGGCTATTTTATTATACCTGCCCTCCAAATTCCATGAGTTTTTGTCCAACAAACTAAATTATTGGCAAGCTTTTGCACTCTTCATTCCCTACATTCCTGCGCCCCAAGGTCAGCCCTGTTGATGCTCCGCTCCACGCCCCTCGCACGTTGCCGCGTCTTTTCGGAGCCGCGCCAGCCCGACTGGCTTTGGAAATTGTTACTTATCCAGCGCTCATGCGATTCGCTTATGCATTGCTTTCCCAATCGCTTTGTGACCCGCCTTCCCTCCGTACATACCCTGGCAGAGTATGTCTCCCCCATCACTGACGGCTGCTAACAATGTGCCAAATCTCTCGCAACACCTTATCTACTTATCAGTGTAGTTATATATGCTTGTACATCCTTAACAAGAAAACTTCCCCATGGACTCTACATTGTAGCTCCGTCTTCCGTCCCTCTTCCGGGAGCGTATGTACCCAATATGGATGACTTGGTGTTCGACAACCCGACCTGCCAGCAACACTTGATTAATCAATCGCAGTGTTCCACTGGATCATTGCGTCACAATACTGCTTGAAGCACGAAGCACGAAGCATACAGCATTGCAGAGGCACACGGTCATGGTCCAAGCAACGAAGTGGTACAAGGCGAACATCTCATCAAACAGTGAGAAACGGATCTGGTCAAGAATAATATTCGAAATCTCCGCATACAATATAATGAAGGCCCAATATCTATACTCTTCTAAGGCCTAATCCAAATTGCGACACGAAATGAAAGTCACGTCAATGGCTAAAATAACCCCATCACATTAGAAAAAGATAAGTTCTAGTTGTAATGAATCTATTAAAATCAATCGAATCTGCTATCCTTGAATTCGTGGGGGACGGAGGCCATGTCATGAGATTGATGTGGGTTTCCAAGACTTGGATTTTTCAGGTAAAAGGCAGTCGGGGAGGGACTGGTCTGGTTTGAGCCAGAGACGTTATTCCACGGCATACCTAGAGCGTTAATGTGTCGGAATTCAACGTTGAAATGGGAGGTGGTGGCATTTGGGATCGATGAAGGCTCCGAATACACGACATCGCTTCGATGGCGATGTATCAGCTCGAGATGAGCATTCGGGTCGAAAGTGGTGTGTCCAGTTTCAGATGCATAAGCCTCGGAAAAGCTCATGGCTCCTGGGGAGGAACTCGCATCAAACCCACTACTGTAAATTCCTGACCCGATAGATGATGAGGGGCTATAAAGGTCGTCGTCGAAAAGTGAAATGGAATGAGATTCCTCGTAGGCAATATGACCAGAACCGTGGCTCCCCCTGGCCTCAATGCGATCCCAGGCAGGCAAATCGGTGGCATCCATCATCTCGGAAGGACCGGCTCCCCCAAACCCATACTGAACCGAAACATCACCAAGCAAGCTAGATAGGTTAAGAATCTCTACCAACATGTTAAGACTTTATTAGTGGGACATCCACTTCGCGAAAGACGGAAATCCCATACCATTGGTAGGTCGTTGGCGCACAGCGGCAATCCATGACTTGCAATGCGATCTGGCTTCAGAGAGTTTCGTTTGATCCTTGTTGAGGCAATATTGTGTTACAGGGCAACGATTCATCGACCAGAAAGATGTACCTTGAACCAAGCAGGACGCTTGGGTTGCTTGCGCAAGCACTCCAAGTCAAACTTAACGCACTCTTCGCAGGCACCCGCAGCTGAAACACCTGGGCATTTCTAATCGTAAGAAAAGAGGGGGATAAGCCTCATGGCGATACGCATGAAATAAGAGCAGCGCTTGCCTTCTTGCGAATTCTCTGGCAAGTATAGCAATCAGGCACGTTGGATTGGGGAGAATTCATGTTGGGGTAGCTGGGGAAGGATGGCTGGTTGGAGTGGCCCTCGAAGTCGCGAGACTTTATACACCCTTGACGTGCGTACGATCAATGGACATAATGGAAGACTAAAACACTGCAAAGATGGGCGCGCCTAATTCATTCGGCTACAGTCAATCGTCGCATACAAGCCAAATAAGTTGCACTCTGAAACAGTAACAGTGAAGGGTGTCGAGGAAATTGATGTAACGATTGAAGATGGCCGGACAAAGAACACAAGGTCGATCGATATAGAAGCGATTGATTTTTTCACAGGTCAAATAGAGCGTATAGCGCCTAGGAACGGATGAGCAGCAAATACGAGGAACGCGAGGCAAGATCAACGCCATCATTGCGCATTTGATGACTCGGTATTTATATTAGATCCATTAACCGATTCAACCAACCAAAGTCTGATCCAGACAAGTAAACGCATATGTTTGAATACTAGTACTTGCTGAGCACTGCCAAGTCAATGGCGAAGGCGGATAGGCCGGGACAAAGATCTGAGACGAAGCAGCGCTCCTCAGTCTTAAAGGGAAGTAATGAATCAATTTAGCCGTACCAAAGGATGTCCGATGCCCCGATGCCCTGGATATTAAATAGCCACTCATAACGCTTGGGTTTGACGCCGACAGGCCACCAAGCGAGTTGTTTCTACGCGGAAGAATGAATTTAATGTAGTGCAATCGGATCACCGGAGATGCAGGGTAAGTGGATCCGGAATGCCGAGATACTGATAAGAAATTCGGACAACTCCGCGTAAATCACCCAGAAAAGTCACGTCCGTTGATGCCGTAGGAGATCATTTGGGGTGTTTGTTTCAGCGGCGGGTAGCGATGTTACCAACAGACTCGCGCGCAAATGACTAACGTTGGAGTGTCCAGGCAGATGAAACACTCCATGGGTGTTGTTATGACTGGCCCGATGCACCTACTTAGGCGTAGTGCTCGGCGGCTACACTCGCCCTATAACGAGGGACGAAGGGAAAAACCAAAAGTTATTCTAGATAAGAGGGGCAATGGTCATGAAAGTCATTAGTTGTGTATATGCGGTACTTATAGTACAACAAGGCTATGTTAAGGGTTGGACCGGACGCTGCAGCACAAAATCAGATGCATCGGAGAGGCGGTGTCGGAATGGATGTGGGGCGCATCTGCGCCGCGTGTGGGACATGTTGCCGAAGTGGCATTATGACTTGTAATCCAGCAATGGGACAATGATGTATGAGTGTCTGCGTTCTAAACGGGGCCAAACACCGGCCTAGACAGGATCCCAGCCTCTACCAAACACTCGAGAAATACTCATGGGCAAATAAGGGGACGTACTTGAGAAATCAAAGAAATTTGGAGCCATCAGGTGATTCAGATACCCGCGTTGATCGAAACTGCAAGAGGAGTCGACATCTGTAGGATGTGCCTGAGAAATTAAAGGAAATATCGGACTATTAAATATGATTTGATCATTATATGTCACTGAACGGTGTGGGGGTGATAGCTCAGTTGGTAGAGCGCACGCTTCGCAGGAGTGACTGCGTGAGGCCCAGGGTTCGACTCCCTGTTACTCCATGTTTTGCCGCAAATATATACATAGTGCCATGATATCTGCGCATGCTTCAAAGTGTACCGGCATGATGAACGAGACTTAAACATAATCGACTTGGAATTGTTGGCGACTGACATTTGAAAAGCCATCGGCTAAATGCTGGCTTTCGATCATTGTCTCACTGACACATCACCAGTACCGGGCGTCTGGAAGTGATGTTATTTGAGCGGCACACAATATACATGCGGCGTAATAAGCGTTCGGTTATTTTCAAGTAAGCCGGCGGCCGACCAGACACGAGGACCAGCAGTGAATGACCCCCTGGATTCGCCGGTAGGGAGGGCCACGAATCGTTAGGGACTCCAGACCATCAGCCACACATCAGTCAGCGAGCAATAAGTTTCCAAATGACCCGGCTGACATTAGAACGTCTAATGTCAGTGCAAACGTTCTGTGGGGTGCGGTGGAGTGCGAACGAAACAACGCCAATCAACACTGTCAGGTACTTACAAGGTCGCAAAATGTTTCACCATGCACCCGATCTTACGCGACCCCATGCATCATGGGCTGGAAGATTTCACTCCGATCGTTGGTCCTAAATGCGGTTGGATGCTGATTAGCGCTGGAACGAGCTGGTGCGTGAGCGCCCAACATGTCCCTTTTGAGTTGTCGCATGAATGCGCTCGATCAACGCCATCTGTGGCCAATTAGACACGAATATGTCCTATGTAAGTTTTCCTCATCCTTGTGTCCCAAAGGAATTCTTTAGCGAGCGGCTTGCACATGTTCTCAGGAACATGGTTGATGACTGACGGATGTTCTAATGATCGATCCAACACTGTGACACCATTCATGATTCTGGATCTAGGGTGTCTTTCGAATCATCGTTAACCTCGATCCGGATCAAACAACGCAGATTCCCTGGCCCTGTTGGGACGGATGGAGATACTTATTCTGTCCCCTTGCTAATTTGGTTTGCCATATTTTTCTCTGCCGAATCCCACTGTCTGAAGTCCCTTTGCATCATTAATTCTTGATGTGAACATGATAAGGAGTGCACGCGGGACTCCATTTCGCCCATTTGCCCCCTGCGACACCGCAAGGCACACATTTATTCCCCAGGTCGTCGCTCTACCATCGACTGTGTCTGTGCATGTTGCAGAGCGAGCTGATATTCAGGAGGAACCTGGCCGCCCGTCATTCGTCCGGCTTGCAAGAGAGCAGTGCGATTAGAGCATGGGTCATAGACCATTTTGAGAACACGATTAAAAGATTTGGGTGAAAGGATGTGTATACAGGTTCTAAAGGTGTCTAGTGCAATGGTATGCTGATGTGAAAGATACAATTAGGCGTGATGGTGATGCGGAAGCCACGAGGTCCTCAATTTATTTTGATCAGCTTCACCTCGAATTTTAAAGCGGCATCTCGCGGGATGATGGGCGGAAAGCCCTGTTGGCCGTAACACTGGACCAGGACGAATAAATGAGCGCATCAAACACAAAACTATAAGTGCAATCAGCCACGTACGTATTCAGAAGATGCATGAATGATGGCGCGCTCGCCTAGAGAAAGCCTGGTTATTCCTGCAGCACCCGAATGCATCGTGAGCACAAGCTCCAGCGTGGCATTGATCGACAAACCTTCATCCCAGCACCGTAACACGCTCCCAACACCGATTTGAAACATCATTGGGCCACGCTCGATGGAACTGTCAATCTAATGGTATCCCAGGTGAAAACAGCGGCATGATGCCATGGGAACCTCCATGCTTGCCTGCTGCCCATTCTCGAGACTGCCAACGTACTCGATCGTGACACGGTCTATTGCGTTGAAATACACATGATGCAGAGGGAAAGAATTCGATGTCCTTACCACCAGTCCTTGGGTAGGTCTAGATGACGATTTAGACAACTTGAGCGTAGAACCTTTGTTGCCAACTTACTTTGCCATCTCCGGGGGTGACTTGCGACACGATAAGAGGCATTTTGGATAATAAAGTGTGACGTGGACACGGAATAGATTAAGGCGGGCGAGATTCACGACAGAGACGCGTAAGAGTGAACAGCACAGAAGCGGGGGCGGAAGTCGAGGAGATACTCGGTGCGGGCTCATGAGGCAGCGGTTATATACCTAAGCTGTCGGCGCGGAGAAAAGATGGAAGCCCATTTCAGTTCGAGCTCGGCCATGCGAGACTAGAAAATCAGTGTGCTTGGAAGCCATTTTCACAAGAATATTTATTGCTTTAGCCCCTCATCAGTCTATCATCTCAGAATTACCAAATGGGTCATGGATACCAATTCGGCAGTCACAACCCCCAAATAAACGGAGACAATTCTTTCGCAGCTTGAGCCTTTTTCTTGAATGCATATATCAATCTAGACAGAGCTGAAACAAGAGACTTCAGAAAGGCCGTTCAATCGCTTCCTAGGGTCTCAAGGTCATCCAGCGGGGACGTAAGCGAGTGGCAACAGCGTCAGGTATCTCCGCCGAGCTTTAGTCTCCCGAAGTTGGCATAAAGGCGCATCCTGCATGTAGCCCTCGTGTGGTAAAGCAGGACATGAGAACACGGGATGCCCGATGTGTGCTCGACATCCTGACTATACATTTAGATTTGATACCCCCGATCTGAATTCAATTCGTAATTGCAGGGGATGATGTTGCACAGTGCAGAATTGCTGAGACTCGATAATTAGGAAGTGTGAAGATGGTGAGGTTATGGGGTGCCGAAGCCCCTTTGTCTCCGGCTCGCTATCGCAGGAGTCATAATTCGCACTGAGGATGAGAGACGGAAACTGTGCGAGAAACAGCCTGTGCCACCTGTTGCAGTTTGGTCATGAACCAGATTGAACTCACAGCGGTCGGATTCTGCCGCGTCATGAGTTGCAAATGAGATATGCCACCACTCGGTTCCCACTTTTTTGTCATCGCACATCCGATACGTTCGAACGACACGTAGCGAACAGGCTTCGAGCATCTAGGGAAATGAGTGATACTTCCGCCCCCAATGCAAAACTCGTCGTCACTACCCATAATCAATACCAATCAGAAGTGACTTTGAGGCCTGGGGATGTGAAGTCTTCCCCGCTCGACCAGTTTCGTGATTGGTTCCTAGAAGCGCAGAACAATCCAAGCGTTGCTGAACCCGAGGCTGTTTCGCTATCCACGGCAACACCGTCAGGGGTGCCTTCATCCCGCATGGTCCTCCTCAAACAAGTTGATGATAGAGGGTTCAAGATCTACACGAATTATACATCCAGGAAATCTCAAGAGCTAAAGGCTAATCCTCACGCTTCCCTTAACTTTTATTGGAGGGAACTACATAGACAAGTCCGTGTGGCGGGGCTTGCGGAAATGGTAGATCGGGAAGACAGTGAAGACTATTTCCGATCACGCCCGATAGGCAGTCAGATTGGTGCATGGGCCAGTAGGCAAAGCTCTGTCGTCGGCGAGAATGAGGTGTTGGCACGGTTTTCTCAATTAGTGAAAAGGTTTGACGTGGAGGAAGGACGGGGAACTGTGCCAATGCCGGAATTCTGGGGAGGTTGGAGGATAGTGCCCGAGTAGGTCGACGGATATCAACGCAGATCTACGGCTCACCACTTCATTGTTAGGGAGGTTGAGTTCTGGGCTGGTAAACCTAGCCGGCTCCATGATCGCATTCGTTACCGTCGAGACCAAGGGGACACTTCTCATTGGATTATCGAGAGACTCGCTCCGTAACTTGTACTCGCACCGTCAGGATAACACGTTTGTTGTTGGTGTTGGGCCCAATCATCTTCCAGACACCATCGTCTGGTGATCGGGCGAAATGCCGTGTCGATGTATCGCAACTTGCTGCCTTTGGTAACTCGAATTAGAATACTCTTTGGTCTAACAGGGCAAACCGACCCTGTTTTCCGAAAAGATCGTGGGATTCTGGCAATGTTCTTCACGTTCCTTTTCTCGCTATCTCCGTGCTCTGGCCGAAGGGTACGTTCTGTCGACAGCTAACAGTATCTATACTCAATGCCCTCAGGCGGCATGCACTGTGTGGGACCTGCGAACACGTTGTTGGTCACGCTACTACTTGCACCGAGAATCTGAATGAACCCTCAAGCATCACAGTTGAATAATTGGTGAATCCAATCAGACGACGATTCTAGCAGCTGTATTGCTTTACTGTGGCGACGCTGATTCTGCGTTTCATCGCATCAGAGCGCGGCACCTCCCAACCGTAGGGAGCCCGTCCGCCTTCAATTTCCAATTATCATTCATTTCTCATGCTCCTGAACTACCAAACAAGCGAAATTTGGACTGAGAGGTAGGGAGTATGCTTTTCTATTGTCCTCCTACACGTGGTTCTGACGACTAGCCCGCCCAGCCATCGCGGGTTCTGCATCAAGTGCATCCACCACCAACCTGTCCGACCTCTCAGGAGGATCATGGTGACTTTCGTCACTTGGGGTAGATAATTTTGCCTCCATTTGTAGCTCCAGCCTTTCTAAACCAGAGATGATAACGTGGGGGATCAATCGTTTCCCACATATACCATCTACCCACCGTGCCATCGCGACGTAGCCGATCAGCTCCATGAGTACTCCGTGGATGCACGAGCAGGTAGCTTTGTTACACACGTCCACACCCCCCAATTCAATCGCTCTCCGCCGATTGTTGGCCGCCTCGTCTATAACTTTGCTCGGTTCCCAACGCATCCGCACCAGCACCGTATCTTCGATGTACCATCACTTCCATCCCTCGGCCAACTCCTTCGGTTCTCCGATCTCCATTATCCCCTTTCCATGGGAGAAATCAAAGCCGTACCTGTTGATCAGTGTTCTATCCAGGTTCCTACATATTGTCCCCGCGGAGACATTTTCTGGAGTAAACCTTTCGGAGTCACAGAACTCTACTCTGGTTCCATAGAAGAGATTTTCCACTTGGAAGAACGCGAAGGCAGCACGGATCACACGTTTTGGCTTGTGGGATTTGCACATAATGTTGGTACGCCAGGCCATCAACTTCGTGCATTCATCTGTTTTGAACAAGGGGAAGTACGTAGCTGTTTGCCCAGATAAATTGCGTGCATTTCCTGTCGACCCGAAGACGTTGGTCCCTGTGCGAGGGCTAAGGCGTGTTCACATGGCTTTTCGAATTAAACTTTCGGCTTGATTATTTATCCTCCGCACCGAGGCTCCGCGAACCCTTGTGACAAAATCAATGACCCGATCATTGAAAATCGTCTACCAAGGGACCTGTAGTCCATAGCAATTGTTGTCTACGCCCCTTCGCCAGTTGCTGAAGTAACAAATCAGATAGTGTGTGGTTCGGAGGTGGATTTTTCTACTTTAAGTTTCGTTGACCAGGCCGGGCCTGGGGCCGATTGTGAGAGCGTAGTAGCTTGGGATTTTTAATGCTGTTAAGCGCTGTGTTGCTGATTAACCCAAGGTGTTGGAGTGAGCTGCTCGTGCGAAGATGGCCTTTAGGTGCATATGATTACGCTTACTCGTCGTACTCGGCGTCACCCACTCGACCGCATACATGTATACAAGCCCTTAAGCCGATCGAGGTTAAAATCCTGATAGACGCCTCACTGATGGCTGCAACTTATTTGCATTCCGGCCGTGCGGACGCACTCAGGCGGACTCGTGTCCTATGCGCGCGCTCTCGTGAACAACTGGAAAATTTCCCGTCAATACAATCATCGTCAACGATCCATCATATCATATGCATCCGGTCCCGAGAAGCTCTTGAGGGTATGAAAAAATCGACTCATGAATATTGTGAACTCTGGATTCCACAGAAATATCACTAGTGGATGTATCGTGAACGTTTTGATGAAGCGAGGTCATTCTGACATGTGACAATGATGGCATGTTTGAATCCCGGAACCCCCCGCGAACTTCACTGCTACATAGCTTCCGTTAAAGAGTACGTAGCCCTCAAGAACTGTATACCTGTACGTTTCAGCATAAAATGCGCTATGGTGCACATGCTACATGATAGCTGGACAGCTTCTGCTCTCATTTTTATTGTTCCACGCAAGTTGGTGGCTGAACACATAGTTCTGCATCTGTATGGAAGGCCATCCTTCTGTAGGTCCAGCGTTCCTGGAACATGCAGTGCATCACGCCGAGGATCGGTTGTACTGATAGTTCCCTTCGTTACGAGTTCTCTCGGAGAAGTACCCTAAGCAGTCACAGTCATTGTTTCAAGCCTACAACGATATTCTGTATGGTAAGCTGGAGCAGATGCATAAGATGCTTGCCCTCACTTATGTCTTCACAGCCCAGCAATGGATTGATGTCGAGGTGAAAGATATTTCTGAAGCTGGAAGAGCCGTAATTTCCGGCAAAATATCTGCAGAAGTGCGTTCACCATCTCCCTGCAGGACCGTCTGACTGTGATCTTTGTGTACGAAGGATATCTCTCGAGTTGTCGTTCCGTGTTCTCTGGCAGAGACGTTTACCATCGATTGGTGCGCTCAATTGATTTCGAATAGGCGGAGGTGCTGATACTGCGACCGGAAGGCTTAAGAAACTTTATATCCACTGCAGCCCTCAGACTAGAGAGTTTTTGTTGGCGATAGTTAGCGATGATTCCTCACTGGTGTATTACAAGATTAGTAAGGGAATTGTCAAGCCCCCGATGTGACCAATCATCCTATGGCAGCCAGTCCTTGTGGCAGCGTGTTTAATTATGTCTGCTCGGTGATCGATTCCTCCCCAGGAAGCATGCTATAGCTTGACTGGTCCTCTCCTCGGGACTCAGTTGCTTTGGCTGCTTCGAGCTCGACTGCTGATTCATACGGCAATGCTGATGCACACGCTGCGCCAAGAACAAATGCAATACCAGAAGCGTACACTGGCAGGGATGTTGATATTGATAGCAATGGGCCACCAATGAGTGGTGCAATCATGCCAGATCTGTGACAATGAGAAGGGTTTGGGTTTGACGTTGGTTAGGGGTACAAAGCTCATAATGAAAGATTGACATACACCCTATTCAAAGCCGAGGCATTGCCGCAAGCTGTCCCACGCACTGCGAGGACCATGGATCGGAATGAACACACCCATTAAATTAGCTCGCTTACCTTCTGTTACGAACATCTCCGGAGTCATTCTGACTCAAAATTAGTCGTGTCATTGCGCTGGCCGAATTACGAAACTCACCCGTATAGAATCGCCCACATAATTGTTGTCGTCAACGATATCCCCATTGATGTGATCACGACAGTGGTCCGAGTATTCACCTCAGTGAACAGCCAACATAATATCGCAGTTGCAAACGTAACGAGGGCCAGGGAGGAACGCTTGCCTAAAGATGAGCGAACCATATATGCGCCAATCTGTACGTGGCGAAGATGAGGGAAAGTAACCAAGGTAACATCAATACTCACAATTGCACCAGGCATACCTCCTGCGGTAAAGACAACGACATCCCATAAAACGGCTTCTCTTGACTCAGATCGGCCGCTTTCAGTGCCTAGCCGCATTTCGACTAGTTTGGGGAAATAAACATTGAACATTGTATATGCTGATGTGGAGAGCATAAGTAATCACGACAAAATCACAACAACAAGGACTGACCTAAGGAGGTGAACATCCATGTCCCCCAAACAAGTAGAGTAGTTCGACGCCACCTATCAGTGAAAAGGATCGAACTTTTTTCTATCCAAGCATTGATGACACTGTAAATATTCGGTGGCAAAAAGCTTTGCGTTTGCTTGAGAAGCTCAGGGGTATGGGCAACACTGAAAGAATATTTGGGATCAGGGCGCTTGGTGGATTGTGATGACTCAACATCCTCATCGACTGCGGAGTAGAGATAGGATGGATGTGGTGAATGCCCAGAGGACGTTGAAAAGATTGATGCCCTCTCATTGGCTGGTTCTGCCCTCAACTCGTCTGAAGGCTTGATATAGGTTCAGCCGCTTGCCGTCTTGAGAGCACGGTCGGAAGTTACGCTTACCACTCGATTAAGACCCTGGGGACTCAACAGCGACTCGTCCACATCGTGCAAGCCAATCTCCAATACATTTCCGTTGACTCTGATGATCTTTTGTAGTACAATGACAGCTTCCTGGGGGCGCCCAGCGTGAACCAAATAACGAGGGGACTCATGGAGAGTGAAGAAGAATAGTCTGGAAGCGAACATGAACGCCGTCTGGATTATCTTATCAATTAGATTGACATCCTGAGTAAAGGTGCAATACTCACCATTATCGTCAAGACGAAGAACAAGTATTTCCATCCCATGTTTTGCTTTGCCACATCACACGGTACTCTCCGCCTTTCATCCCCTAAAAACGACATGCGCTCGGGACACGAATTATTTGGCACCACGAGTATAGCCACCACTGCAGCTACAACACCACCGACGGAGAAAAACACAGACAGCATCGTCAGGAGATATCGCTTCCGCTTCGGCACATTTTCCAGGAAAAGAGTGCCGTCCGTCGGTATGCTTCCCTACGATTGACAGAATGAACAAAGGAATAGGGAGTCTTGGCAAGAAGTGGCCCACAAACCAGTACAACTTACCCCGATCGCGGTCCCAAGAAGGAATAACGATACACAAAGGAGGGAATAAGTCGGAGCGATGCTAACGAGAAATCCGAAAATAGCTGAAAGAACAAGAGTCGCATTGAATGCAAACCGCCTTCCCAAAACATCTGAAGCTGGATATTTGGGCAGGTAAGCAACGAGATAAGTCGATTATTTGTAGAATAAGCTCACAATTTCCCCAGCCCACGGCTCCAATCATCATGCCCCCGAACATGGATGTTGATAACCATCCTATGCGAGAGTTTGAGACGTCAAAATGGTCCTGGACCCGTGGCAATGCTATTGTGACGGCCTCGAGCCACATCTACACGACACAATTAAGATTGTCTCCCTGTAAAAGCATTTCTGCTCACATTATCAGCCAGCCAGCCTGTTCGGCAGAGCGAGTTAGCGACCCGTAGTCCATCTAATGTGCTAAGCGCACGCACCGAAACCACATAATGCGAGAAGCGCCCATTGGTAGTATCCTGCACAAAAAGAGACAGCTGTCATGGACGACGTTCCAATTGTAATCCACGATGATCGCACCCATCCCAATCTTATCAATAGTGACGTCCAAGGCAGTCAGATCTTCGTCGCTGAGCCCCCCGGCCATTCCGAATGGTGACTCAGCGGTACCCCGTGCTGGGAATGCAGTTGTTTCCCAAGCATTCAGGTCAACGGCGTAGCGCCGGACTGGCGGAAGCACTGCCACTCGGTAATACCCTTCGCAGCTTCGGAATCCTTGGCATGCAGGATTGTCGTGTCTGTCAGTCATTTCAATGCTCGACAGCCATAACTACCTCGCCCAGCGGGGCTGGAAAGGGAAAGGTACTGGCCTTCGTCCAGGTGGGATCAGCAAACCCATTACAGTTGTCCAGAAGAAAACGCTTGCAGGCGTTGGAAAAGACAGAGACGAGGCTTTCCCCTTCTGGGAGCACGTTTTCGATGCGTCTATGAAGTCTGTAAATATTAGAATACCCTCCGACACTGATTCAGACTCAGAAGCAGAGGGGAAAAAGGTTTGATCCCCATTATATATGACCCGCTGCCTAATTGATTCGTCCACCACAGGACACAAGGAGTGCAGCACCAGTCTTTCAACGGACTTCTACGGGGATCATATCAAACAGGAGACCCATTAATGGCGCATCTGTCCCCACCAGCACCTCTTCATCTGTAAACCTATCCGCTATTGCCGCAGCCAAGCACGAATCAGCTCGCAGGCAGCTATATTCACTCTTCGTCAGGGGCCCCGTCATTGGTGCAACTGACCCGAGCTCCACTTTTCCCTCAAAATCCGAGATATCCGGTGTCGATATTTGTCCCCCCACCTCTCAGCACCTCTCGCTCACACTTGCCGCTGATGACAACCGAACCACTTTAAAAAATTCTCCCACCCCAAGGGAGTGGACACATAGTACAAACCCGCCATTGTCTCCAGGAGCAGCCCCAATAACCCATATAGACAGACCACCCTCCGAAAATACAGAAGATTTTTGTAGGGGAGCTGAAAAAAGGGCCAAGAAAGAACGTCGCAAATTTGAGAAAAAGAAGCTTAGAAAAAAGGTTCCTCAAGTCCCAGATTGAATTCGGTCAGGCTTTCCGATATTGTCGTCGAGACATAGAATCCCCTAATGAAGAGAAGGGGAAAACGAGATGTACAATCGCTGACAACGATGTTCACTAGTTAGATAATGTTGGTTTTCCGTAATGTACAGGCTCTCCTAATGGAACGGATTAGAAACGAGGTGGGTGCGCTTATTACGTGGACGCAGTACGCAAGGTATGATTGAAAAAGGAGCATCCACAGAGAAGAGAAGAATGAAATGTGCCAATCACATGAAACGAGAACGGGTATGTTGTGTCAATGCGGCAACGATATGACTGTTACTAATGACAGAGAATTACAAGGTAAGTGGTACGGAGTAGGGGCAGTGATCGGCGTACAGAGACTCGATGGGACGTTCATACCGGTGTTTACAAATGCCTGGTTCCGCGCCATGCGCTTTGCAAAGCAATCCTCCGAGCCTACATTCGTCGTAGAAAGCGATGAGCTGGGTTTGTACATATTTTTGGGATATTGCATACCTGATCAAAGGTGATTGCCCCGGAGCTTAATCCAATTTTTTGCACTCCATCATCATCATCGAACGCTACACCAGTTTTCGCGCCATCATCATCGTCCTCATCATCAGAGTCTCCCACTCCTCTCATTCGACCAAAAGAAGAACCAACACGCCCAGATTTCATTGGTGACCCAAAGGTCGGTGCTGAGACGGCGGAACCGAACATTGGATGGGTGGCAGGCTTAGCTTCGAATGTAGCGAAAGTCGATACAACTTTTCGTGGCGGTGAGGCAGATTTGATTGGAGATCTCGTGATGGATGGGTATGAGACTCGAGATGGTGCGTAGCGAGCAGCCAGATACTTCTCCGTGAAACGAGAACCTTTTACCTATTGGAATGTCCAGTAGAGTAGCTGAGTGAGTACAGGCTAGAAAACCGCCAATCACGCACCTTCTGCAATTGAGGACGCGCATCTTTGATAGTAGGTGCATTGGCCCACACTTGGACGTTGTGAATGGCTTCGGGTGTCTCTCGATAGATATTCTCCACCACAAGCTTCTGGGTGCTTTCGTTCCGGAGCAGGAGTTTCTCGTGAAGCTCCTTAGCAACATCATCGACACTCTCATTACCCCCGAGAATGCGGTGGGCGACGGCTTGACCGACTTCTTGAATGATACGCTCCATATCCAAGTTCTCCAGAACACTGCCAATAATGGCATGTGATAAAAGATTCGCAGTCGTAAGGGGTAGCATTAATCCAGATGTTATTCCAGTGAGTGCTTGATAGAAGTCCGTAGCATGCTGCAAATCCAGTGTGTGAAGGAGAGTAGCACAGACTCGAGGGAAACGTGCTTACAGTATATCCACTAAGAGCAGGTTCGCATGCAACAAAGAACTGAGGAAAGAGGTGAATGAGACACAAAATCTCCGAAAATAATGTCTTACTAAAGTAATCCCCCTTGATGCCATTTCTCGCGCAATCTGCAAGGGGTCCAATCCTGGGGAAATGAAAATAAGCTCGTTCCCACTTTCCCCAACCACGGCGCCAACTTACCATCCGGAGAACCATGATCGAACCCTAAGAGGAATGAGACAGTGCATTAAACCATGGACGTCACAAACGAACTTACCATCTCCGTACTCTCCAATTCCATGTGGAGGTGCATCCGCTATCAACACTACCATCTTACTGGCCTCTGGCCTCCAGTCCATATTTAATGCCTCCCCTAACGCCGCCGTAACAGCCTCCGGTCCATCACCACCTCCTGAGGCGAAAAGTGATTTAAGATGCTCATGCACTTTCTTAATATCCGATGAAAAACCAAAATTTCTGGTCACATATGTATGGTCCTGTGGGGGATGGTCCCTAAAGGCGATTAGGCCAACTCGAAGATCCTCTGGATATTGTAATTTGCCAGATTCGAAGATGGTTGCAGCGATCTCTTCAATGTTCTTAGTCGCTGATGATATATATGCGCCTTGACTCCCAGTAGCATCCTGGACGAACACCAGATCACTAGATGTCGAACAGAACACTGGTTAGCTATGTTTGGAGATCATACTCCGGCTGATCGATCGTGGAGTGAGTCATTACCACATACAGGAGCTTCCTCGATCCATAGCCGTAGCGAACACCATTGTCCTCCATCTCCATATCCTCTAAACGCTGCTGGATCGAGTCGATGTTCATAGTGAAGTCGTGCAGTAGAGTCGATTGGCAAGTGACGCTGTTAGTGTTCGGGGTTTAAATTCGGTGTCTCTTGCACCTCACGCCTCCTATCTGGGAGATCAGTATTAGAAACAGGGAGGGCGCCAGTGAACTTCTTTCTTCACGATGCAGCAAAAGCCCGCGGTCGTGCTAGAACCAATCGCTCAGCTGAAGTGGCACGTAAATGTGGTTGCGCGTCAACCAGGAGGTGGCCACGTGCCGGCCGAAAAAAATGTCATTGCCAATGTTATGGACCAAATATGGAGGCCAGCTCTGTGCCATAGTGAGAATAAGGCCTCTATTGACGTAGCATAAGGCTTATGGTCTATAAATCACGGCGTCCGATCACCCAACCAAACCACGACCCTCCGAGAAACCATGAAACTCCCAAGGGACTTGGACCGCGGCGGTATGCAAGGATGCCCAACGTCACCCCAGAAATGATAGCTGTCATTGTTAAATAAGATCTTATTCGCAGGCCAGTGGCCACAATGCCATCCGGTCCGCCAGGCATGGCCGAGAGCCTGAAGAAACACGAATTGTTAGGAAGCAAATGCGAATAAAGATTCAGAGCTTACGGGTGCATTGCAACACCGCACATCGCCTGGAACACGTCTGCTATTTGATTTGTCTTAACGCTAACAGCGACCGGGACCTGAAGAGACAACCTTCGGCAGTACACATCAGGCTGCACCTCATGTCGCTAAATAGAATGGTGAGATCGGATCAGAATGGATCACTGTACTGAGCTTCACCTGCTGAGCAAGGTCCAAATCGGATTTTGTGGCGACGAACATGCTTGGGATGTGATCTAGGTTGTACTGCTGACGTAGATTACTGAGATATGAAAAAGAGTTTGTGTCGCTCGAGTCGTAGACGTATACTATCACATCAGCCAAGTCCAGCTTTTTGGAGTTTCGCAGCGTATCTGCCTCATATAGAGACCCGAATTCTTGAAGCTAAAAATAGAAGTTTGGCATTGCCCAGAAACGAGAGCGATGAGACTCACAACCAAGTATTTCTCCGCACCATTAATCTCAACAGAGTTCACGACACTAATTGGTTTGGTGGTAGGCTCGTAGAATGTTTGGAACCGTTTTCCTTGGAAAGCTCGAAGCAACGAAGTTTTTCCGGAACCAGCTGCACCACAGACATAGCAAAGGAAGACGTTGCGTGTAACTTTCCCTCTCTTGCGCTCTGATTTACGGGGTGTAGTAATCTGTAGAGCTGTAGTAGTAGATGGTGTTGATGTTTTGGATGACGAAGCGGAATTGGGGAAGCTAGTAAGGTAAGGCTGTGTTTGCGGGTAGCCAAGGTATGCGAGATAAGCTAATGTTGTTTTATAATCCAACAGCGTGGTCATGCTAACATAGGTAGTAGTAAGGCGTCGTCCAACATCGCATGTTGCTGGCCATACCTCCACTGTGCGAGCCAGGTCTGCAGAGAGATGGACCCATCATCATCCGTAACAATCCTCTCTGGGAATCGCGGACTTGACCCCCATGGATTTCCGGGAGATGTGCTGAAGAGATCGTCCAATTGGGCCTTGCTCAAACCAGCATGTTCGCGATCGAACTTCTCAAAAATGTCCGTAAAGAACTGATGCCCCAATGTGCTCAATTCAACCGAGCAATCATACGGGACGTCGAACCTAGCTAAGCCATATATAAGTGCAATACCGACAGAAAAGCGTGAATCACCTTGGCGATAGATATGACTCCGTGAGACGTAGATCCTCGGCATATCCAAACTTTCGCAGTACTGTCCAGGTCGTTTCGAGACGTCCTCGCTGTATGAATATCGTATGGAGATATAGAAATCCAATTTCGGTGATACCATCCCCTCTTACACCCGAATCGGCAGGTAGTTCCCGTCGGACTACATCTTTAATGCCCTCGAGTTCTTGCTGCTGAAGGGGAGAACCAAAACAACGAAGCTTGTCAAAAGTCTCGATGAGCCCGTCACCTGCGAGTGCTACACAGCTGCATACCTGGAATTCGTTGAGGTCGTGTGTGTCAAGAACGCCGTCCTTGTCCACGTCAGAAATCTTGAATATCCGTCTGAGAGCCTCTACGCATGCGGGTTTGAGAATCTGATCAAGATGTCTTCAGCTTTTCGAATCAAAGTGAACGGAGAGGATTGACATGTTCACGAGAGTCATACAAAGGCGCCGTTGGATGAAGGACTGCTTGGCGGGCAAAGTAGAATACTTCTGAGACATTGAGTGGAATCTTTGCTGAGCATTCAACACATGTTTCCACTTCCTAATGGGGGGAGAAAGAACCTCACGCACAAGTCAGATAAAACACCTATTTGGACGAACTTTGAACTCATTCATTATTGGCCGTACTTCGCCCTCCAACTCCTCATTAGTAACCTCTCCTCCGCGCAAGTCAATCTTGTTCCCAACTAGGATTACTGGGACCTGGTGAGTACTGTTGAGACAGCATTGTCATAGAGAAGAGTGCAATGACCCACATTTACACCTAATGAGCGGAAGTAAGGCAACCAATATGTGGGTATCCGGTCAAATGAGCCTGGGTTGTCTATTGAGTAGACGATGCAGATCGCATGAGCTTTACGGAGCTCTATTTCAAGATGTGTTCGATTCTGCGGTGCAGCTAACCGACCGTGAATACAATTCGGGTTCAGAGAAATGGGAATTACATGAAGAGTCGACAATGTATGTCGTCACATTCTCGGGGGTGACCTCAGGGGGTATAGTCACTTCTGGTACTACATCTTGAACCTTGATTTTGTGAATAAGTCCAGAATATACGCATATTCGGCTCACTTGTGGCAAAAAGGCCTCCTTGATGAGAGAAGTGACAATGGTGCTCTTTCCGACGTCCTCTTTGGCGACTGGGTAAGGCGAGACGAATTGGGCAATTGGACAAACTTCCGGCACCCACCATCTCCCACAAGTAGTATTCGAATATCACGACGCATATTTGGTCATTACGAAGTTTCAGGAGGGTTTTGTTTCGGAAGTTTGAACGGCAAGCAGAGCAGCCGAAAATACGGAAGCCTCAAGCCCAATGATTCAACGGCCAATTCCGTGCCAACAACTGATGCCCAGAATCATTAGGATGATATATGAACTCTTTGCTCCCTCCCTATTCGCCCTCAGAATCAGGCCATCTACCACTGGTGCATGCTGTATGGAAATTCCCTGGTTCAGAAGTACAATGCATCCGGAGGAAATGTTTACATCGATCTTACTGGTGTTCGGGCAACATACTTCTGCCCTGTTTCAAGAGCGAGGCAGAGTGTAGAAGAACTAGGATAGATGCAACGACGTTGATTCAAGCCAAAAGACCCGGTCAAAACTCACCATGTGCAAGTGATTCTCGACCACTTTTCCAGTTCCGCCGTGGCCGTCGTCACGCAGCCTTCCGCTATTACCCCAGCGTGGAGACGACACGACTAGCATATAACAAGTGCTGTGCAAAGCACCCTCCTAAATATCCCGCGTCTTGAAACAAAGTCCAATCGTCTCAACAGTGACAAACTTCTTTTTGGCGTGTCATGAACAACCCTCATACGCCAAGATGACCGAGGTTGTGGCTGAGCATGGATTAAGGTCCCATGATTCTGTTGTTCCTAGCCGACCATCGCTTGTGGCCATACATCATTACCATCAAGGCCGCAAGGGTGACTCACAAGCCCTCGTCGTCGTCTTCCCGAAACAGCTGCGATCTTCGGTTAGCTCACAGGTGCGCACTTGTATGGGATAAGGAGGAAGGCGCTTGAGGTTCAAAGCGCAAATACAGCAATGATCGACCTGTTGGCTTGCGTAGCTGACAGCGCCGATGAGAGACCTGGAATAGAGGTCGAATTGCGTTTGGAGCTCGCGCACGGCGCATCGGAATTCCACTTAGAGGCTCCCCCATAGCGAAGACAAAATTAAAAGCCACAGGGTGTGTGATAGGTGAAGATGGTCCGTCCATAGCCAGTAACTGCTTTGTATGTCCTGGTTTGAACCAAGGTACGGCGTCAATCAGACACATTGGGGCTGACAAAAGTTGATGACGATGTAACCCATGGAACCGATTCCTGCCAGTCCCAGTTTCGTCCCTTTCCAAGTTCCCCAAACGCGTCTGGAAAGGGGCAAGAGGGAAACATCGACCTTCACGCTGTTTTTCATAGCATTTTGATCCTATGTGCTTAAATGACATTGCCTCGACAATACTAATGCTCCAGGCCAAGACAATTGGCTCTATTCGAGGACAGTTAACAAACGAAAGCAAGAGACTATATAGCTGTGCGAGATTGTGGGTATAGCTACAAGCAGCGATGGAAATAGAGCGAGTTACAGGCAGTCACGTCCTGTTCAATCCACTGGGACAGGCATAATATGATAATTTCGTTACTCGATGCAGATAGAATAGACTCCGATGATTGGTCGATGGTCTGATTTACCCCGCAGTCGTGCCATTTCACAATCATCCAGGGTGCGATAACTCAGGCACGTCACTTCACCCTTCCTTCTTCGGCGCATAGGCGCGATACTGGTGGAAAGACCGGGGACGAGGGGTGAAGGGTTTAGGATAGATGAAGGCAATTGAAGAAACCATCGTCTACCGGGAACCGGCCGGGGAGGTGGAGTGCACTTGGAAGGAATGGAAGCAGAGGGGACTTGCGATACAATTGGCAATGGGGAGGTTGACCTTGGGAGGTTGGCTTGGGGCAAGTTGATAGATGGCTTAGACCGCGATTTTTTCAGGAAAGGCAACGAAGAGGAGGAGAATGAACGCTTCTGCTTGGCATTGGGGGCGTCTTGTGAGGATGGGCTGGATAATTTATATGCTTCAACAGCACCAAGCGAGACAGAACGAGGCACGGGGGTGGTCACAAACTGCGGTGAAGGCATTGCGAAGTAGGGAACGTTGTCCCCGATTGAGATTGGACTTTGAGAAATCCCCGAAGAAAGATGCACTGATTCGAGATTTGTTGGGGTAGATTGAGATCGTTGAGGCGTATGAGTGCTGCTTTCGTATGAGGGCGCAGTTGAGGCACTTGAGTCTTTTCGGCAGCGAGATGTCCTGGTGAATATGGTGTCAATTATCTTGCGACCTACTCGGAAGCCCTTGGGCGCAGTGCGCTGCTGATCAGGGGATTCCTCCTCGGGGTCAGGAACAACTGTGGACTTGTACAATATGCGGTCGCACCTGGAGGTTGGGGATAAATAACGATCTTCCGCTGGACAAGTCCACCTACCAGCTGGGAACCCTCTGCTTGGATGATGTGTCATATACACCAGGCGCAACCTCATCCTTCGCGCCAACAGCTTTCTCCTTTTCTGATCCAGACTGCGAAGTGCCACCGGGCTGTGGCTGTACGGACGACGGACTGCTCTCAAACTTAGGCATTGTCACAGGCGAAGTATCTGTAGGGCCTGCAACTTCAATGGAGGGGAGCCCGGCCGATGACATACATGGCGTCGGCTCTGACGACACATGGTCCAAATGACTGTTCATACACCTTCCTGGTGGACTGCAAGGGGGCGAGCTCTTCGAAGTCAGGCGGCGGGTCCGCGGGCCCCTCCGTGATAATGACGGCGTAGATTTGGAGAATTTGGGAGATTTAGGAGGCTGTGTGTGGCCTGATCCCTGACATGGTTGGTTGGACCGTGAACTGTGGACTGATGCGCCACGCGCACGAGCAACAAGGGCGAGCCACTTCGATTTAGCCTTCCGGGCGGCCTGACTATGCATGATATTGTGGATAGCCGCAGCAGGCCTCGACGAAGGTGACTTGGAATTTGCGACCGCATTGAGGAGAGCCGGTGAGTCCTCTGCATTTGCATCCGCCGCGACAGACTCTGAGTCGGGATCAGTCTCATATTTGCCGGATCCGGAGTATAGTGAGCTGCCAATAACGGAAGAAACAAAGGACAGGTGATCCTCCGCTACCTCGACGCCATCTTGGCTGTCATTAACAGCATTGTCTTCCTGCTCGGACACTTCATCGTAAACATCCAGTTTCCGGAGTTGTTCCCTCGTCTTCTGAATAGCCTTCCGCACGCTCATACGGTGACTCCTATGCCGATGTTGAACGTCATACTTGAAAGTTGGTGGGAAGTTGATGGGCCCCTCGCTGAACCCAGGGAATTGACCATCCTTCATTAGCCCACGGAGCTGGTCAAACTCCAATGCCTGCGCAAATTCTGAATGATGCTGCATGAGTAAGGCAGGCTCGTTGGGACACGCATACTGTATAGGCACCTTTGCGAGAAATTAACCAGTCGGCGTGCAAGCGAGAGATGTCCAAACGAAAATTCAGATCACCGAAGAAGAAGGAATAGTCAAAACGATCTGTTATGTCTGTTGCCCGGTTGTGGCTGAATCATTATCAACTTCTAGGCCAATACAATGATTACACACACCTTCAGCCATCTGCCTTGGGTCGTCGGAACCAAGAAACGCGTCGAGAGACAATTCAGTCTGACCAAAACGACGCTGGATCAATTAGAGTCCCTGATGGTAAAACGTAGATAGGCTTGCCTTAATCTTGGATAAATTGGCCATTCGAAGATCTACCCTTCCCGTGTGTGCAGCGAGATGCGCATTGACGAACAAGAATGTGATGCCCGCAATTTTCAAACTGACACCAACTGTATGTGCAACACATTAGCCTGGTATAATGAACCTGGTTATTCAATTCATGCACGTACCACCGCCTTTGTTGCCAACGCGACCACCAATGAGACCCGCGGTCACAGCATCAGCATCTTTACCTTGAACAATTATAATGTTGGAGTATTTCGTCAACAGATTGCGCAAAGTTAGTTCACCTTGAAGCAAATGTTCCACATCACGATGCACATAAGCAGCTAGATAGATACCCATCATCCGTTCTTTCACAGCGAGGACATAGGACCCGGTGTGCTGATTTGACGCTGCAGATGGAAGGTTTCCTGTTGAGAGTGAAATAAGTGATTTCCAATCGTGAAGACTCACTAGGATGGCTAGTATGGACTGCAGTCGAAGTGAGGAGATGTAGCGGGTGGTTGTGCTTGTGCGGCACCGAATCCGAGGGCGATCTATTCAGTTGGGGAGAAGCAGATTGCGCTACAGTATCTGCCGAGACATTTTCAGTCCGCTCAGTAGGCTGAGACAAGGGTTGCGGCACTTCGCCATTCTGATTCTCCTCTTCCATCGAACCAGATCGTCGGATACCACGGACAAACCAATCTTCCAATATCTGTGTCCAACCCCCGGTTTCGCGTTCTCTGTGGTGTAATATTGTGCTGGATGTGGGCAGATTCCCCGTACTAGGGAAATGACTCATTGTTGGTGAGGCCGGGAGATCTAACAGGAGTGTACTATCGGGGGAATTCTCTAATCTCTTGTACTGGTCGTCGCTTCTCTTGCGCCGGCCAACTTTCTTGTCCTTGTCTTTTTCACGCACGGTCAGGCTGTTACCTGCACCAAATGCCATCGGAAGAAGACCTGTGGCGGAAGGGCATTCTTGACCGGCACTGATCAGAATAGGTCGAATAATTAGCCGCGCGCTTCGCGTTTGGACATGGTGGACGCACACAATTATGATATGACATGGATGTTCCTCCCCTTCTCCGAAGTCCGGAAGTATTCGGGGCGATTCGGAGGCAGTGTATGGGGGAACAGACCCAAGCAGCGCATCAAGCTCACCCTATCACAAAAGGATAAATGCACGTGTGATGAGCTGAATTTGTTGAAACTCACCTTTGGGAGTGATTCGTGCATGTTCCAAGACACGATGCGCAGCTTCAATGTCTTGGAGTGTTTCGTGGCGTTGCCTTGGGATATCGCAATAGATGATGATGGCAGAGTTTCGTTCGCAGTCTTGGAAGGAGGGCCTTCGAAATTGGGAAACAGGGCGTGGAGACGGGCAAAGACTCCTGTTTGTGATTCTGCGAAGTGTTCACGAGAGTCAGGGAGTTGTTTCAACTTCAACCTCTACATCGAAAGGCATAAATTATACGTGCCGCGGGGGTTGATTGATGGATTCGGGATGCTTAAAGGGGCCGCAGGGTTCGCCTCCACAGCTGGAATAGTGTGCTGTTTGGATGTAGTGGAGGTCTCATGGTTGATGGGAGCGAAATTGTTCTTGAAGTGGGAATTTTTGGAAAGTCTAGTATTCTCAGCGGATTTCTGCTTGCTTTGTACGAAAGCCCTCATCTATGGAAATCGGATGCGTGGTCGTCAAGCAAAATCGTCAATCGGTTCTGGAGCAAGATACCACCCACCTTGAAGGCGCTTAGGGGAACGAGTCTTTTAAAGCCCCCTTGATGACATTCCAAGGACCCAGGGGCTACTGACTCGTGTCTTGAAGTGTTCCGCGGAGCTACAGGATAAGCAGCTTCATAACGACCGCAACTGACCAGCAAGACGATGATGCCTGGTCCGGATGCTTCCGATGTGAACCATTCAATCGCACCCGATCGTCAGGTTGAAGGTATTTCCGTGTAAGCGTAGATTACAATCAAACCATCTCTTTGACGGCGCGTTTCCACACCCTGAAGACGAAGCAAGAAGTTAATTCCTAACGCTGGCAGTCTAGTCGTTTGTCACCGGTGATAGGACTCATGAAAGCGTGGCTACCTCGGAAGCCCATTGCTCAGAGAAAGTATATTTCCATCCTGTTCTAACTTCTGGAGTATGTTCAATTGAAAGGTCGCTGTAAATACTGCGTAAATCAGGGCCCCTTTGTGCAGCTGGTGATTTCAATCAACAGTCAGAGAGTCCAACTTTCAACATAAATCCAGCCGTGCTTGCTTCAATTCATGGCGTTTCCTGCAATGGAACGGCATCGACTGTACAATGCCAACAGCTTACCTGAGTCCATCATGAACGGTGTTTAACAGGGGTTGATGGTTAGAGGCTCAGGCTGGTGACCGGCCCAGTTGATGACCTGCCTGCGGATGGCCGTTGTCGAGAGCTGCCATAATGATGCGGAAGCCCACAACCTCAGCCATGTTCAAGTTGGCTCGAGAATTAAGCAGCCATCAGAAGCCACATGATTTTGGACGATTACAGCAACGCTCTCCATATTGATATCTCATCCAAGGGAGTTCGCCAAGCCACATTATTATTATGATTATGATTTGACGTCTGAACAAGGTTATATCCAATATTATACATAAATATAAGTCGTCGTATGCAGTACGTAAGAACAAGCGCCAGTCGTAACATTCGTAGAAAGCGTTTCGAGTCATGGACGTGTCGTCTAACCGTCACCCGAAAGGTCATGAGCAAATAGATACCCCCGAACGATGAGAAATGCTGTTTTTGAAGTCAGGCGAATTGAGCTTGGCGCGGGCATCTTGAGATATGCACCATCGCCTGATGACCCATCGAGCCTATCATGTTGATTTGAGCGGCCTCACCTTCGAGGGTGCTAACAGACCGTGATCGGTCATCCGTCTCAATGACGATTCGTCGGACATAAGGGTGATAAGAGCGGAGGTAGTCGACAAAGAACTGTAATTGGGAACAGGGGGATCGGGTGAGTGGGTGGATGGCATTGCATCCCCAAGATCTGAGATGCCAGAAAGCGCAGCGACCGGGTCATGGGTATTGAAGAAATCGTCCCAGCTCCAATCGGACGCGGCCCGGGAATTTGGGTAGGGACGTTGGCTGCGTCGGTGCTCGTAATCGACGTGGGTGGCGTGCAATAAGGAATGATGCTAAAAGGTAGTTGAAGCTGCTCTTCATACGGAGGATGTGGCGCGGCGATGTCCGTTCGCGCAATAGGGTTATCAACGAATGCGGTCTCCGAATGAGAATAACTATCGTGTCCAGAGGGAGAAATTGTATTTCTAGGCAGCCCTCCACCGTGGCGGAGCGTGGGACTCTGCCGAGGAACTGATCTTCGGTTCATGTGAGAACTTCGGATTACGTAAAAGGAACTCACCTTGGTGGCGATTCCGTCTACTCAACTTTACGGCCTGAAGCATGCCTCTCCTGAACGAGTTAAGCTGGTCGATGTCCTGTGTAATTAAATGGTTAGACTTGTCACCACGCATTGTTTGTCGGAAGAGAGTTACATCGAGCCACGAAGGATGGTCACGGACGCATGGGAGGCCGAGCCTTTGACACTCGATGCAGTGGCCTTCATTATTGAAACGACGGGGACATCTCTGAAAGAGGTGCATCCAGTCCACCTGCGACTTAGGAAACTGCGGTTCGCGGATTAATAGGAAAGAGCGGCTAACCTTCTTTCTAATCTTGCAACTATCACATCCGGCGAATCGGCTGGAGATGGGACCTGCCCTTTCGAAGGAGCGAATAAACAAGCTGTTGTTCGAGACACAGGACATAATTATTATATAGGTAAGAGAGATCGTAAGGGTCGTGAGGTCTCTTCCAGAAGAGTTGGAAGGAAAGTTAATCCTCCAAGTCCAAGTGCTACTTTTATACGCCCCCTGGCAGACCCTTGGCACGATCCAATAGTGCGCGCGCAGATTAGCCCCTGGTCACATGTCGCTGCAGCACCACTCTTTTGGAAGATATGGAAGATATGGATTCTTCCCACCGCCAACTGCAAACCATCGGCAACGACTCAACCCCTCCACCAATATTCCGGAGACACCCAGAAATGCTAGGATTCGCATCTTCACAGTCTGGTGCACTGGTCGCTGTCCGAAACACTTGCTGCATGCCCACCCCTGAGACGCTAGGATGGCATGAGGCAGCTGAGGAATCCTAGCCTGCCTACATGCACGAGGCACCCCCTAGACCATGACCAATTTTGGGTTAGGAATAAGGGTGTTGAGCCTATGAGAGCGCATCGCTGCTTCCACTCGAAATACCTAAAAAGGCCGCACCAAGTCTTTCCTGACAGAACCTACGATCATCCTTCAAATATGAAACTTAGGCTCCGATTTTATTCTAGCCTCATGGTTTTAGTGTTGGCTGCAGCCCGCTTAACTAAGTTCCATGGAGGAATACTGTTCCTCGTGCCTTCTGCTACTCATCCTGCGCGCGGCTCCGCTCTTTCTTCGCTGTTTTCTGTATCTGATCTGTCGTTAGGGGGCTAGCCAGGAGTATAAAGATCGCCATCGCTTGGGCCTTGCAGTCTTAGTCGTCTTTCAAACACAGTGCTTGGGTCACTTTTTCCTCCATATCTCACTGTTTTAGAAGTCTCGTTATGATTGGATGCCGCGCTTGTCGAATGTTACGGAAGAAGGTTTGGTGCTTTGAGATTTCGTTCTCAGATTCCAGCTTCTTATCTGTGTTTCAGAAATCCTCCGCTGATTTCAACGGGAGGAGGATTTGCAGTCAGTGCCGTGCTGACCGTTTCCCACACCGACCTGCTTGGATCGAAGTAAGGGGTGTTGAAACCATTGCACTATCGAAGTAAGCTGACTTAGACATTTGAATACTGAAGAATCCAAGACAGTGCCGTCAACTTAACGCTGACGCGCGCAAGGCTATTGATCGACGTAGAAGGCCGAGGCTCCGTGGCTGTTCAATCGGCCAAGCTGACTTTGGAGCTTCTATGGGAATGGGCACCACGCGTCAGGAACGCGTCCGATCCGCTATTGGTGTGTCTTTGAATCCTGATCCAGTGATTAGGTATGGTAAATCTCAACGCGCTGCTGTCTGAATAGGAAAAGGCCATATGATTTCGGACAGGCTCGCTCGCAGAGCACCCTTCATTGCTTCACACATGGCCCCACCGCTTCCAACATTGAAAAATACTTCGTCGGATTCTAAAAAGTTTGAACTGGCTAATAGCCGATTGGAAGTAGGGTCCTATCCCGAGTTGGCGAGCAGCAGACTCCCTCCCATGTTCGCGCTACTTTCGGCCTACCTTACGACAAAGTATCCCGGCGTGCAGCGGGTGATACTGGAGGTGGATGACACGCTCCGAGCCGGCGCTAAAGAAAGCCTTAATGGCTAGCTAGGAAACAGTACACTTCTGCGCTTGAGAACACACCTCCAGACAGTTCGCCTACGGGTGTAGGTGAGCCAATTAGTCAGCGTTATGACGATCAACACTGAACTTTTGAGTCTCACGTTCAATCGGACTATCACTATTGTAGCGAGCTAGAAGCTGCTGCAGATACTTAATCGGACATTAGGACTCAACGCCTAGCGAATTACATGTATTACTGTCTGCGGAAGTTGGTTATCTCTGTTCCACGTTGCGTGGCGGATTCGAAGCTCGGGCCGCCTCCCATCCTAGCGTGTGTGATTCCGCCTTCATCATGTTTCTTTGAGGTGGACTTGCACCGAACAGAATTCATGTGCGCTGATGGCCAGGAGATTGCGATCCCCCCTTACAAATAGGACAATTGCAAAAAGTGGAGCCAGCTGCCAGTCCTAAAGAAACCTCAATTCAGGCGATGGGTTGTCGTGAGCTCCATGGGCAGAGCCGATCAATGATATACTTGGTAATCAAAGTAGAATTTAGGCCGGGGAGGGGGGGGATTATAAGTACACCGAATTATGCCGAAGTTAGATGTGATGGGTCATGATGCGGACGTCTCCAAACCATCCTTCAAGCACTGCTTCGCAACATCCACCGACCACTCTAACAACCGTTTGAAGTCAGCAGTCTTGACTTCTCGCTCCAAATGATTCTGCCGAAGATAATAATGAAGTCCACGAGCAAGAGAGGCATTCTTTTCAGCAATGTCAAAAAATAAGTTTTTGAGGATGATTGAGTTATTGTTGGTATCAGGGATGTGAGGGGATGTGGAGGAGAGGTATGATGCTGCTGGGGCACGGGCCTGTGCCCCCACGAAGATTTGTATGAAAAATGTCTTGAAGAACTCTTGTCCTTGGGGCTTTAACTTTACGAAATTCACAGCCTGGTCGCAATAGGTAGCAGATAGAGGTCAGATAACGTCATCCGACAACAGTCATGAACCCTTACTTTCAACATTGACAGCTCCGCCACTCCCCGACAAGTCCACCATGCATAAGCGGACGCAATGTTTTGGATTTTAGTCAATGAAGCGGCTTTGGACTCTCCACTGTCACTCTCTCGGGAGTTCTGGAGGACAGCTGCTCCACCAACCTCCTCTTCGCCTATGCTTCTAAGAAAGTCCCAGAGACAGAATTGCAATGTGATAGAAAAACGTTGCGATGAATGAGCAGTCGATGCCAGCTGTTGACCGACCATTGTATAGTAGGGGTTGTAAGATTTTTCCTATTGGAACCGGTCACATTTGGGCTGGTGCAAGATACAGTACGGGACTTACATTCCCGAGGCACTGTAGGAGGACCCGAATAATCTCACTCTGGTGCGAATCTTTGAGAGGCAACTGTCCAATGCGGTCACACGCATCAATGTAGTCCTGTAGTTCCGAGTCAGGGTTTGCTCAGTTACAGAGTAATATCAACCCACTTCACTGCTCATGAGCACCACAAATATGCTGCGTCGTATATCGGTGTTCATGCCCTGCTTCCTTGCCACTTTGAGGAGGACGGACGCCTCACTCGCTTCTACAGACGTTGTCTTGGCTGCGTGTTGCTCTCTGTGTCGCTCTTGAGCTTCGACGAGGGGATCGCCTGCCCAGGCAGCCCCTACAAGCCACCACTTCCCCTTTTTGTGAGATGAGTGAAGGTCAGCCAGTGAAATATTCAATGGCTCATGCGCGACCACTATGATGCTAACACGTCAGGTTCAAATGGGTGATCCCAACACGCTTGCTTACCATGTCTTCTCTTTGCAAGCCCAGATAGGAACTTCCGTAGCCTCTGAATGGAATCACCTCCGGGAACATTTGCTTGAACATGAGATTGTTTTCCCTTCCCGGTTTTGAGGCTAGTCAATGTCTCGATCATAAACCTTGCACGAGAACTAGAACAAAATGCGCCCTATCAGCAGCTGACCGACTGAAGTTGGAGTGAATTACTTGCCCAAGCTGGCGAAGCCCATCTGGCCCGTCTCCAACTTTCTTGAGTACCATTTCTGTAATGTCTTTGAGAGCCAGGGGGTCATCAGTCCGAAGTTGGGCCCCGGAATCTATTCACCAAGGTCAAAATCAATGGTTTGTCACATTCCGCAATGTCAAGTTCACTTCTCGCCATTTTGAGCACGAGCTCCACACTGACTTCAGTGAGCTTCTCGCTTTCCAGGAGCATACGGATGATGTCGTAGACTATGGTGCAGGATATCACTTGAAAGTTGTACAGTTCCGATATCAGTACGATGAGGTTGGTCGACTCTTTTGAGTAAAGTGACGCAGCATGGGCATCCAGGTTTTTGCTTGCGTCAGGGGCTTCCTCCAGATTATTGGTGGTCGTTGAAGCGGCTAGTGTGTACTTGTCCTCGAAACGAGTAATTGTCTCCTGAACGAGGTGAGCGGCTGCAGTAAGGTTAATGTTTGCTTAGGTAAGTCTTCTGAGCGCAAACTTACCAAAGTCAACACCAATAAGTTTGTGTAGGCTCGCAACGAGAGTAGCATGTAAAATGACGAAAGAATCAAGAAGTTGTGAGTGCGATGATATGCTTTCAATAATGAGACCCGCGATCGTAGTTGTTACATCTGCGATGGTATGTTGAGTACCCGGATCAGGAGGGATGCGAGCCAAGCGCACCATTACGCCTATTGTTACGATATAGGCCGAGAATCTCATCCAGAACCGTCTCCATATTTTGTTCGCTCACACTGTTGCGTTATATGTTAAATGAATATTATTCAACAGGGTATGGACTCACCGATTAAGCAATCCCTTGAGCTGGCGCTTGAGTTTGAGGATCTCGGCGGAGGCCAACGTATTTGTCCCATCAGCTCGATTCCGCAGATGTGGTGGAACATAACGACTCGCTACAAGAATCAGGTCCGTGTGAAAAAGATTGACGGTCAAGATATGAGCATAATTACCAGTTCCATTGATTCCTTGGTTACTTTCCGCATTTAATGATGTAGTCTCAGAGACAACTTCACCACCATTGTCCGTAATATCGTCAGAAGATGATGCAGGGGTCATATCTCCATCTACTCCAGATAACTCTTCAGACGGTTCGCTTGGGTCTGGTGCTGCTTCACTAGAAGCACCGTCCTGGCCATCCTCAGCATTTTCGCTCAGTGACTTCAGTATGACGCCTTGTCAGGTCTACGGTGAGGAAGTGCATATTCAGCACTCACTCCAGAGGGAGGCTCCGCGTTCGAAGTCAAATGGCCATCGATAATGTGATCAAGACCCATGAGCAGGTCTGAGTATCCTCGAGGCATCAAATTTCATTCCGTCTAACTTGATGATAGTACGCACCTCCAAGACCATCATCATCGAACTCGGCGCGGTACTTCTGTCGTCCCGCAGACGACAAACCTAGTTGTGCTTCCAGCCAGGAGATTTTCTTGATGTCTTGTACTTCTGCGGGGTCTTTGAACACGAACTCGGGGAGCCCGTTCGATGGTCTGGGTTTGTCGAGTTTCTTTTCTCTGGTGAGTTCCACAGGGGAATCTCCTGATTTACTTATGGAGAGTTTTGGGGTGGATGAGCCATTCGTTTGCTTTGGCAATGGGCGTAGGTCTGATGGACCTCCTGAGGCGTCGAAGGTGACTTTTCTCTTCTTTTTCGACTCCGGTGGGTTGTCATCTGCCAACCTCTCAGTGGTGGAAACGGTTGGGACAGTACTACCATCGTTTAGGGAGGCAATTGTTCGACGACCCTTCCATTTCCTGTTGTGTTCATCCTTTCGCTCTTTCTTGGCTTTACGGGCCTGCTGCCGCAAGAGCTTGCGGGAGACGCTGTGGCGCTTAACATTTGATCCTCCAAAGCGACTGGAGTCCTGGTCTGGTGGAGATTATCCCCCTCATGTCCATGTGGCAAAAAAAAAATACCTTGATCCTCCTCTGATCGTTCCTGGGATAACTGGATGGCAGAACGTTTGGTTTTCATGAGTTCAATTAACGCATTTAATTCAATGTTTTTGGCTTGATGTGACTTTATGTCACGTTACGTCTCGTGACAGTTCGTCACGTCCTCGCACATGTTCGAAACGCCAAAGACTAACCGCACGCGCCCGCAGAAGGCCTACACCGCGCGAGAAAAGTCCCAAATACTAGAGAACCTTGATATTGAGTGTAGGGCCTATATGTTATATTCATTGTGGCCTACCCGGAACTTATCGCCTGCTAGTTGAGGCACGTCTGAAAGGAATCCGTATCGAGCTAGATCAATGCCTAGATCGTATTCTCTTCGTGTCTCGCAATCGTATTACCAGGATATCAGAAGCGGCTCGCAACATCACGCTGAGGGAATTCGGTGCGACCTATGGCGGAAACTATGACCAGTTAGTACGGGGCATCGCCACGATGAATACGAAAGACCTCGACAATTTACCTCCTCCTACGGTGTCAAAGAGGTAACTATCTATGTCGTCAGAATCGTAGTTATTTATTTTTGGGAATAGGAAGCGTGACGATGCCAGTGATGCTCCAGATGTGCCCGGTGACACAGGAGAGAGACGCGCGAAAACCGGTGAGCCATTCTGTGGCCGGTATGACTTTGCTGCACACGATGCCTCATATCCTTCCTCAATATTTAGCCCGTCAGGTTTGTCCTTCCCCAAAAAAAACAAAAGGTCCCCTAGCCACCCCTGGCGTGGCCCCGTCATCGTCTCGACGCCTCCCATCATCTCGTATCAATGCCACCCCATCTCGCTTACCATCAAAACCGCGTTTACCCCCCCTCAATTTTCCTTCTAGGCCATCTCAGCCTGCTTTTCCGCATTCTTCCTCTGTTTTCCGAGCTCCAGACAGCAAAACTCCTCTACCTGCATATCCTCGATCGGCGCGACCGGATGAAGTCCTCATGAGCGAGAACGGAAGTCCGGTAGCTAATCCGCTTGCGAAAACGAGGAAATCAGGCCCTGATCACGCAGCTGCAGCAGTTGGAATAAGACCCGTGATTGCGTCCGTAGGCTCACCGCCAGCATCTATTGATACAGGAGACCCGTCTGGGAGAAAGGATGGATCCGGACAAAGTGGAATGAGCCGTGAATCTGAACGTGCTTTCTTAAACATCCAGACGAGTACAGGCGAGTCGGTATCCTTTGATCCGCTTCTGACCTCCCCTGGTGCGTCATATTGTGCTGCTCCCAGATGGACCTGAAGTTTTATGCAATCGTTATCTTAGCATCCCTGGCCTCACGCACAGACATATCGGACTCGGCCAGACAGGATGTGTGGGATAAGATTGCTCGAATAGCGGAAGCGTTTACTCGTTCTGGTTGGGCGAATATTCATGCTAACAGGTCCAAGGACACATCGTGACAGCTTTCTTTGTGGGATTCTTGCACTTCTGTAACCTAGCAGTAAGCGCGCGCTTGAGGCGTGGGAATATAGGCCGGCAATGTCCTTTGAATTTTCAGTTTAGGCTCGATGGTTCGTCGAAGAAAATCCTCCAGGGCTGGCGCAAAACAGTCGTCCAAGCCTAAATATGATCCTAAGGATGCCCGAATAAAGAGATGGGACACAGAAGCAGACATACCTAAGAACGATATCGATCTCTGTGCGGTAAAGCCTAGTGTCATCCTGTCACTGTATAATGACCTGTCTTTTTGTTGTTTCTCCTATAGTCCATGCAGAGAGAGACAAAATATTGCTGAATGGGGCTGACACTGGTCGTCCGAGTTATCTAGAAGATTATGATAACGAGTTTGAAGTATTTGGGATGAAGGAGTTTGAAGGCGACAACGACGACGAGGAAGAGGAAGAGTACTATGACAATGGGGAGGAAGACGACGAAGGCGATGAGGTTGAAGAGGAAGAGGATTATGCGTCATCAAGTGGTGCTGGGCCTTCAAAGTCTAAATCTGGCAAGCCAAACGCGTCCAAACGGCATCCCGGCAAGGGCGAGCCTGAAGAAGAGTCCAATTCAGGGGAGGAGCGCTGGGGAAAGAAGTCCGAATACTATGTTTCTGCTGCAACTGATGACATAGACTCTGATGACGAGGAGGCTCTCGCCCTGGAGCTGAATGAATGCCGCCGTCTGCAAAAGAAGGCAAGGGAGGGGATCTCGGAAGATGATTTTGGAATCGAGGAAGTCCTGGATGCCATCGAACGGGGCCAAGATAGTAGTGCAGAGTATGTGGTCATGCTTCTAAAGTGACGCCTCTTATACGTTGATTTAGGGCTCATGCGCAAGACACACAGGACGTGACGCTTATCCCACAAAATAAAGAGTCCTTACTTCGGCATTTAGAGAAGACGAGCCCAGAAGCGCTTGCTCTGGGGCGAGAGTGGGAAGATGTTTCGCAAAACCTTCGTAAGGTCGAATCCGCCATTGCTCGGTGAGTTGGAACTAGGGTGCCATGCCTTTATTGTCTCACGCATCGTGAAAGCCAAACTTCGGAAGACGAGAACGATCCCCGATTAGCCCTGGTACACCTACACCACCGTCAGTATCACGGCATCTTTCCTCGTTGACCCTCTCTAACTGACCTTTTCACTACAGAATCTCTCCTTTCCTATGCTTCTGTCCTTGCTTATTACTTCTACGTCCGCTCTACACCTGTTTCAGGACCTACTTCTGACTCCCCGACGTATGCAAAGGACGTTCCGCAAAAAGTTATTGACCGTTTATGGCAACTAAAAAATGCTCTGAGCATACTAGAAGATCTAGGTTTCTCTGCTATTGATGATGATGACGATGATGATGTCCTTGGCAGTCAAATCTCCGAGGACGACGCTCAACTGGGAGCGAAGCATCACCTCAGCGAGCAAGAGATTCAGGCTCTAATTGCGGAGATGGAGAAGAACAAGAGCACGATTGACGCGAGAAATGATGCCCACAAACAGCGCCTGAGGCGCGCCCGGGAGAGGCAAGCAGCAAGCTCTATTCCGGATGGTGTAAAGAACAAGAGCAAAGTTGTTGCGAAATCTCCGCCACCGAAGCCCAAAATTGCCTACGACCTCGAAGAATCCGAGTTCATTCCTTCCGAACCATCCAAACCGTCAGGACCTTCTAACCCACATCCGTCTTCACCCCCCATCGAAGAAGACTTGTCGGCCTTTGGCGAAGCTACTTCTCTTGATCCTCATATAGCCAAAGAAAAAGCGGCCAGGAAGAACGCTCTCCAATTCTACACAGCGAAGATAGAACGTGGCCAGCGTCGTCGGGAGGGCAAACGACGACATGCACTGACGGGCGACGATGATGTCCCATATCAGAATACAAAAGAGAGACAGTCATCCAAGAAGCCTGCCGTCGGCGGCATGGAACTGGGAGGTGATGACCCTCACCCTGGAGCTCCTAGTGATGCCAGTGGGGTGGACACCCTGAATAGCAAAAAGAGGGGTCGGGACAGTACGGATGGCGGAGCTGTTAATGCTGATGTTGATGGTGACGAGCACCATGAGCTTGTCAAGCGACAAAAGAGAGAGTCGAAGGAAAATAAGAGAGCAGAGGTTGAAGCACGCGCTGAGCCTCAGTATGCTACCCTCTATTTGCCTCCTATGTCAATGCTGACCGCAGCACTCCTTTAGACGTTCTGTACCAGATGAGCAAGGCCCTGATAGCAAGCCACGATCGGCCACCACAGCTATATTAAAGAACTATGGCCTAACACCCAAGCGCTCGAACGCAGACCGCAACCCACGCCTCAGGAAGAGACACCAGTACGAAAAGGCAAAAAAGAGAGTAGCACACAAGAAGACGACGTACAAAGGCGGATTGGCGAGCCTCCCTGGGGGAAGATACGATGGCGAGAAGACTGGTATCACGAAAACTGTCAAAAGTATCAAATTTACATAGTCGTTGCGCATATCCTCGTTCCAGGTCGATATGGGGTGTTTATTGGAACATTGGGAACATCGATTTATTTATACTGCAAATCCTGGCATGTCGTTGATCTTTTTGGGGCTAATGCTGTGGCTTGGACCATGGCACAAAAAATACAAATCGACATTAATATGAGGTCTGGAGTCCGAGACAATTAATGGTGAAAATGGTAAAATGAAGGGGACAAATAAGCCAAACGGATTAATTACACAGGCTGTATGATTGATCATGCGTTGAGATAACGAGTAAATGAAGTCATGAATCGTTCTCCTGTCACTTGTGATCGTGTGTTCATCATATCCGTCAGTGGTCTACACTGCAAGGACGAATTGCCTGCCGTCAACAGTCTCCTGAGCGAGTTCCTGACGGAGAGACATCATCGAGGCCTCATCCGCATCGCCGGCATCCAGAATGACACGAATGGAAGGGTAGTGCGAAGACACATAATTCGAGAAAAGACTGAACACGGATACAGATGGGACAGGAGCATCTGGGCGAGGAGGGGGTGTGTGTCGGAATGTGCTGCAATAATTCTGGATGACTCTCCAATTGGGGGCGGGCGCAATCAGTTGCGAGAACACTTCCAACATGAACGTGGGCGTAATATTCCGGTCCGGCAACAGCGGGTAAGCTTCCTGAGAGGTAAGATAGGATAGGCATTTAGATTTGGTAGATCAGCACCTCCTCTCGGCGATCCGGATGCTCTGCTTCCGATGGAGCTCTGTCTCTGCACCAACACTGCAGAGGCGGAGAAGGGACGAACAGGGGAGCATTCTGCCTGGATTCGCCAGGGGGCGACATTGGAAGTGATAAAACAGGTGCCTGCCGCCAGTGCACATTAACATTCCGGATGAGGTCATTACAGATGCTATTTACCATATAGTTTCTCTGTTCTAAGTTGCATTGATGATGTTGATGGTCTGACAACGTTGGTGAAACTGAAAGAAACCTTTCTCGTGTCTAGGTCTTCGGGGGCGGGCTCTGATAATCTTGCTGATACTGTCCTTGTAAAGCCGAAGCTGATCAGGATTCTAGATGAATGTTCGAAACACTGAAGTCATTACGGCCCAGTACAAAGTGACTGGGGTGGCACTACCTTCGTCCATGGTGGAAGCTTCAGACCATATCCCCCACAAGGAATGCCGAGGCGTTCGCATTCGTTACACCGGGCTTGCGCGTTGGCGCCAATTGGACATTTCTTATTACGAAGGCAAATGTCAGAACAGGTGGACCTGAGTGAGGATATTCACTTGCCTTCTTGCGAATGCGACAAGGAGCGCAGCCTGCAAAGCTCAAGGTCATGTACCAGCTCAAGCAGATCCGCAGAAGGGGGATAGTGATCTTTGTCGCTTACCTTTGGGCGCTTTAAAAAGAACGGCGATGGGATGGCCGACATAACTTAGAAAGCTATTGCCAAGACATGAAAAATCAAATGCATTGTACTTGGGAGACACATGGACATGAAATGGCTGGAAACCACCAGCCGACAAGATTATAAACAGAAAGATCTACAACTGGGAGAGAAACAGACTACTGCCGGACGAACCGTAGGCCAGCCATTGCAAAAAGGAGTTCATTAAAGCTTTGGTGGTTAAGATCGTCAATGCCCTGACAAAGCATTTAAAGTAAGCAGAAAGATGCGCGGTGGCTGATCGTGGGTCAAAATACGAGTCATCGACTAGGGTCCTACGGAATGCTGTGGTTCGGTTCGGAGAGCCGAACCCTAAATCGGAAACGCGATAACAGGTTGGCTCATTACTCTGGTACAGTTTGGAGGGTTGAGGGATGATTGCATTCGGGCTCGGTTGGGCAGGTTACATAACGCTCCATCGGTTCGGCCAAGACGAAGGAGTATCCAATATGCACAAAGGCCACGGGCTTCGATTCAGCACTTCAATTTCAGTAAGCTGGAGAATCTATCAACCACCCGTATATAGGTGAGTAGCCACCACATGGAAATCTACCGGCTGCTTGCAGATACCGGTACAAAATTGGGCGACTGGTGAAACGGCCCTGTGCACGAAACCAATAAGTCTGGCTACTATCTGTGCAATCAGTAATGTGTGTTGTGTCACATCGTGTGCAATGCAGGAGAGGCAAGTGCGCGGGATTCCCCTGCCTTTAGTAGAACTGTCTGCAAGCGGCTTTGGGAGTCAATACTGTGAAGTGCTTCAGCATGGCATGACTTAATTTTTGTTGAACCGTTCAAAAAAAAAACGCTCAAAGCCACGACTCGAACGCCAGCAACAGGGAAGGGGCACATGCCAGCACGTAATTCCGAGAGAATAACCTCTCAAATTGTTGGGTGGCACTCGGTGAAGGAGACATGTGATAAAACAAATAAATTGCAGAAAGAACACGTGGCTCATTAACCTAACGGACCTTTGACTCAACTCCCTGGAGATCCGAACCCGTATACTCTCCCCGTTTGTTGCTTGGTGCAAGTGAGCAAGCAGCATGTACTAGCCTCTCTGTGTCAAGCTTGTCCCTGCCTTTTTGACCAGTCATTTAGGCAAGGTTTCAACAGATATTATCCGCCAGACTTCGATCCGCAAAAGCATGGGACCCTAAACGAATATCATGGGAAGCACGCGCTTGGTGACAGGGCTCGAAAAATTGACAAGGGGGTCCTAATTGTTCGTTTCGAGCTCCCATTCAACATATGGTGGTGAGTAAGCGCTCATCGTGATTGCGCACTTCGCAGATTCTCACATCACATTATCATTTGCAGCGGGACTTGCAATAATCATATTGGTATGGGCGTTCGATACAATGCAGAAAAGAAGAAAGTAGGGAATTATTATTCTACACCGATCTGGTCTTTTCGGTGCAAATGTCATCTGTGCGGAGTTGGTTTGAGATCCAAACAGACCCTAAGGTACTGTTTCCACCGGGTCTCTCCCTAAGCTGAGGCTGATACATGATGCCAGAACACTGCATACGTTGTGGTGTCAGGTGCGCGAAAACAGGAGCAGGACTGGGACCCAGCTGAAGCTGGAGGCTTTGCTGTGCATGGTAAATTACCTGCCCACCCGCTTACAATTGCCGAATTCACTCAAGCTTACACATTCACTACCGGGATCATCCATCCTCGGATTTCGTGTCCCAATATTGCATACAAACTATATATCATTTTCGTCGTGACTCCATCTAGACACCGCTGGTCCCTCCCAACCGTCCGATGCCTTCGCTGCGGTGGAGAAGACGGTTGCGGCGGAAACCACTCTCATCGAAGTCACTCGACCTCGCCTCAGTACCCTCCAAGAGCTTTCTGAGCGTCGTAATGCGAATCCTTACGCGCTCTCATCTTCCTTGCGTAAGACCTTCCGTAAAATCAAAAAGGCAGAGAAACGCGCAGAGGATGAAGAGAAAGCAGTTCGAGATAAGTTTGCGCTGCCCGAAGAGCTTCACCTCGTCAAGGAGGACGACGTTAGAGAGGAGGCAAAAGAGGAATGGGTCAGAAGTAGAAGGGAATGGGAGATGGAAGAGGAAGTTCGGCAGAAAAAGTTTGATTCCAACTATGGTCACTTGGGCATCAATGGTGTTAGCTCTGGCTCCAAAGGCGGGGAGAGGGTCGCCAGCCCTGAAGACACCATTCGCGTGACTAAGCTCGGAGGGAATGAAACGTCACATTCGTCTCTGAAGGTACCGCCCAAAGTCACATCCAAGCTTGCATCATCATTGCTGCGAAATTCTCTCAAGAAGCAGGGTGCCCTCCTGCCTTCTATTTCCACAAGTCGTAGTCTTATCGGCAGAAAACTCGTGGCCAAAGACATTGGCGTTGTGAAGAAGCGGTGAACTGTCTTTCGGAACACTATTACGGCGGGATCGACATTTGCTATGTAATAATGAGCAAAGCAACTTAATCGATTGTAGTCGCTTCCATATGCGGCTTTTTAATGATCTGACTATGTGATAAAGGTCATATTAGCTGTTGTGTCACGGTAGGGCTAGCTCTAGCTCGCGGAATATGCAGGATGTGCTGGGTTCATGTCTGACCACGCGAGCACGGGAGCACTCCAGAGTGCGTCGAGTCGTATAGAGTAGGTCAGCAGACATGCATTCTCGGTGTGGTCCGTCGTGACCGAGCCACTCTGGTGCCATCTAAAGAGGCCGCCGCATCCATGCACAACGCACGATGACCTTCTCCCAAATAAGGACATGGCGACCGCAATGCACACCCCTGTGCGACGTTGCCCAAAACTGTCGCCCATCCGCGCGGCAATTAATTTGTCCTGGGGCACGCGGATACCATGCGAGCCACGCAGGGCCGGAAGATTTGGATTGCCAATATGTGTGCATCAGCAATTCAAATGGCCACGACTCGCTGCACGTTCACAACGTGGTCACTTTGATGTGCTGATGCGCGCGTGCTGGCAGCATGTGTTCAACGTGCTACGGGAGGGCATTCCATTTCTGAAAAGCTCCGGCCTTCAAAACACTACCGCAAGTGCCCATGCCACAAGCACAAGTGCTTCCGTAAAATGAGTCGTTGTTGCCCCTGGCGAGTCAGATGCTATTCCCTTGACTCATTTCCACGGCCCGACGCACTCCCTGGACTCCTTTGAATGCTCCGCGCAGCTTTTTTTGGAGCTAATCGGGGATCTCAGTGAATGTTGTCATTTGCTCGGTGCTTTCTCAGTTGCTTCAGAATCTAAAGGAAGGGTGTTCTCGTCCTACATAAAGCCAGATGTTGTTTTTTTTTAATGGGTATGCCATCTTCCCCCATTTCCCAACCTTTCTGGTGGAGATCGCTGTCCACCGCATCAAAGCTCGTTCAGCATGAGTTGCGTCGTCCTGAATCCTTTGGCATCAATGCTCTAAATTGAGTCGCGCTGGGATAAATAGATTATTTTCGCTTGTCGCTTGGGCGGCTCCCCGACCTGGTCCCGACTAGCGCGACGTCCCGCTTGAACTGGGGCCGCCCTGTCCTGCGTAATGCCGGTCACCGCCTTGTATTGATAACCCCTTGCCATTATTGACTACACTCCCCTCGTGTTCCAGTGCCCATACAGTCCTCAGTACGCTGAATGACGTGTGAGGCGCTTCAGCCCTGTGCAGCGCATGATGGCCATTCCAGGCTGCCCATACATCATAGCACGAGGTGTCGTACTGCATCTGCCACGCTTTAGTCACTGGTTCAAGCCCTTGTCCTTGCGGATCTGGGAATTAAGCGCTGCGTGTCCACTTTTAAGGTCGCGGGTATACTGTGCGAGTATACGTCGGGCGCCCTCACAACCCGAGCAAGCAGGCTTCGAAATGCGTTGCCACCCGTCTTGCCCATGTTAAATAACCCATCTGAAGCATTTGCCCCGGTTATTTCTTAATGTGTTTGTGGGTGTAACCCCAACATAAGCCCCAGCCCATCGATTCCTATTACCAGGCCTCGATGGAAGCATAAGTAAGACCCCTTCTCGAGTCGGTCGCTCGGTCGTTCCCTAATTGGGTTCCGGAGTATGCCGCTCGCCGTTGGGCTGGAGACCGTTGCCGCCATCTCGTCTCTCCGCGCGCCCAATAGAATCCAGGTGCTGTGCCAGACATGCAGCTCCCTCCATGCATCAACACATTGCGTTCATCTTCTGTGGGATGACTCGACGATACCCAGACGGGTAGTCTGATTACAAAGTTATAAGACGGATGCCCCACCTCACTCAATCCTGAAGAAACTCTCAAGTCTATCTATAGAGCTGCTTCAGCCTAACTCTTAGAATGTCCGGGTTTGGATGTCTAACTTGTCGTATTAGAAAGAAGAGTTCGTATTCTTCGCTCGTTCCACAATCGGCTAGCGACACTGATTGTACTCCCAGAATGTCCGCCAAAGCCGATGACGAAGCCAATGGCGCATGCAGTGAATGTCAGAGGCTAGGGATCGCTTGTCGTCACAGCGGTGGCCAGATGCCAAATTGGTTGAATGTGCGCCGCGGGACTTTCTAACAATTGGAATCGCCACTTACGAATTCGCAGGATGATCGCTTGCTTAATTTTTGCATCACTGTCTTCAAGGACCAAGTCGCGTCGCATCGCCGGACTCGTTCCTCTCGACGTAAGTTATGTAGATCTTGTCGGTGGGATATGACTCTCTTACTCGAGATCCAGGTCGACATCAGCCAGATTCCCCTTTGTGCCAGTCAATCAATGCATTTATCAACCGACTCTCTGCCGGAACGGCGCTCACGATTCCTCCGATGTCTTATGGACCTAGTTTCGATCCATACACATTCCTCGATCAATGGGCGGCTGTCTACGGTCGAGAGCAGGCAAGTCTTGTTGGCAGAATGCTTCGGAAGTATATTTATCCCCCAAATATCTCTTAGTTAGGTCATATAGCAGGCCAAGATCTATCGCTCACCCGTCATCGCTCACCCAATGCAGACAAGATCGGCGCCGGTACCACAGCTCAGTCTGGGGGGAGGACCACTGTCCCCACTGTGGTTGCGCCTGGACCCCTTATCGCTCCGATCAATCAGCCCCCAGTGACGATGCTGAATAGCACCGGATCCTCGGCTCCTGCGTCGCAATTCGATCATACTCGCTACCCACAAACCCTCCCTGGAGGACCTGTTGTTGACGACTCGCTCCCCAATGTCGATCAGACATTCATATCGAGCCCGTCGGGTGCGCCGACCCTGCCTGCGCCAGACCCTGGCACAAATCACATGTCCATTCCGATCCTTTTTGGTGACCCACAGCAAGTTCCCCTGCCCACCCATTCCCAACCTCCTGCTGTCTTGCCGACGGATCAAATCTTAGCAGACATGACCGCTTTGGTACTCTCCCGGGTACCTCCCGTCCGCAGTGTCATCTTCGTGATGGAGGATCGTGATGCATATCAGCTTAGTGATAGATTTCGAAGGCTGAGAACGCCACTAGGTGTTGGAGTTGAGCTTTCAGCAGGAGATGGGTTTGACTACATGCGCTGGGATCATATACCCCATGGTAATTTGCCGTACTTACGTACCAATGATGGACCGTTCCATTCTCTTTGGTCCTGAAGATTTCGCATTCTGGTCTCGGAAGTTACACAGAGTGTCCTGCGGGACTTCTCTGATCGTGCATTATTGTTATTTATCGCAGCCTTATGGGTTTATTGGACGTTCTATCCTACGATATCAATTAATCCATTTGAAGTCTCAAAACTTACTCGGCGTAGCACGAGTGCGGATATTTGCAGGTAGGGCTTCATCACCCAAGGGACCATCCTCTAGTCCGGCATATTCGACTCCAACTACCCTAGTTAACCCAGTCTAATCACATTTCATCAATGTTCCTCAAGAAGAAATTAATATCGCACTGGTTTGCGTTGCTGCGAATAGATATGATTTACATGTAACCTGCTTGATTTTTTTTGCCAGGATTGTGAGTGCAACCGTCAGTTTAATTTTTAATCCGATTGCGTTTTGGGGACGCGACTCACCAACTCTGCATTGATATGTTATGTTCCTGCGCGTGTGTCAGAAGTTGCATGCCTTGAGTTGAGTGAGAATTGGTGTGCAGATTGCAAACTCTTCGGTGGACAGGACAAATGCTCCCATCTACTTCGTTTAGCTATCAGGCTCACGCTACGTTGATATGACTGGCAAGCCACTCCTTAGCGCCGAAGGGCTTATAATGGGATTTACGTGGGCCGTCCGTGCAAACCTGGCTATCTGTTCTTGTAAACTTTACCACGACGCAACCACATTGCACGGTGGAACCTTGCCTTAGGCTTTGCTATCTCTTCACTCTTCTTGCGTCAGTGGACGATTCAAGACACAGAAAAGGAAATTGGGCGAGGGGATTAATCGGCATCTTCGATGGAGTACGAGACTAAGATAGTTATTGCCACCCATATTAGACAAATCAACAGCTATCCACACGGGAAAAAGAAATGTAAATGTAACTGTGCGATAAATTATTGGCGTGATCTGGACGTTGAATGCCATTTGGTCATTCCCACCCCCTTGCCCAAGATCCTCGAGAAAAGCCTCAAACGCTTGCGCCCGCATGGATCGCAATGGCCTGGCGGGGAGGGACTAGCACATCGAAGCTCCCACCCTTGACGGTGATCCTGGATGAGGATTGGATAGATTAGCCGTCAACACGACTACCAAAACATTGGCAAGACCTACACCGCGCCCGAGCATCCAGTCGCGCTCTTGGGTCCACTGACAACATCACAATAGCTGCAGTCGGCCAAACCGGTCGTAAGCGTTATTTGCCAGGCCGAATCAGCATTATTGATCACGACATGACCAGAGGAGCCTTTATGAATGCAAAACTTTCACTCAGCAAAGAGAACCACCACTTCGAGAGAAGGTATGCGAACCACGCCCATAAGCGAGTTGCTGGTTGTTGCTTGTTGTCACAACGTTCGTGAGAGGAGAGCTGCCGACATAGTTAAAGAACCCAACCATGCCTACAATTGGAGTCCAACGATGTTGGCATTCCCTAGAAATGAAATTAGCAAACCACATATACGTAGCACGAAGCAACCCAAAGGAATAGGGCGATCACAAATTGGCATACCAGCCATTTGTGGGGCCATTGGTGGTGCAGGTACCATAGTCTTTCGAATCACTGTTAGCTATTCCCCCTGTTAGAGAACTCTAGAAAAAACACATACTTCCGTCTGGTGCGCCCTGCTGGTCGTTGTCGAACGCGAACCCAGAATGAACAGTTGGGGTTCCATATCTAGTAAGGAGCAACATCAATGACCGGAGACCATACTCGGTACCCGGCACTTACGGATATGACAGCATAAACACATTTGCCAGCACGTAGACATTCTAAAGAAATAAAATCTAATTAGCTCCTTCCTCTAGACATGGCAAGAGGAAATGAACTCACATTCCCGGATTTGTAGCTTAATGACGATCCATCACGCTCAGTATCGTGATTGGTAACAAAGACATTGGCCGAACCGCTAGCCAACCAGCCGCGGTCATTGATATTGCCTAGGTTGAATATCCCAGTGTTCAAAAAGGCGCCCCTAAGCGTGTAAGGATAATTAAACCTGGATTCCGTGCATGAAACGTCAATGTCCTACATCCTGTCTCCTTGGGAAAGAAGATAGGCGTTCATACACTTGAACGTCGCCAACATTTTGGTGCTTGGTCACAAACAACCCAGTTGTATCGGTAACCTCCTGCGTAATGTACGCGTTCGTCGAAAGTCTACTGAAGATGTTTGCCAACGAATCAGGTGCAATGTCTACGCGCAAATTCAATTGCCCATTTCATCAGATAATCACCATCAGAAATGAGAACGAACTCACGTTTAGCGGCATCGACACGGAACCCGGCAACCCCAAGGCCCAACAAATCATTCAGGTACTGAGCAAGACGCCCACGCACGTAATCGGACTCCGTATTGAGACTGGTGGGAATAAGAGCAAGTCAGACCGTTAATTGGTTGGGATGGAATGTGAACGGGAAGATGTAAAACTAGAGGGGGAGATATCATAATGCGGGCTTCGTATGAGAGCCAAGAACGGGTGGACCAATCAGCGGTGAAATGGGCGTCACATACTCAGCAAGACCCAGAAGCTCGCAAGTTTCGACCTGATTCTCGTCGTTATAATCCTCTAATTTCATCAGCCAGATCTCACGTTGAAGAGGAACGGATGTATAGCATACACACCAATCGCATGATTCCGGGTCGCTTGAGTGAGATGTCGAGTATTCCAAAGCCGTCATCCGGTTGCGACCTGTCTGAATAGAGGAGACGAAACTTACGACAATAATGAAAGTCCTATCCAGAACAGCGTTTCAGTATGACATGATGATACAGATTGATCGAGTCAAAGGAATTAAACCTTACACTAGACGAGTAAGTGCCGGGATAACTGTAATGGGTAAAGGAACGCCCAGTAACGCTTTTCCCCGAGTCCAAGCCTAAGGTTAGCCACAGCTTAAGGATTGGAGTCCGCTTTGGAGAGAAGCGCAGTATTGTACCAGTCATATGATTTAACACAGCGTCCACAATGACTCGCACACCATAAGCATTGCAAGCTTCAACCATGGCCGCAAACTGATCCCGAGAGCCTCGTTTGGATTGGAGCTCATACGAGACGACTCTATGTTGATAATTATTCAGTGTATGCTCCTTAGCAATAAATATCATGAAAAGAGAATGATTTATTGGACTGGCACCCATTCTTGTTCGCCGGTCCATCGATGTAAACGTGGGGAGGGTGCGAAAAGCGGTAAAAGTAATCACGTACTGATAACTCGTCCACCAGGCATCGCCAGTAATATGCTCGTGAGGGGGGGAAACCTGGACAAATCCATATCCTGCACTGGCAAGGAACGGGCACTCATTTTGGACTGAAACCCAACTCCATTCGAACAACGCGGCTATTATCCTGTTACCGCATCAGCAGCCTACTGTTTCAAAAAACAACACAGACAGAAAAGGGGGCACGCTACTCTGTCGATTGCCAAACGTGGAGAACATTACTTAGTTGCCAAAGAACGAGGACATCTGAGCGAAACAAACTTTTAGAACCGGAAGTCGAACGCTCCGTCAAGAAATGCATTGGCATAGCGGATCCGCTATCCAAGAGAGCGGACAGGGCAAGTAGGGTGGTAATGACAGTGAGTAAAAGAGAGGACATTATTGATAGTTGGAAGGATAGGCGCTAGCGTGATGTCGGCGCTCAGCTCAAACTACGTGAACTGAATCTTATTGTTAGTTACCTAGCGCGGGGCCAACACTAGATAAACATTTGCATGATCTTAAGTGAACGGGTTGGGCAGCGTTGACAGGGTGTCTCACCTCAGCTCACACTACGCGAACTGAGGGAGAAAGAAAGAAAAATCGGGGCAAAAAAGGTTGCTTGGGTTTTAAGCATCGAGCGTCGTCTATGTCAATCAACAAGAATCCAAGAAAGGAAAATGGCGTGAATCTTGGGGTGAATTTATCACGTCATCACGTTGACCTTGAATTCAACAAAGAGACTGGTTTTTGTTTTGAATCAGCACAGGGAGGTGTTGTATACGCTCAGCGTGTAGTGCGCGTGCAGTGAGACCAAACCACACTTTCAACTCACGCATAAGGATGCAATGTTCCGCTTGAACTTAGCAAACTTTAACTGGCAAACACGGTTTCAATTGAATTGAAGGTGAAACAAGCTCGCGACTGAATTTGTTCCGAGTCGATGACAGCGACAGGGGAATAGAATTCATCACACACTTCCGTTAGGACTTCCCTAGTCACTGTTGTCGAGTGCATAGCCAAGATGTGGGTACATGCGGCATATTTTGACGAGTCATAGCATAACGTAAGATAGGTAGCTTCCATTGGCACCTCGGAGCATTGGAAGGGGCATCCTATAAGGCTCGAATGAAATTAGTGCTCCCAAACAATTACCATAGACCGGGTTGAGCCTAGAAAGCATTGGGTGTTGGTAAATAGCGGGACTAGCGCATCATATTTGAGTTGAAAACCAGTCAGGACTCCACATGCTGGAAGCGATCATTCGGGCTCGGGCTGCCGGGAACGACTGAAGCTAGAGGACAACCGCGTAGGGTCCGGCGTTACCCTGAATGGGACTGCACTACGGTTGTGATACCCTCTTGAATTTTCCCCGAGTCAAACACCGTGGGAAGTTGAGTAAAGAACGTCGATGTTGATGTTGCCCGCTCTTTCCTGATCTGCACAACCATATTCAGGCGAGCCGGATCTGTAGGAGAGGGTTTGGGAACAGCCACGGATTGTTGAAGAAACTCCTCTGAGCAAATCTAGTAAGAGATCTGCCCACCACGCTTCTCGCCTCCCATTGCCTATAAATCGGCTAACGAATTATTCACCGCTGGTTGGCCTGTGCAAGGGGGAAGCCTCCTTTCCCCTCCATACAAGTACGCCCCCAGCAATTTCTGTTCTCCCCTTTCTCCCCTTTTTGGACTCTTGGTAGGCAGTGAGTGTCCCTTGCTCGCCGGTGAAACCACTTGTTGCATGGACCAACATCCCAACTGGTATCGCTATCGGTATGGAATGGCGGGCAATACATGTCTAAAAGTCCCCAAGCAGATTGAGCGCAGCATGGGGCCTATTTGAGGGCGGGCAGCGAAGCGCTACCGCTGACGCAGGGTCGGGCCCAGGCAAGCTCGTACCGGCCCACAACTCAACCTTCCCCATGCGCTCAGAGCTGCGGCGGAGAGCGCCAAGCCTGCAGCATAGTCCCTCCACTGCATCTGTTTCAGGAGAGAATTCCCATGCTAGCAACTACCACACACCGAGTGGCTCTTCATAGCAAGCATGTACAGTTCTACAGCCTGCATTCAGACTCTACCTAGCGGCCCAGGAACCGGGGACTTGGCTGCATGTTTCCTATCCAGGGTTTGCCACACTTGCATCCAATCCTCTCATGACTTGCATGTCACGAGGAATAGCTTTATGCGATAGACAACAAGAGTCATCCTCCTAGGGGAACGGAATCACCACTAATGCCTTGGGCTCATCCATGCCCCTATAAATCCCCCGCGAGGCTGACACCGCCTTAGTGATTCAGTTCCATCGGAGGCTGTGACATTGGGGTCTCATTTCTTCCGACAGGCTGACTGTCGAATTCTAGCCGGATCTGTGCCCTCTAATTAGTTTTATGCTTACCTAGTTATCAGCAGTTATCAGGTCTTTTGTGCTCTGCTCATGTTCCCTGGTCTTACGGCATCTTGCCTCATGTGGCCCGGGATCTCCACAGCAGGCCGCACTGGCACATGGTTACGTCCCCATAGCTCTAGCGCCAATGTCCGCCCAAACCTGTTAAGCCCGACTCACTCCACTCGGCAGGTCCTCTGAATTTCCCTTCCTGGAAGGGCCGACCTCATGACCAGTTCAGTATATAAATTGAGTCAATATTAATCAGAGTGAAACGCGCGGTTAGGCGCGCGGGTCCTGTTGTAACAAAATCCCATAAGGTCAAGCCGTCCTCCCATTTGATTTTCCATCAAGGACATGCGTTTTCCTCGTGGTCAGGGCTACTTATACTTGTTTCTTTGCGCGTTCCCAGCACCTTAGACTTACAGTCACATCTACCTTGGCATGGATAGCTGTTTGACTTGTCGCCTCCGTAAGAAAGGTTCATGCCTAGCTTCTCCGAATAATCTTGAGCAAATGCGAACTAACTATTTTGTCAAGGTTGCCCCTGTGATTCCATACAGGGGTCCTGTAACGCCTGCGCCCGCCTCCATCTTGTCTGCGGTGGACAGGGGCTTCCACCTCCGCCTTGGTCAAAGGCACGCTACATTGAATTCACTCTCACTTTCTTGTGTGGAGTGACCCTCGGCACATTGTTTAGGCCCCCATACTTATAACGTTCTATCGACGCATCGTTGCCGACCAGCGTCGCTTGAGTCGAAGTGAACTCCAACTCTACTCATTCATGTCTATCGCCCTGTTGACCAATTAACTCGTATAATCAGATCACACACAATCCCTTTCCACTGTGGCACAACTGGTGAATTCAGTCATCACTAGATTGTACGACGAATACGGCTATGAGTATCATCTTGCGTATGGTTCCAATTTTGACATCGTTGCATTTTTCAATGGCTCCACGGAAGCCGTGGGCATCCACGAAGTGAGTACATCTTGTACAAACGGCGCCATTTCTTACTAACTGCACCAGATGCGCACGATCGTTCAAGATGAGGCGTCTCGTCTCGGATACTCTTTGGCCGCCAAAAACAGAGCCGCTGAAGGTACTGCAAGGTCTGGAGTCGGAACTACGGACGTTGAGAAGATTGTGCATCCTTATGAACCTCACAACTCCCTTGCTCCCGTCCAAACGTTGCATAGCACTACCCAGTACCATCATGTGCAATGCGCTCAGAACCTTGTTCGAGATCATGACTATAGCGCACCTGACAATTTGGTGGCCAATAGCCATCCTGCCGCAGGCCACACCCTGCCCATCAACGCACACCATGGACTGATATTGGCATGGACTCCCAACATGGGCAACGTCCATACCTCCATTGCAAATGAAATAGGAGTGACGCCATTACATCAAGTGCCCATTCTCGTCGGCCCGTCGTCTCGCCAAACGACAATGGAACAGATGCCTGACATCAACCCCGTCCCCGGGGACCAATTGAGGCATCATCAGTATTTCAACTAATTTATGGTTCCAGCCTGGGGAGCCGCCGGACGATTGGATCGTGCCGCAGTTGTACTAGGCATCCAAGTCGAACCGCATGAAGGGAACGCTCCTGGTTGCAATGCATACACGAATTGTGACTCGCAGCATTCCCCTTCATCGTGCGGAGCTTCTCATCAACACGATTCTAGTCCTTTTATCCGAATGATTACATTCTGTTTAGCCTTTGTCTGCCTTTGTCTTCTGATTGCCTCGTTTGTTGTTGTTGTGAATCAGACCTTTATGCGTTTGCGGAAATTAGTTGAATTGGGCTGCACCTGTACCTGATATGAACGAACAATGCGATCTGTCCAATCCTGGCCACACTCGTAAGAAGGAAGTCACGAAACCTCAAATAAGGGCATCATGTGCGGCCCTGGCGAAATGCCCCTACTATTTTCCCTCGCTTCCCATGCGCATGCACACGTTGTGAGGTGCATGGAATGGGGATTATCCCGGAATGGAGAACATGCGAGCGTCATTTCCGTTTCCGCAACAGGGGGTGGCTGATATAATTAGAGTGCAGGGTGATACTTATATGATACAGAATGGCGCGCGTTAGAGAACACTGATCTAGCCGGCTAGGCAATACGTGCGTGGCTGAATCCTTGACGCGCGCCAAGGATAACATGCGACCCATCGGAAAACTCAGTACGCACCACCGATACCAGTTCCCAGCGAACCGAATACCAGCAGCTTTCAGTTGATCAGATCTATCCGCATGAGAAGGTACGAGTGTGAGACCAATGTCTTGATAAACTATCTACGTTCGCGAGCAAGGTATGTAGAAGGTGAAAGTGCCCGCCCAATCAATGTAGCCGCCCAGTTTACTATTAGCTTGCTCACAACCCCCCATCAAAAATGAGTGTATGGCTTCAGGTAGGGCCAGAGAATGGGGTTCCTGTGAGCTGGGAGTCTGCACTATGACCCCCTTTATCGCAAACATGGGAATGGAATGTATTTATTTATTCACATAATTAAATGTTTACGTACATCCTCACATGGGGCAATATTATTGACAGTAACTGCCAGAACCAGTCATCGGTTTTCCTCCTGCTGAGACGAGACGGATGATGCAGACAGTACTTCAGAAAGCTTGGTGCTTGGGGTATATGTGTGTGTGTAGGCCACGACCAACCGCGGAGGGGGCGCGCGGCAATGCTCATTAAACGCTCGGAGACAGTACCTACTAGCTACCCACAGCGCCCGAGCGGAGGACGCCAGCACTACCTCTCTCTTTCAAGGAGCGAATGCGCCCCCTGGCGCGGTGCGATGCAAGTGAACTGGGATACATAAGATACGACTATTCCCCAACTGTACCCCCATCTCCCGACCTCGAGTCTTTCTCCTGCGTCTGCATCCTTCATCCCTCTGCTGACCGTTTCTCATCACTTCCAAACAAGCCATGTCCCTAGCCTCAGCAAGTGGCGGCTCCGCTTGGCACTCGGTGGCCATCGTATCGTAGCTAACATAAATTTCCGAGGTCGGCCACGAACATCCGTGGTTCCGACTGTCCGATGGGCAATCAGTAATAAGGCAGTTCATCATTCCAACGGAATGTTCCAGTGGCATGGTTCCAAATCTCACGATTTCTGAGCGATGATACCAGCCACTGACACTTAGGTCGCAGGCTGGTGTACGGGCCTAGCTCACCAGCTCTCTGGAGCCCTCACTCCTCGCGTGTCCCGTGCGCGGCGTCCTTCGCGTCCGCGCGCGCTTCACGCGATGCGCGTGCATTCCGATCCGCATCTTATCATGATTTCTCAGAGATGTATTCCTTGTCATTATTTCCGTAGACGCTCAGAATTGAGTTCCGCCGCTACAAATACAGCTTGGATCTAATCATTCACTAACACCCAGACTTGGTTTCATTGCCCCTGGGTCGTCTCTTGAATGCCAGTCGTCTCGAGGCTCAAGTTGTCAGGCTCGACTCGAGCTTTCGGGTGCTTCCCCTGCCGCGTTAAGAAATGCCGTCAGATCCGCTCATCCCCAGCCTTCCCGCGCATGAACCTAACTGTAGCTTGATACAGGATGCCCTATGCAGGATGGTGATCAAGTTTGCGGTAACTGTCATGTCCACAATTTCACTTGCGAAGGATATGGTGTTGAACGACGGGGCTGGACCAGGGCATGCTGCTTCGTCTCCTTCATTCTGGCTGCCTGCTGACCATGGTGGAACTAGGATCATAGATTCATTACGTGGGTGAGGGAAGTTCTTATGAAACGAAAATGCAGAACGCGACCAAAAAAAGTTCTGCACACTGGCACTCCCAACTCCACAGGTGGTCAATTGGAAGATGTTCTACCGGGGGGAAAACATGCTGACACCGCTCCAACGCATGTTCGGTTTGATGCGGAGGTCGATTCCTCTGCAAACAATTCGGTCACCTCGTCCCAAATTGCCCTACCTTGCCCTATGGAACACAATGTCGTCCCGGGCGTTGGCCCAAATATCCCCCCGTACCCTAACGTCATATCCCAGAGGGAGCATCTTCCCCAATACCAGGCCATGGGAGGATACCACCCCCAACTCACCGGCGATCCATCGCTCTCCCCCTGCAATGGGACCATGCTATCCGCGTCCGATGTTGGGAGCGCCATAACATCATGTATCCCCCACACGCACCACGTGGGCTATGATGGAGTACAGCACGAGCAGAGCAATCACCACCAACAGATTATTTCCCAAAGTACATCGCCTGGTCACCAATATCTTGGTGAACTGGTGTATCATATTCTCAAGATGATGTTTCCTTCACAAGACCCGACGGGGGATCAGGTCCGCACTGCGATGGACATAATTTGGAGGGTTAGCCAAGGCGACTTGCCACAGCAGATCATGGGATAATTCCACGTTCCTCTGTGCCCCTCAATTTGGTGCAATAGGGCGTGGCCTGTTCAGGAGGTGATTAGGACAAACAGCTTCGTGGCGTGTTTCTTGCGCAACGTTGTGTACCGATCACATGTAGCGGCCTAGACCTCTAGAAAATCTCCAATCCGAGCGATTTACATTAATTGTGGTGTTTCCCATATGCAGCATGTACAGCTTCGAGCCCTCTTGTTCATCCTTCAGATCCGCCATTTGTAAAATTTGTCACCCAAGGCACTCCTCAGCGCCAAAATCAACATGATATTTGGATATTGAAAGGCTGATCTCAAGCATGTATGTAAGCACCCGACGTGGCTGGGGACAGCCGCTATATCGGAATCCAACCTTCACTAATACATGAACACGTTCTCGGAAATAATGTCTCTCCCCGCACGGCGAAAAAATGAATGCGCGCATGCGCGTGCGTGCATGACGCGGGAGCTGCTTGCTCCACCTATCCGTGCTCGCATGCGATGGAATGTATAAATTTGGTAACCCGACCAAAGGAAAAGACCTACGAGCTGGGAACACTGACAGTTGTGCAAGTACGCGGTGCAGTGGGAAATGAGGGTCCGATGCGTCAAAAGAAATCCCGTATGCATACAAACGATACTTGCGTGAAAGAATTCCTCGCGAGCTCTCCCTTCCCACGGGTTTCAGAGTCAACGTGGTTGGTTTTGATATATAATTACTATTTCCTCCACCGAACTGTTTGTGCCGTTTGGCAACTTTATTTTGGCAACAGATGCAACGTGTATAGCAAGTACAGTACCATGGACAATGTCCGAATAACCCACAATACTGGGAATACACACACAACCTCTTTGATGCTTTCACAGATCATCACCATGGCCTTCAATAGCTTTCTCATTAGCATGCTCAGTGTGCTGTCAATCATGTCAGCGAACGCTTCTTTCTGCTTGCGGTTGTCTGCGTCTGCGGGATTAATAGTGCCAAAAAATGGGGTCCTCGATCAAAGATGAGTGCTCTGATGTTGTTGTGCATTTGAGTATGTGCTGCTTGAGATCCTGGCACTTTAGTGGAAATGAGAGACACGTCAGGCAAGAGTTTGAAAACTGCACGGTCATCCTCATGAGTCGAGGAGGTACAACCTCCCTGAGACACTTGATGGATGGCGGTATCAAAGGTGTTGGATGACATTTTGCTGAGGGTGTGTACGACTTGGTTGGAATTGGAATGGGTAGCTTGAAGTTTGATCCGAAACGACGCAACTTTTGACGCTGTAATGATATTGAAGGCAGCCAATAAAAAACGAGCAGAAAGGGGTGATTAGTGAGAGCGAACAAATGAGATGCCATTTTCGGTAGACTCAGTGGACCACATCGATTATGGTGGAAGCCACCGATGCCGAAGGGATACGGGGTTGAATACAAGAGGGGGAGCAAATGGGGATCTGAATGATTACTGACACGTTCGGGACAATGAGATGGCCGCCGCTGTAGTCATTTGCGCAGTATTGGGGCGCATGTCTATATCACATATGCGGTCAAACGATTCAGAGGTCCTTCATGAAGAGTTATGTCAGAGTACGGCAGATTAGCCATTCTAGCACCCGATGTACTTCTTACTATCAAGGGTCGTGCATTCATTAAGACCAGGGGGCTGAGGGGAATGCGTTGGAAGGGGAAACACAACAAGGAGGGGGATACGGCGTTGTGTAAGGCTGGGCAGCGTGAGTACAAAGATGAGGGAGGCTAGAAAAAGAGAGTAGACTGGATGGTATAAGTGAAGAAATCGGATTATGGAGGAGCTAGCAGACCCTGTTAGTAATGCATTCGATTCGGGACCGCTAAATTTGCAGAACCCGCTACAGAGTAGCGGGAATATTGCTTATAATACAGGACCTTGTCATCAAACGCATTCAATCAGGGTCGAGGACCCGCTAGGAATTTGGTACAAAGTTCATTCTTTGCTTCCGATGCGCGCAAGAGGTAACGCGCGCGCGTGTGACATGATCACCGGGAAGGTCCGTCCCCAAGTACAAATACCATGGACATGGATAGAGTTATCTCTCTGAAGTCCGAGGATGCCACGTACCGCAAACCCAACCAACATGCCTGGATGCCTCCCTTGTAGGGTCAGAAAGAAACGTTAGTTATGCGGCTTTTTTTCCGCGCTGGCATCTGATTGCACTCTTCTAGGATGTCCTATGATCGAGTACAATGAAGCTGGCTGCCATGCATGCCAAAGGTTCAACTTCCATTGCGAAGGCTTCGGGGAAAAGCTCCCCTTGTGGGCGAAGGTAAGTGCGTGGCGTTGTCCTTGTCCCAGACCTCACAACCACGGTATTGCCAGGATCGGGATAAAGTGCAGGAATATAGGGCCGTGCTTGCACAGTCAGCTAAAGGCCGATCTGTCCGGCGTAAGCTTCTTGAAAGACAGTTCTTGCTATCGTTCTTATTTTAGATGGAGTGCAGCAAGCAATTCCGCTCGGCGTTGTTCATCCATCTCACCACCAGTGGGCTCGCTCGGGTCTCCAATATCAGCGAAAGGCCCCTCGTTCCATGCTTACCACGATAAGGCCCCGTTTTTTCCATTGAATATTGGACAGGGAGAAAGCGATCGAGAAGCAAAGAGCTTTGATCCGTTGCCGGAGGTAGTTCAATCCTACAAAATGATTCCAAGCTACGTCCTGATGTACTCTGCGGTGTCATTCACTTCATTCCACCAGAACACAATGCCTCTATTTGGAAATAACACCAAATTTGTGGACCTTCCTCCGTTTTCAATTTCGCCACTGGGCCAATCGGACGCTTCATGGACAGGTGGTTACTGGGCCCCAGACTCGTCGGGCCTACATGGCCCAGACTCCTGCGACATGAGCCCCTCATCCACTCTTACATCGGATGACTCGCGTTCATTTCGTTGCCCATCGCTGAGCAATGAAGTAGAGTCGAATATTGCGTTCGAATGGTATCGGAATCATTGCCAAGAATCCATCATTTCCAATAACGACATGCTGTCTCTCCATCAATACAGCCCTCAGACCCTTACACAAGTTGTTTCCACGTTTACATACCTGAAGGTTCTTTTCCCTTCGAACACCCCTACTGCTCAACAGATCACCTCTGTCCTAATGCAGGCGGAAAAGGCAGTCGGAGCTGAACGCCCTCCAACACCAAACCTACCCTCCCTTCCCTCTGCAAATGGCATCTAGTACTGAGATGGATATGGCTCGCAACGTTTGTGACGGGTGTCCCGGGGGCGCCTTCCTTAGGACACACATTTGTCGCCCGCGTCTACTACCCCCACCTGTAATCTCAAATCCATGTTGCATTTCATCTTTACGTCGTGTGTATTGTATGTGACCTACGGATTTTCTGCCTGGAGGCCTGAGTGGTTTCCAATCCGGCGAGGTGCCCTCCTCGGTCTCCTGCTCCAATTACAATATCGCAGCATCCTTCAAGGCAGTACAATGACAACGGACTCTGCGCAAATCCATTCATCAATTGAACTGAACACCCCGGCCATCAACTCGCCAATAACTGCAAGTTGGCTGCAAAGACACATGCTCCCGCTTTTCTTGCCACCATTTCCATGTGGACAGCGGCACTTACATAATTGGTGCGCGCCTAAATGCACATCATGCCATCTTGAACGGGGTGTGGAGACTTCTGATTCATTGCGTCCGCCTAGCGGAGTTTGCATTTTCGTGCCACCCCAAAAAGACATAAAAGTGCATGGCAACTTGCCCTGTTTCTCTGTTCAAGGTCCCGTTTGCACCGGGATCGGGTTTTGGGTTCTACTGCATAGTACAATCTCGACTACGCCCCGATATCTAGCAGACGATGTGCACCGAAGAGTGGAGCGTAGAGGCTTTCGGTATGTCTTTCTCGTCATCAAGGTATGATGCCCCTCTCACTTTATATCCGAAAAATCATAAAGAGTGCGGTAAGTCGTCGGGGCTTGTCGCTTGGCATGGATTCATGCCTGAAACTCCCTCAGGTCACTACATTGAGAGCAGAATCACTCCCATGGATCTTGCATTTGTATGATAATTGACGCGCGCAATATGCCAAGCATTTGCTCATATCCTAGTAATTCTCTCGAAGGATGCTTGTGGAAAATCTTCGTGCAAGATTGATCCCTCGCATTTCAGAGGCACTGCTCACCTGCCCAGTGAGTGTGTTCTATTTGGTAAGTGCAAGGAGCCAATCCGCGATGGTGGAGAAGATTGGTTTATCCTCCCAAATGGACTCGTCAGGTTGCAAAGGACAGTACGTACACTGAGTCATTGGACTGTTGCTGCACTATGCCAGGCTTCGCTAGCTAATCTAATAATTAACCACTCGCCTTCCTACGCTAGAATCACCTTGAAGAAAGTAACCAAGGTGCATGATGATACCCTCTGCCCTGACTGCTCATATAAGAGCAGGGCAATGGAACCCTTTCCTGACAGTGAAATCGATGACCTGATTTCTTACATCTTCACCTTGACTCTCTAACACTAATTTGCCTGCCCACCTATCATTTTCTCCGACTCATGGACTTTGAATTTTAATTCCATGTAATATACAAACCTAACAATAAACAGCATTTCCAATACTGCGATGGTTAGTGTGACTGTGAGCTGCACCCGGCCCCCCCTTCTGATCAGGCGCCAGATTGGGGGACGACTGTGTTAAGAGAACATTCTTCCGGGGTTCATCTGCGCCGGGTCGTGAAGCCGGAGATCTGTTGCGCATCGCAACACGAAGACTCCGAAGTTTGTAAAATATCGCTTGAATCAGCCTCAAACCCTAGCCTATACTGCTAAAAACTTGTTCGACAGTTCGGAAGGGGCGAGAATCAGAGGTGGCAATTGGAAGAGAGATTCCCGGAGAGACTGAATCACTCACGTTTTGAAATATTGTTCTTCCGTACCCGTAAATTTATCCTGGGATGAGTCCCGCGACATGGGTGCCGACGATGGAGGGGCAGCGGGTTGAGAATGAGGTGTAGGTCCACCACATACCACATTGTGTTCTTTGGGAAAACTCTGAAGCGTGTATATCACTTCAACGGTGGATGTCTCAAGGGAAAAGGAAAAAAATGAAGTGAAAGCAAGGGACCCGTGGCACAGACAGGCCCGGCAATCAGATAGCTCATACTACCAGTCATCACGGGGTAAAGCTGGATAGGCGAGTGATCAGCCTCTGGTTTCCGCGGATCCAAGAACTCGCAATTCAATTCAATACCATAAATAGGAAAATATTCCTCGCATAAATGATTTTGCTTTCCCTAATTGCACTGGCGTTTTTGTCCTCGAAAGCTCTCGCAGCGCCTCGAGGGTACTAAATTCTCCATGCCATCTGGCGTTCTAGCGGAGATGCCGGAGCTCATACAGTGAATCCGCCACCAAGTTCCCGTCTGGGTATCAGCACGTCGAATACCCGGATGAATGAGGAGGCTACCCGGGTCTCGAGCCGCATAGGACCAATATGGAGATGCAGGTGCGCGCTTATCACACATTCCCAGGTGAATTGCTTTGGGAGAGGGGTGGGCTGACAGGAGGGTGGTCCTAGCGCGCCTTACATGCCTCGGTGCCTTGTCCGTTCCAATGCCACCAGGCCACCCATTTAAGCGGCGGCGGTTCCGCTGATAAACATTCACCGTGTCATCTTAAATGAAGCCACCGTCGAGGCCTCCATGCCACCTCCAAGGGGTATAAAAGGACATGGCGACTTGAATTTTTCCCCCATTCCACCATCCGCTCGCTTCAATATTGCTATTGAGGCCCTGATATACTATCCTATCTCAATATACTCTCAAGATCACTTTGACTTGCCGTGATAATGTGTCAAATCACAGAATTCTATGATCGCTACATGCGTATGGTTCTTCCTTCCCTCCTCTCAATACCTTGCAATAAAGTTCACTGCCATGATTCACACCCATGCTTTGGCAGAATGCAGTACGTTTAAAACGGCTATTCAATGTTCCCCCGTTCGCAAAGTTTATGCCCTTCCGGTTAGGCCATGCTTATCGGACTTCCACCCAACGTGTAAGTCCAAAACTCAAAGTATGCACTGTAACTGACTAAATTTGGAACTCTCCGAAGCAACGCTGCTGGAGTTCAGGGTGCAAGTATGATGAATCGCACGCCCACGGGCCTCATCACAACTGCTGTGAGGTACTGGACCACCATCCCTCGACGGAGACTGACAACCATTCTTTATATCTTTCCCCAGTCGCTCTGAGATGTGATGGGGAGTACGTGTTGTTCACCTCATATGTCTACACTATTTATTCGATGCTGCGTCGACACTGATTAATCCATCTTCCTCGAATTGGAACACAGATATTCCCGTGTTCCCCGCATACAGCATATCCAAGGGCTTTGCCCAGGCTGCATGGCTGGCCAGTGAGGTTAGCGTTCTTGAGGCCCGCGCGGAGGTGGCCAGTCTCGACTTTGGGCAACTTTTGCTACGGTTCCTGGACTTTCTGACGTCTTCTCTGTTTGGCTTCGCTGTATTGATCATGTTATATAGTACGGACATATTCTAATGAAATATTTTGCTTTTGCTTTGCTACGTTTTGGGCGTCGAAAAAACAAAGTGATTCCAAACTGAACTTTCTCGAATAGTGTGGCTGCCGACGGTCTGTTCGGAATATATGTATATACGCAGCACGCAATCTAGAGGTTCAGTCTATAAATTAATATATGTGGGAAGCTTATCTCTAACAGATAAGCCTACGTACCGCATAAAGCGTAATCACTGATACCGGTATTTCTAGTATGATGATATGCCAGACTGCAACCGTGTATTCCATGCATCGATCTGCACTGGCAGCAACAGTGAGGGAACGAGTTTTCCCACGGGTTGTGAGTCGGATCGTATCCATCGTTTATTGTCGAGAGTTCCGATTCGTACCCGTAAGCCCCCGCTGCTCTTATTAACTGTCGTAGGGCCTTCAGCAATCTTAGCTTCACCAGTATCCCCTTCTCCTTAGAGCCAGAAAAATGTGAGTGTCTGTGCGTTGTCGATGACCGGGCCAGCAATGCCTAATCACGTCGTTTGTTGTGTTGGTGGGTGGTGTGAGTAGGCCTCTTCAGCCTAAACCGACCCCCCAAATCCCTGATAGTACGTTTTCTAAACTATTTGAGACTACTCTCCAATGACTTCTCCTGTAGGCGTACTCCAATCATTCTCTTTGAAAGGGTAGGCAAATAGAATCTTTGATTCTTCCCGCAGTCATTTCTTCCTCAATTCCATTTCCCCTTCAACAATTTCGTTTACTCTTATTCTCTTCCCTACTCTTGTGTTTGTAGGAAGGTGGCGGTAATCACTGGTGGAGGAACGGGGATCGGCTATCAAGTCGCAAGGGCTTACGCTGAAGCTGGAGCGGACGTGGCCTTGTTTTACAATTCAAGTTCGAAGGCGATCGATCTTGCGAAGGGACTTGAAAAAGAGTTTGGGGTTAAGAGTAAAGCGTATAAGGTCCCAGGTGAGTCCAAGTCTTCGTCGACTTTGGGGACGCTCACGACTTATTCGGTGGTACATTCACACTTTGTGGAGGGTAGTGACAGACTCGAAGATTGTAACGGAGAGTATTGAGCAGGTCGAGAAGGATTTTGGAAGGCTAGATATCTTTGTGAGTTCATTAATACTTGAGCAGTAGCATTATAGTCTTCTTCCGTTTGTCATGTTCGTCAGCAGGAACCCTTCTTATCTTCATTTTGGTGATTGCTGATCATTTCTTTCCCATCATTTATATCATATATAGGTCGCTAACGCTGGGACGGTATGTAGCACTCAATTGACATCTCTCCTTCTCTGTAGGTTGACTAGGTTTTTTCTTTGTTTTCTCTTTTGGCGATCACGGATCTAGGGTGGGGGTGGACCCGTCACCGAGATGACGGATGAACAATGGCATCGAGTCATTGATGTAAATTACAATAGCGTATTTTACTGTGCGCGTGCTGCTGGAAGGTGCGTCAACTTTGATCGACACCGCGTGTATACATCGTGTCAACACGATATAACCCGCCGAACCCCCACTTTCTTCCATTCCCAGGATATTCAAGAAGCAAGGATATGGAAACTTTATCGTCACGTCCTCCATGAGTGCACACATCGTCAATCGTCCCATAACGCAGGTACGTCGTCGCATACTGTCTATCTTATTACGATCTTATTTTATTTATCTCGCCGTTTTACTTCACCGTTAATAAAGGCTACATACAACGGAACGAAAGCCGCGGTGACGCATTTTGCCAAGTCTTTGGCGTATGAATGGAAAGATTTTGCACGAGTGAATATTGTTTCTCCCGGATTTTTCGACACAGATATGGGAGCTGCTCCTGAGGTCCTTGATGTTGCTTTCGACACGGCTGTGCTTGGGCGTCAAGGAAACACGAAGGAACTCAAGGGCATTTACCTTTACTTGGCGAGCGATGCGTCGACGTTTACGACAGGAAGTGGTGAGTCCCTATTTGCCGCTTTTTGGATCGCCCTTTTGTTTGTTTGTTTGTTTTTTTCACCGATCAATGGGTGCCATGTCGCCCTATTCTTTGGAGATCTGATGTCGAGGAACGCAGAGTTTTAATTGATCCGTGGGAATATGCATTTGCTGACGATATGGTTTTGCAGACGTTATTGTCGATGGAGGGTATACGCTTCCTTGAGCGGACCCGCAGTTCATTCTGCAGAGTGTGCATAGAGAGAGCGCTTTTCCGTTGGGAGTGTCGCTGCGTTCATCACTGAGATCGGGTCCGGACATCCGCATGAAATTCGAAATGATTAGAGTATGTTGTAATCCGGCAGTAAACACAGAATACAATAAAGAATCTTTGCAATATTGCCTGAAATTAATAATAAAGGAGGAACAATTTTTTCGAAACTGTCCGAAGGCTGGATGGCAGCTCACTCATTCATAAGAGGTGTGACAAACAGGGGGAAGAGGGGGAAGAGGGAGTATATTGAGGGAATGGTTGATGGTTTTCTCTTTAGGGGGGAACACATACTAGTTGTGGTAAGTAGTCCGTGTGTGTAAGGGTGGCCGCTGCCCTTTACATCTTTCCTTATATGAGTTGAGAGGCGACTTGATCCATCCGACAGACGAACGAGGAGGGAGGTGACGGCGCATCGACAAGGGTGACCAGTGGTACTAAGCAGAGTGTGATAAGCGATGACTGGAGTCAGTAAGTAAAGCATGGAGAGCGCTAACCGGGTCTCTGATGCGAGGCGCAAATTTGCTTCCGAAGTGGTCGGTCGGGTAACCCCGTTGTGGTCGAAGAGGAGATGTGCGTGCAAGTGGAAAAAGTTGGGAACAAGGTCCTAGGTTGAAGGGAGTAGGGTAGGGATGGTGGCGGGGATGAGTTGGTACAGTAGAGAAATCATGTAATTATGCCTATAAATGGCAAAAATATCGAGCCCTCTGATGTGAACAAGCATGAGTTTTCCGTTCTGGACACATTGCGACGGTGTTCAACGTTAACGTGGGTTTGCCCTTGATTAGTCGTCCCTTGGTTGATTGCTTTGAGGGTGGTGTGTAGAGAAAGGTTTTTTCCTTTTATTTTGATTCGTTTTCCCGTAAGTATATAACCTTTTCGCGGTACTTGTAAACAACAACACACACAGAGCACACTTGCACTTCACAAGGGCGCATAATCCTCCCCTCCCCTTGCCACTGTCTTCCTCCTCGCCTCTCTTCTTTCCCACCTGCCCTTCCTCGCTGTCCATCTCCCTTCTCGGGGCTTCCCGGACTGCCTCTTCGCCCCTTTGCCTGCATGGCAACGGATCCGAATCGTCCGCCTTCCTCCGTCGGCGCTCAGCAGCAAGCTGCCCAACCACCACACTTCCTTGCTGCCACTCCCCACTTTGACCATTCTTCCATCTACGCTACTGCCGTCTCTGCCCCGGGGGGCCCTCCGCATCCTTCTCAGCAGCCCATGTCATCCCAGCAGCAACCTACCCAACCTACCATATGGAATCAGCTCCAACTTCAACGCACTCATCAAGCTAGCCACCCAAACTCTGCCCCTCAGACTGGTCAACCGCCTCAACAGTCGGCTCAGAATGGCCCATCCGTGAGTCGCCTCTTCGTTTTTATGCCTCCTCTGTTCGTCGTGAAGTCGGGGTCGTTCGGATGAGGTCCGGATCGTTTGGGTTCTCTTTCGTCATTTCATGCCGCTTTGGCTTGTGCTTTTTGGTGTTACACCTGTCCAGCGAGCGCCTGTCTCTTTTGCTCACGCCCGCGCGCTCTTGCTCGCTTTCTTTTTATAATCACGGCATTCTGAGCCCCTCTTGACCTCATCTGCGCCTCTCACCCTTTGTACTCTTCAAACGAACGGTTTACTGACGAACCATCTTAATCCCTAATTTCCCATTTTTGCTTTGTAAACTTTCGACTTCGTCATAACATCTTTGCCGGTTGCGACGGGGGGTTTGCGTATCGCTCTCACCCTCGATATCTGCTCAAACACTTTCTCTGATTACGTTCTGATACACCATCCGCCCTTAATCTCTGGATCGTTCGCACCTTCGTCGGTGCCCGGTGTGGATCTCGATGCAGATGTTGCCGCATCTACTGAATCCCCATTTACAACAACCCCTTCAGCCGACCCCCTTCATTCCAACCTCGCAAGTGCGCAACCACAACTCACGCCCCAACACATGGCATGGATTCAACAACAACGTCAGCAGCAGCAACAGCAGCAGCAGCAGCATCATCAACAACAACAACAAGCTGCATTCGCTGCCGCTGGGCAACAACAACAGCCACCTCAATCACAGCAGGGACAAGTACCGCCCCCTCAACAGCCACAAGCTCAGCAGCCCCAGCAGGCCCCCGGATTTGTGCCTCCCGTTCGAGCCTCGCAGCATTTTCTCCAGATACAAGATCAGCTGAACAGGGGGTTGCTGCCCCCCGAAGTTGCTGCTCAAGTGAGTCATCATTTCCCTTTCCCCTCTCCTTCCCTCCGCACCTGTTTCATTGCGGAGAGGATGATGGATGGTGATGTTGCATGGACGCATCGGGAGTCATCGCATCTCCGTTAGCACCCACGGAACTCCGGACCCGTGTTACAATTTGGTGTTGCCCCCTGATTCATCTCGACCGACTGATCTGAAATTGACGACATGACTCCTCTCAGTTCAACATGCTCAGTAAATCAAACCCAAACGATCAACGACAGTTAGCTGCTGCTGCTCAACAAGCAGCTCAGCATAATCAAAATATCATCGCTAGCCAGCCTCAACAAATAGCAGCACAACAGCAAAACCAGCTTGGTGCTAAGCTTCCATCTCAGCCTCAGACCACTCCTCAACCTCCGAATGCCATGGCACCGCCACGCACTTCTCCTCAACAACATCCACCTCAGCATCAGCAGGCTCAGCCCCCTTCTCAAGGGACTCAGCATCAACAGAATGCTCAGGTGCCTACAATCGGCACTCTGGCTCAAAATCCGCTCATCGCCCAAAATTTCCGACTTCCTCCCGGTGTGAACCCCGGGGCGCCAGGAGGGGTGGGTGGCGCACCTCCGAACGTGTATCAACAGTTACAAGCAAACGTTGCGCTACAACAGCCCCTTCGTGCTGGAACGAACCAGGGTCCCGGAACTGGAGGGTTGCATGGAGAGGCGGGACCTACGGGTCATCAAGGTGTCGTCGGAAATGTGGGCACTGGAATTGGTGGTGTCGGGCAATTAGCGTTTGCACAAGGACAGATTCCTGGTCAACCTGGCCCATCGGGACCTCCCCAAGGAAATCGGTCACTTCCGCCTGGGATGCTTCTCTCCAATGCCCAACAGTCAGTGGACCAGATACGTGCTTTCCTTGCGGGTATCCCACAGCGAACGTCCGAGGATCTGTTCAGGTTCCGTACGGTGTTTTTGAAGCAGAAGAGCAACGTCGAAAACAATATCGTGAGGCTAAGGAATGGGATGGGGAATGGGCTTCAGGCTCCCAAAGAGGCTGTTGACAATCTTCTGAGGGAGCGAAAAAAGTATGAGGCACTTGGTGATGCTGTTGGAAAGGAGATCGCCAGTCGGGGGTTGAAGTGAGCCTTTCCTTTTCTGGCGCATGAGCGCTCTCGATTGATCACTTTGTTTTTGCACGCTTATTTTCTCTAGTGATCTTTGGAATGGTCAAGCTTCTCAGCCGCCTCCGGGTGCTCAGCAGCAACAACCACCGGCTCAGCAACAACCTCATCAGACGTTTACTTCTCCTGCGGCATCGAACGCTAGCGTTCACCAACCCCAGGGTCAACAACCCATGAGGTATCCGACTCCTCATGTTCCTACATCTCAGTTGGGCGGTCAGCAGGTTCAACAGGCTTCACTTCAGCAACAGCCTCCGCATGGATTTCAACAGCAAATCCATGCGCAAGGACCGCAACCTTCAATACCCGGTTCGTCGCAGATGGTGAATCAGAATGTGACTCCTCAAGCCACCCAGCACCAGCAGCCCGCAACTGAAACCGCCTCTCCCCGTGTGGGTGGATCTCAGCCCGGGAAGGTGCGGCAATTCTCGCCTGCCACCCTCATTGGCGACAAAAAGATTTTCATGGATACACTCAAGGAGATCTTTCGTCGGAAGAGCTTAAGCGGAGATGACATTCCCAAGCCCAATGGAGTGGGTCTTGATTTATTTAGCTTATTCCGGGAGGTGATTCAGTCTGGTGGGAGAGACGCATTGGGTCAGACCCCTGGCGGATGGGAACGGTTTTCGAACAAGTTTGGGGTTCCCCAGATTCAGGATGTTTATATGAAGTTGCTGGGGGACATGGAGGATATATTCAGGAGTGCGACGAAGCAGCATGCTCAGCCGCATCATATACAGCCCATGAGGCAGGTCCAAACGCAGGTTCAGGGTCAAGCGCCGGGTCCACCTGGTTCAATGGGAGTTCCCCACGCTGGTTTGGGCGGCAATGCTCTTCCCGTGAGCCAGCAGATGTATGCATTTGCGCAACCCCAAGTCCAACCACAGGGGGCTCATTTGCAGCAACAACCACAACAGCAGCCACAGCCACAGCCTGCTCGTCCGCCTTCGAGTCAGAATCCGAATCCGAACTCGAATCCCAGTCCAATGATCCGCCCTCCCACTGCTCAGCAGCTTCAGCAGGTCTCTCAGCCTCAAGCACCGCAGCCTGTTCGTCCCGCTGGACCAACGGTGTTCAACATGGGTCAGCCGGGTGGTGGTAATCTTCAGCAACAGCAATCTCGACAACCTGGATCTTCGGGAGCACAGCCCGGCGTCGGCGTTCCTCAACAACAACAGCCACACACTCATCCCCTTTCGCAACAACAACCTTCGTCTCTTGGACCTCCCCCTCCCGTGCCTCAGCTTCAGAGGCTGCATCAGTTGATTCACATGACTCCTGAACGACTCATGACGGAGCACAATTTCACGCAGCAACAAGTTCAGGACTTCTTTATAAACAAGAGGCCGCAGGTCGTTATTGATTATTCAAGAGCGGTAGCTCAGTATTTTGCATTGTCAAAGGATAGGATGATGAGCGGTGGAGCGAATCTTTCCGGCACGCCAGTGGCTGCTGAGACTGCTGATGCCCAACAACAGCAGGTCTCGGCTCAGGTCTCGGCTCAGGCTCAGGCTCAGGCTCAGGCTCAGGCTCAGGCTCAGGCTCAGGCTCAAGCTCAGGCTCAAGTTCAGGCTCAGGCTCAAGCTCAGGCTCAAGCTCAGGCTCAAGCTCAGGCTCAAGCTCAGGCTCAGGCTCAGGCCCAGGCTCAGGCTCAGGCCCAGGCCCAGGCCCAGGCTCAGGCTCAGGCTCTTCAGCAGCAGCCACCCCAGCAACAACCTGCTCCATCTCAAGACGTTCAGCGACAAGTTCAGGCTTACCCTCACCTTAGTCAAGGTCCCCAACAGTCCCCTCAGCAACCGCCTCTGCCACCATCGCAGTTGCAGCCGCATCAACAGGGGTCACAATCCGGTCAGATACCACCGAATCGCGGACAGATGCCGACGCCTATGCAGCAACCTCAGCCTCTTCGGACTCCCACTCCGGCTCAGCTGCCTCACACTCATCCCGTTCAGACTCAATCCCAGATGCAGCAACCCCAACCTCAAGCACAAAACCAACTGCTACCGTCTCAAACCCTTGTGAATCGTGGTCTGGGTCAAGGCGCAATACCAAGATCTGCGAATTCCCTTGGGAATGTGGGTGCTATGTCACAGTCTGCTGTGCATCAAGCTAGCATGGCACGTTTGCAGAAGAGGGTAGAGGAGGCCAGGCAGATTAAATATCATTTGAAGACTCAGGGTCTTCGTCAACGTGCGTGAATTGTTCATTTTCGAAGTTTTTTCTGATCTTATCGTACTTCTTTATTTAGGAGTTCGGCCCACTGTTCATGTGGATGAGGGTCAGCGAGAAGTGTTTAATCAGGAGTTTTTCTTGTTGCTTCGTGATATCGTGGCGCTAGAAGCAAATCTCGAAAGGTACTTCGCTCTGACCGAGGTTGAGCCTTCATTTATTAGCGACATCATTCATATCGTGAGTCGCTCGATTCGATTATGACTGAGATTTGATATTTACCGCATTGTTTAGTGGCAAGCGGCCAAATTGCAGCACGAAGCTTTGTCGCAAACGAGCAGTATCAAGCCCCCGGCATATGTTATGGACCTGAACGAGCTACGGACGTATCAACAAACTATTAGACCCCATATTGATAATTTCAAAATCCTCGCCAACCAGAGTGCTCGGCACCAGCAGCAGCAGCAGCAGCCACAACAACAACAACCACAGCAGCAGCAGCAGCAGCAGCAGCAGCAGCAGCAGCAACAGCAACCACCGTCGCAGCTTGAAATGAGCGGGCCCCAACAGCCCCCACCTCAACCGCCTCAGCTTCAGCAGCAGAATCAGCGACCCGGATTTTCTGTGCCCCCCCAGGGGCCACAGCTTCACGGTTCGCCCATTGCTGGGAGACCTAATGTTCTGTCTCGTCCGCCGTCAGTTCAACCTGCTTCCGTTATGGCTACTCCCACAATACCCCCTAATCCTTCTGTGCCTCGTCCTCCGTCTGTTGTCAAAAATGCTCGGCCTGGCGTTGCGCCTTCTCCTTCCCAGGTTCCTGCTCCTTCTCCCGCCCAAATAGCCGCTGCTGCTACTCCTGCTCCCACTGTCGAGAACAGTCTGCATGCTCCCTCCCCCGCTAGTACGTCATCCCCTTCACGGCCTGCAGCCCCTAACCCCACGAAGGGTAAGGCGCCTGCACAGCCCCCACTGGCACCGCCCACACCTGCGAAAGGCAAAGCACAGCCGCAGCCCAAGCGCCGGAATCTGAAGGCACCTAATCAGCCGGGACCAGTGTCGGGACCAATGGCACCCCCTGTAACTGCCAGCTCGCCTGTGGAATCGAAACCGAGCCCATCCACTCTCGGGGAGCAGGCTTCTCTTAAACGACCACGCGAAGAGGATGAAGAGGGCACGCAGCATGGGGACGATCATTCGTCCCCGAAACGACCTCGATCTGCACCTGGTCCGAATCCAGTAGAGACTCAGATCCTTGCCGAACAGGCTGCTGCGCAGCGTGCTCATGAATCGGCGGAGGCTGCTGTTACGTTTTTTGAGGAAGCACATCAGTCATTCGGGTTCCCATCTGGCGGGTTGACAGGATCTACTTCGGATGACAGCATGACTACGGGAAAACAGCTGACCATTGAGGAGCTGCTCCAGCAGTGGCAGACCTTGTCCGGTCAGACCCAAGGGGACAACTACTTCCAACCGCATTTGCCTGGTCCATCTACATCCACGCCACAGCCGACCCCTGCTCCTGTGCAGGTGAAGGATGAACACGCTGACCCATTGGATATTTCGTTTTTCTTTGATGATACTATTCTGGCAGAAGAGGACGGCACTACGGTTCAAGATCTCCCACGGTCGAGTGACACACCCGATCTTATTGTCGCCCACAGTCAAGGACCAACCCCGAACTCTGTGCTGGAAAGTCCTGCCAGTGGGCAAGGTCGTCTTCTCGACGCATCGCCTAGAGGACTTCGTGCATCTGCCACGGGAGCCGACAAGCCAATCGGTGCTTTTTTCGAGTTTCCGCGGGAGATTGGGATCCCTGAAGGACCGCATTACCATCGTGGTGTTCCATGGTCCTGGGACAGTGAGATGGAAGGCGCGGGAGAATGGTCTATCAGCTACGATGAGAGAGTCGTCTCATCGACTGCTTAAGGAACATCACACTCTCCTTCTCCCTCCCTTTTGAGTCTTTTCGGTACCTACATCCCCTCAATATCATTCCTCAGTGTAGCCACTAACACCGCTTGATTCTCCATTCCATCCATTATCGATCAGACTCAGCCCATCTTCCGTACCCGGACGCTTTTCGTTTCTGACTTGTTTTTTTTTTTTTATCGATTTGTTCAATATTGTGCTCCTGGGTCTTGCTTATCTTTTTCCCGTCATATCTCTCACATCTGTGTTTTGTACGTTGTAATTACTTGATCACTCTATTCCCCATCGAATGGATCTTTTCACTGCTGGTGGATGTCTTCGAATCATTGACAAAAAATCGATTTGCAGGGGGATCCTGTGATCATCCAAAAATGGCGCCACCGTTTGTTTCGTTGACAGCGGTCATGTATAAAATGCAACGTTCCATGCCGCTCCCCTTCGCGTACTCCGAGGTTCAAACTTCTGTTTGTTGCCGGTGCCGCATGCAACCTCGGGCAGTGATAAGTTGAACCAGGGTTAAAGGTGGACAACTTGGCGTCAGACATCTAGACGGTGTTATCAGCATCTTCATCGACTAGATCGCTTAAGTGCTGCGTGACAACAGATTCTGCTGCGATGAGAAGTACGGAGGCAACAACCTCAATAACCTTCCTTGCCTTAAGAGTCGACCCTCTAGCACGAAATAATCTACATGTATTATACATATCCATATGAACAGAAGCGATGCACTGACAGTGTCCATCAATTGAGAGATACAAGCGAGGAAATCCAGCGTCCCTGTGACTAGTGATGACCACTGAATCGCAATCCTGACGATAGCGCAGCCTTGTTCCTCCGCGTAGGCGGAGATGTTGCTCCGCTGAGGTATGCATGCTGCAAGGCCTTCTCCATGGTAAGTCGTTGTCGAACGTTGATTGCATGCAACCGCTTTATGAAATCGACCTCTACAAACGTGATGTGGAGTGAGCACATAGTTAATTACAACTGCTCCGGGAATTCCTGAAACCGACCTAATTCGTCTGCGGCCTTTCGAAGCGTCGCGAAATGCGAGCGATACTTGCCATTGTCCATCTTAAAACCAAGGAGACCACTGCTGCTCTGATCTTCGTAAATGATATCTGGATCTTTGTTTACGAGGTGCAGCATGCAAAGGATTGACGCAAGTTGCCAGCTGTCGGTCGCAGGAGTGAAGGACCGGTATCGTATGAAAGAGGGGAGGTTAGAGAGCAGTTCGGGTCTAGGCCAAGTTTCATAGCAAAGATCATCCGAGGCTTCGGGGGTAACCAGGATGGTGTGGAGCACTTCTCCTGTTTTTGCCGTCAGACTTTAACTGGGACTCGAGTGGCAGTTTTCGGTACTCACTATCCCAATGTCGATGATCCTGGCAGAACCGCTGGGAGAGAGCAGAATATTCTAGCCAGCAATTTCAGCGCAGTGGGGGGATTTCAAGAAGCATAGACTTACCGCTGGCTTGAGATCGGAGTGGTCAATCCCTAATGAGTGCATGATCTTGACGATCGTCAACAGAGTGGTGATGGCCCGGAAGAAGGGTGCCAACCTTGAGAGTCCGGCAGAGTTCTCCAGCGATACGTTTCACATCTGGAACAAAAGATGGCACGGCTCTCAGGTGAGTTTCCTCGGTCCCGTCAGGAAATATGACGTACCAAATTTCTTCTTCCTGTTCTGCTGCACGATTTCCAACAATGACCTCCCCCCAAAATCCAAGAAAAGCAAGGGCCCTAATAAAGTGTTGTTGACTGGTTGTGAAACCGTCTTTGTGAAAGCCCACCTTCGAGATCGATCTTGGGCTCCCGAATTTCGTGAGCTCTGACAACGTTGGGCTGCATATGAGTAGTGAACAATATGCATGCACAATTAATTCGAGTCAAGCGCACCACGCCACATTTTTCGAGATACTTGAGCACATCATATTCACCACAAATAACTCGGTCATACTCAGGGTCCCGGGGAACTTTCAATGCGTATCGAACTGGGGGTTCGCCTAAAAGAACCTCATATACGAAAGCTGAACCTCCTTTTCCAAGGAGTTTTGTAATGGTCAGCCCTTCGATCTGGTCAAGTAATTGCCAGCATTCAGTAGGATGCACTAGGGAGGTTTCTAAAACACTGACATGCCGAATAGTTAGCTTCCACGAGGTACAGCCGACTTCGATCTTAGACTTCTCGGTGATGGTCGTCCAGCCTGAAATAACGGGCGAATCGTCGACACAGAGACGTTCGTCAGGGGCCGAACGCTCCCCCTTGATTGCAATTTGGATGTTCCGTGAATGATAGCGTAGCAGTAGTACGAAGCCGTGTCCATTATACTCAGTCGTCGGTTTGGACCAGAACATCGTGATAGGAGCGGCGCCACTTGTGTTGTCTGGAGACAGTATCGCCTGCACATCGAGTTTACTAACGTGAGGTCTCCGAGAATAATCGTCAGAACCGTGGAAAGAGGTGCTCGAGTCTGCCATATAGGTTGGCTCATCGGCCGTCCATGGAAAGTCCATTGTTGAGGATGAGGGAGTCACTGGAAAGTATTTATGTCTAGCACAATAATGGCAAATCATCCCCTTCTTCGCCAGTCGGCTCCGCACCTTGAGGCCTCATCGCCATGGATTCTTCGTTGACCGCCGTTTGTACATGTTTATCTTACATGAGGCCTTGCTGCTCCTGCTAAGTAAGGAAGAAACTGAATGCAGATTCACACCGGCTTCGTCCGCAACAGCGATTCACCCATGATGAAGTGCATTTATGGGCACCAAACCAGTCCGCAACAACCGATACGAAAGCAGTGTCAGTATAAATAAAGAAAGCTCTCCTGCGAAAATAAGTGTGCAGCTTCAATGATACCAAGCCGAGTCCCGAGGATGGGCAGCCGACTCTTAGCAGAAAGGTCCAGGGTTGGTTCATGAAGACCGCCGTTTTTTTGCAGAACGTATCAGAGGAAATGGGGGACCTGGGCCCAGAAATAGTTCAGGCCATTCGACCCCCCATCACGACCAATATCAGCAAAAATACAACTGTGTGCATGGCCGACCACTGCCAAAAGTAAAGTCAAACAAACAAAGACAATTGGTGACGGAGAGTGTTGATAGGCATGGGTAGAGACGAGTCCCTCATTAAGGCGAAAGCAAAAGACAGAATAATCTGCGATGGATGAGCGATTTAGGAAAATACCTAGCGCTCCATCATTTATTCGCTGGACGATCATGTAACACGGTTCCGTGCAGCCTAACTTGTCCAGCGGCTCGTGTCTCAATTTCTCCCAGCGCTCCTTCGATTTGGCTTGGTCGTATAGGAGGCTTACTTGTGGAGTTGCCACGTTGATTTTACAACTCAGTTTGAACGGCTACAACGCTCGGATCCCTTCGATGTGGCTCTATCTAATGTTACGAAGTCATAGAGGCTGGAGTCCTGCCCAGAAAATGGTTATTTCAGCGGCCGACGAGCCACCATTAATATGTCAGGTAACCTGTCCATGTCCGTTGGTAAAGATTGTACAGCGACGTTTGCCTGTGGATGTCGTGCCCGTGTTCCCAGACGGATCTCCGGCCTGCTTTGTAATGCTCCCTCGTTTCTTACAGATCAAAGGTTTTTCGTTGGGTCTATCGGTTGCAGGGGAAAGGTTGGCTTAATGTGTTCACCCAACCTATCGAAATGGAGAACTCAGTCTAGTACTCCTGTAGAACCGTTGAGAAAAAACCCATTACCAGAGTGGACATACGAAATCGTTGAATGTCAGTGTCCATCGCGGTACTTGGCACAGGCGGACCGCAGGGCTTTGGGGATTCATTCTTGTAAACTGAGGTATAATATGCATTTATCAAGTCCCATCGCATCAAACCTTGGCAGTATTACAGTAATTCTGTCCAATGATCCCCCCAACACGCTACCCCTTCCGTGATATCAAGTCTGCCTCCAAGTTGGCCAAGAAGTCGTCTGCCGCGTTGCGCTCCGGTAGCGGTGGTACTGGTGCAGAAAGCTGGGCATTTGGAGGATCGTTTGTAGTCCCACCGTCTTTCTTCCGCCGTTTGGCTTCGATAGCTTTCCGACGCTCCTCGATATCTCGTTTCCGCTTCTGGATACCTCGCCCACTTAGTATCGGCTTTTCTAATGGATCACCAGAACCAGTGCCTGGATTTGAAGGTTCGCCGTCATCCTCGTTGTACTCGCCAAGTTCAGCCCGCTTCCTCTGTGTCTCTTCTCTAGCCTTTCGAAGATTTTCCATTTGCTGCTTTCGTGTTTCTTCGTCGGCGGAGAATTGGTAGAAACCTGCGGCTCGTGCACGATTGTCTCGTGAGGCATCGAAATGGGTAGCTGGTGAAGCCGTATCGGCGGCAAGCTTTTCCTCTATTTCTTTGACACGTTCTTCGGAAGGCGTATATATAGGGTAGTAATTTTGATCACCATCTGCGAAGAATGGGAAAGTTAGCGAAAGAGATTTACGCTCTGTATAATATCGAGCACACAAATAACATGTGGGCTAATATGTGGGTTACAAATCAGCGCTTAGTGAATTTTTCATGACGTCGGACTCACTCGGATTCGGAAGAGTCTGGTTCTGGTGACTTTCGGGCTAAGTGTCGAGGGACCTCACTCCTTCTAGCTGTCCGTACTCTCCCAAACTCATCCTCATACTCCACAACAGGATCATTTTCATCCTGTGGATGCGACAGTGGTGAGATGGAATTGGCGAGATAGAACGTGGAGCGGATTACGCACATCCATCGTAGGTCGAGGCACCGTTGCACTCTCGTCAACATCATCCGAATCTGATTCATACTCATCCCCTGATACATTGTCAAACTATGCCGCGGTGAGACTTCACACCCATGGTTGAATCACAACAAATACTTACATCGACCAACAGTTGATCATATTGCTTCTCTGTCAACCCTCCGGTTTTCCCCTTCTTCAATTTCTCGTAAATCTTAGCTTTCCTTTCTAGTGCGGCCCGTGCGTTTTCCAATGTCGGCTGACTCAACCTCTCCTGTTCAACGTCGCGCACGATCCGCGCCCGCACGCCTCGATTGGGCCGGTCCCATTTTGAAGTCTATAAAATACCAGTTCCCCCCTGTCGGTGAGCCCAACAATTTGAACACTATTCATGGCAGATGCAAATGAGGTGGATGAATTACTCACGTTCTTCACGGCCCCGATGCCTTTCAGCGTGAGGCCCTTGACTTGAGTCACACCAGAAGCCTTGGCAATCTTGAGCTCTTCTTTCTTCTTCAATAACTCAGCTTTAAGGTCAAGGAACGATGCCGCCGTCACACCACTCCGTTTGCCCTTGCTGCTAGACGCCATGGAGTAAAAATGTAGTCCACGTGACCAGAATCTGATCGGATCATTTTCTCGCTCAGTCAGTGTTACATACATCAATGGCGCAAAAAATCATTGGTAAATCTTATTGCAGTATCGGGGCTTCGTGGACTTCAGCGAACCATTTCTTGCTGCCAGTTTTCGTCACCGGTAATGCGAACAAGTTGAGGGAATTCAATCAAATTTTAGGTGCTGGAGAAGAGGCTCCGTTCAGGGTTGAGGGCAGACGATTAGATCGTACGGTTATTTTATTATTGGTATGAGGTGAGATTTAGTAGTCATTGTAATTCGTAGTTCCGGAAGTCCAAGGAACGACGCAGGAGGTATCAAGAGAGAAATGCAAACGCGCCACTGAGTTGGTGAGCCATTTCTTCCCCGATCGGTGACGCGTGGACGACACTTCTTACCAATCCGGCTCAGGTAGGTGGCCCTGTCATTGTTGAGGATACGGCACTGTGCTATGATGCGCTTGGTGGGCTTCCTGGCCCATATATTAAATGGTTTATGAAAACGTTGGGACATGACGGTGGGCTGCGTCAAGAGCTTCATGGCGTTGGGATTCGGTTCTCATCACGTTCGGCCCCATTAGGTTTAAATACACTGCTAGACGGCTTCCCCACCCGCACAGCCCATGCGCTTTGCACTTTCGCTTACAGTCCGGGACTAAATAGGGATGATCCTGAGGCTGAACCAGAAATACATATTTTCGAAGGGAGGACCGAAGGAACGATCGTTCCCCCAAGAGGCCCTGCCAACTTTGGGTGGGATCCTGTCTTCGAAGTGAAAGGCGTGGGACAAACGTACGTATTATTGAACGGTCTTGATTTTCTGATCGCGTCCCCAAGTGTTTTGTTCGCTCTAGTTACGCTGAAATGGACCCGGTCGAAAAGAATAAGATCTCGCATCGGTACAAAGCCATTCAAGCTCTTAGAGAGTATCTTTTAGAACATCCACCCCAGTAAAACATCACATGGTGGACGTCTATTCCATAGTTATCAGTAAAAGATGTGAATATTTACCATATGTAGTATATCTTGTTCTAGAAGGGGCGCTAATCTTGGTATTTTCGCTTGACACAGTGATTAGTCAAGCTGACGGGGTCAGTTCCACGCAGATATTGGTCGTCCGTTTGCGAAATATGTGGCTGTGCCGGCCACTGTTCTTGTGCCGGAATTCGTCATCTAGCCGTACGGCTAGAAGGGGCGCGTCCGATGGGTCGTGTGCTCCTGCCGAGCTCCGTAATGCTTTGGTGTCGCTTCCCATAAGAGGGGGAGGCGTGCCAATCCCGTTCTCTCGATCTAACCATCTCTATCTTCTGTCCCCTCTCCTCTGTAGCCTTTCACCCCCTTGTGCTAACCTCTCCATGCATCGACGAGGGACGTCGGATATATTGTCTCCTACCTATCCCGTTCATTCCCATTTCTGGCCATCGTCACTGCCATCGTCCTTCTGGAGCTATCCCTTCCCTTCATTTTGGGGTCAGTTTCACCCCCACGAGCGGAACCGTTTTTCCTATCGATCTCGCAGCAAATATTCAACTTCACATCCCCCTCACCCCCGTCTCCTTCGTCGCCGATGGGTTCCCCGAGCAGGATGCTTCCGTCGCCACGCATTTGACGTCATCTGGTTCTCCCTGGGTGGTCTCACGGCCTCTATCATCTACTTTTCCAAGCGATACGTAGCCGCACTGGACGAAGAACGTGCATCAGGGATCAATAATTTACAGCGACCCTCAAAATTCGATCACGCGTGCATGCAATTATCGTGGCGGCACTTCAAGAAGCACCGAGTAGTAGACAAAGAAATGCTGGAGCAGGACTTTTTCGACGAACGGAAAAGGCTGAACGAGTTTGGAGAATATCGGTTACAGAAGGTGTGTGCATGCTAGTTTCCAAAACTCCGCTTGCCCCTGAAAGCCCAAATTTTGCTCGACCGAGAAATCAGATTGACCCAACTACGAGACCTTCTAGGAGTAGATGCTGGTCATAATTACTCCTGTCACCATGCTATCGCTTCCCACTTAATTTAGCTAGGATCCCTGTTCGCCGAATACTCATCGAAAGGAACGTTGGAATTTGTCTCGCTACATTCCAACACTCTAGTACTATTCTCGGAACTAAAATAAAAGTCGTGCACTAACCGTTGCACGAGTTTGCCACCCTGCAATCAAGACGCTAAGTACTTCGTCTATTAGAAAACAAGTGCCCGGCAGAAGAGTGCAATTTAATTACGCTGGTGGTACCGAACGACCGCCGCGTTCACGTCACAACTGTGCAAAGCCGACTCTGGAATGGTCGAAATCGAAGGCTGTGCGAAGAGATGCATCAACCAGATGAACGAACCACGAACTAGAGCGAGTGTTCACCAGTATAAACATTCTTCATGAATGCATCGCCAAGGACCCAGTGGCGAATACTGTCATCGGTGGCGACGACACTCCCTACGCAGTCCGCATCGGACACTTGTAACCACTTTAGGTGTTGTGACGAGATCGTATATGTTTGGCTGCCAATTGAGACCGAAACGATCGGGTTGGAGTCACATGGATCTAAAAGGGCAGAGAAGAGAGGTCGATGTGCGACACCTAGAGCTGAATACTGTGAGTGAACGGCCACATACAAGTGTACATCCCAGGTCCATATTGAATCGCTGCTTGGCTGCCAGGAATCGAAGACCAAAACTGCGCTACACTTTGGGCATCTCCCAGGATGAGAGTTGTTCCTGAGTCGACGGATGCGTCCACGGATGAAATGACGGTTTGTCCTCCAACATTGACATCATCTACTGTTATATACCAGGACGACTGGTAGAGGACGGGATTCCAATTCAGTGGACCTTTGTAAAGCGATGCATCAGTTCCCCCGAGAAAGAGCGAACCATCCGTATCGGTGAGGTAGAAGCCAAATACGCCGCTCGACACTACTCCTTGTTCTACGAGAGTATTAAAAACGGGTGTCCCAGTTTGGGAAATAGAAGGCCACCCCATGCCCATCATGCCATCAGACGCGCGATCAAGAAGTCCTCTGAGGGACGAAATGCTGTAGCGTGTTGCACAGGTAGATGGGGAATGTGACTTACGAGTCGACATCACTAGCAGAGGCGAATGCTTGGTTAGTGGCCGTCAAACCAGCGACCGTAATGTCGTCAGTGTACTGCTGGCCTGTGGCATACGTGTCATCTTGATAATTTATATCAAAGTCCTGTCCCAGATCACGAGATGTGGAGCTAGAGCTGGGGTCATACGTTGAATGACCACTGCATGCCGCGCAGGAGGAGTCCGGAACCCAGGTGTCGCTGCTTCCGCTGCATGGGAAAAAATAAACCATCGGGCGACTGAGATGTGAAATAAAACAAACGTGTCGAATTCAACCTTGAAAGTTACGGGGGGAGTGCCTATCGTGATTTCGCCATACCAAAGAATCTTACTCGCTGTGAGAGCCTCAGTACTCGTATTGGCTCTGCTGGAAATCATGCTTCTACGCCCCGCCAATGGATGAATCTTCCCTGTGTTGATCCTGTAGATGTTAAAAGAGTTTTCATACTTGCTGGGGATGCGAAAGGAAATGAATCGAATTAGGGTCGGACATGCCGTTAAGAGCCGTCGCGAAAGCAATACTCACGACACGAGATGAGCGTGTTGAGCCATCGTGTTGTCGAGTCTGTTTGAGCTCCGCTTTTTGAGTGGAATGGAGACCCCTGTCCCGTTGACATGCAGAGGGACCGCAGAAACAAGGGGGGACATGACGGAGAGTATGGAAGCCAATTGCGAGGGCTTCATGACCGATGGAAGCGGCGGGGCAAGGAGAAGACACGAGTCTGAGCAGGGGGACCACCCTGTGTCCCGCAAGAAGACATTTTATCTATGAGTGCGCGAGGCTGTTACCGGCTTCGCTCGTAAGGAAGGAAGTCTGAGCAGCAAAATGGACAGCCCCAGCGTGAAAGTGGAGGCTATGGAAGGAGTCATGACATCGATCTTTGGATTGGGGCCCACTGATCCCGGTGGGAAGCAAGACCACAACCTTCAAAGCCTCTGGCCTGGAGCTTTCGGAGTGGGGAATCAAATTATTTAGTGTTGCGGCGCAACCGCTCCTTTCTGGCATCACGCTGCCAAGTTACTGGACATATTTAGTAGCCTCGGGTTACACTTCCCCGAGCCCCGCACATTCATGCGGGAGAATGAAGTGGTGGGATGAGCAACAGCCAACTTAATTGACAGAAGGTGATAGTATTTGGAAAAGTCACGGGGCGGTGAGTTATGCTGGGGATTTCACTGTTCACCAGCAGTTGCCGGGGGCATCCGTTCCTAGCAAAGGGTTTTCACACTCCGCCTCCAATGTGCTATCCCCACCACCGCGGACAGCCGGGCAGCAGCTAAGTGTTGACTGTGGGGCCCAAGTGAAAAACTAGTAACCACTCCCAACGACACCAATCCCAAAAAACTAGCATCCGGAGAAGATGCAAATTGTGGGGGGCGAGCCAACGGAGCGAACAAGTAAGCAACAAAAGCAGAACTAGCAACCTTCCACATGATTCAAGAATGAGTCATTGGTGGCGATGCGACACGATCACCGCCACCGTTTACCAGTCTTTCTGGGGCGTTCTACATTCCTGCCAGAGGGATGCATAATCCAAGGGCGATATTCAATGCCACAGCTGCAGTTGCAGGGGGCACCGCTTGGCCCTCCCATTGTTCTGGGCCTTTGGATATTCCGCAGGCTTCATCTCAATGGTTGTTACTGGTCAATCTGCAGCTCCTCCGCCATAGCTTTGCAATTCCCGCTTTCAGTGGTTCCAGTTCTTGACCTTTGTCTATCGATCGTATGTCTCCTTACATAACAACCCTAGCGGCGCAAATCCACATCATGGCTGGCATCTGGTAATAGTATAACAACGTGTGAAGTCTCTTTTACATTATCAACAACACCCGCGATTCCCTGCATAGCCAGTATTTCAAGACATTGGGATTCTCTCGTATCCATCAATGTCGCGTCCGGACATTGTCCGTCTCGTGACCACGGAAGGTAGTCCGAGGCATTTATGTTTCCATTTTGGCGAGACGTGAAACGTTGCACATTAGCTGGCGGGACACATCCGCTCACGCATGCAGCTTGGTCAAATCATCGATAGGTTCACTGCCGCCACGACGTTATATTTAGGAGGCCGTTTGGAAAACGGCGAATGGTTAGATAATGGGATGGCAATGAACCACTGTACTCAATTGGCGTCCATCTTCCGCTCCATTGGGCGCTCAACCCCTGCCACCCGGGCTGGGGATTTCTGGGCCACTTACTGGGCCCTGTTAGCCCGCTTGTCTATACAACCTGTGTCCGCGATTTCCCAGGAGGTGCAATCCCAAACCGGATAGAGGACATGAGTGCGGACCAACCATTGCTTCATGTAGTAAAATAATATAATTTGCTTGACAGTTCTTAACTGTATTCAACCATTTTCCCCTAATCCGATCACTGTGATAACATTTGGATGTGTGCCCAAGCACAAGTGTCAAACAATTCGGCTATGGCATAGGAAGTCAGGGCAGCTCTTGATCGGGGTCCATCAATCATGTCAAATTAATATAGTTGGACAAATCCAATTCGGATATTTGGTAAGTTGCATCGATTCTGGAAAACAGGGTGTAAATACAGGCGCAGTTAGAATATGAGAGCGATTCGTAAGATGCAGTGTGGAGATGCGGTGTGGGTGGCCGATGGAGAAAAAATCATGGGCGGGGATGCGCAGTTTATTAAGGTTCAAATAACCAGAACATAATCGTTCAGAGACAAAGAGGTGCAACGACCACAACTTTCAAGTGCAATATTCTCAAAAGATTCCAAGCTCATTAAGCTGATGAGACAGGATGGTTTGCATTGATGCCATTCTTATGCCGTATGTTGATCGGGACGTACCTCTCCGTGCAACCTTCAGGGATCAGCTGCAATGCTAGAGAACACCAACAACTGGGAACACAGGATTGCTTACCTTGCTGTCCACAAGAATGATGCCATGCCCGGTGTGGATCGCTAGTGGAGCATGTATAACTACTGCAGGTGGTCTGTTTCACGGAGATACTTCGGATCCTCATAGGCCACAGAGATAAGCATAGGCATACGATCTGTACCACGGATTTGCTAATATGGCCTAGGGAGGCAAAGGAGGGGAACAAAGGTAAGAAGTCTCTTTGCTCTAAGTGGGTTTAACCCAAAACGGACCGCATTCTGGATTGAAACTATTTAGAATAGATTACCTGTCAACACAATTTGGGGCCCACCAAGGTGCACGTCGTGGACGATCTGCCTATAACACATCATCTATTCCAGGGATTAATTTGTGTATAATAGCTATTCGGAACCCCCACACGCAAGGGACCCACGGATAGGTACTAGTGATGTCAAACCTAAGTGGCGCAGAAGGTGCGAGATAGAAAAAGAGGGTGATTGGTAGAACGGAGAAGCAAGATCGCTGCCAGGCTATGTTTCATTTAAGCCTTCCATGAGAGGCCAACTTGGCGCCATAAAAATCTGGGGTAGCATGCGTATCCATACAATCTCAGGGTAAGGTGGCACCGGAGACCACTTAAACCGTGGCAGGTGGCAGCGAGTAAATTCCCGACATCTTATGTATCCACAATGTATCGCACTGGGAGATGAGATGTACAAGTAGGGCAGAGGGGAAAGGCGCTATAGTTTTCATTTTTCCGCTGACTGGCGCAGCTCACTGAGCTCAGTATTGTGGATTCTCAAGCTGAGTTGGATCGCCGTCCACCATCAGCCAATGAGATCGAGGGTGGACGTAGCTGAAAAAGGTGAGAAACCCCCCGATATTCCCTAGATCTGAGACGTGCCCCAGTTGAACTTTGATGATTACGAAAACTCGACAGGTGGGATAATATCATAATGGAGGCAGCAAAACGTGAAAATGAATAGGATGGCGCAAACTGATGTGGCTGTGCAATTGTAATCTTGGTCGCAACCCTTTTTCATCGTCCAGACGCGTCTCATGCCACCTAATTAACCACAATTAGCTAAACATTCCCCACGAAAGGGCTCTGCTACTGCGGCTCGAGTTCTTCATGCCACCATGGGATGATTCGTTTCTGTGTAAAGTTCTGGATATATAGGATCATTCTCTTCCAATGCATCAGCTTCTCAGCGGATCCCCTTCGCCCATCTAGTTTCTTCTCGCGTAGTCGTCTGGCTTAACAGCCCACTTCACGCCGAATTATAGCTAAGCTCTCGCCATATATCGCTCGTAGTGCACTATCATACAGGATGTGTGAATCTACGAGCAAAGTCACCTACGTTTATGGTGCGTCCAACCATCCTATCTGCTACCAGTACGCTGACAAAAACGCTTTATAGGCCAATGTGGTGAGCATTTGTCATTTAAATTATGGTGTCGCACCGTCAACGCAACCCTCAATTTCTTTCAATAGGCCATCGTGAGGAGAAGGTCGACTTTCGCCATGTGAGTTGATTTCGAGTTCGTCTTAGGGTATTGTGATATAATTGTTATCCCCCCTCTCTGGGTGTGCAGGACGACTGCGCCGAGAGGTCTTGTCATATGGCGCGGGCACAGGGGATCCGCTTGAGCCTTCCGCCACATGAATGTTGCGCTTTAGGTATGCCTCCATCCACTGCCACTCCTAATCTGTGCATAGAGCATGGCCTGACGTAGATGTCGTTTTGCTGGGTATTTAGGATGTCCCGGGTAGTGAGTGACTTTCCACCCTCCGTCATCGCAACCCAAAAATAAGTCTGATTACTACAACCATCTTCCCCGATCCCTCCCCGCTTAGCGTTCCGAATGGTGAAAAACATGAGTATCGTGGGGAGAAATGCAAGAATTGTCGTGGCGCGGTGCCTCGTCGTCGCTGATACCAGTGGGAACGAAACCGGGAAAAAAGAACCCCCTCATACTTTGTCTCTTCGAATTTACACTCTGGAATGGTGATCAAAGGCTTCGGAAGTAGGATTCCAAGGAGGGGAAAACCACATATCGACTGTTTATCTTGGCTTCGCAATTCAAGACTCAGCACTTCATTGTCAAACAACATATCCATTTTATTTTCAAAAACACCTTTGCCAATACCTCTTTCCCATTCTCCTGTCACATACTTGTCTTTTGGTATACGTTTTGTCCGCAACGTCCTCAACGGGCAGCTTAATTCGCCTCTCTGCTATAGTGCCCTGTGATTGCCTCTGATGCTTTCTTCAGTCATGTCACAAATTAGTTTTTCTTGCTTTGTTTTCATCTGATTTCTTGAATTTGTCTCAGGCTTCAAACCCCAGATCTTGACTCATTCGTGTCAGGCCTAAATCACTCGAGCCATAGCAAACATTTGTGAACTACTGAAACACTGATGTCCGCCAAGACTTGTTCGTCAGTAAATCGTGCGTCATTGATACTGCTCATGCGAAACATAACTTTGAATACCAAATCAAAATTGGGCAGATCCACGTCATGAACAACAGAAACCAGATATAAGCACATGGAACCATCCAATCAAACAAGCCCTTTCCCAGCCATAACCAATGTATCCTTCACAGCATCCAAAAGCCATTTGAAGATACCCACCTGAAGTCGATCACGCTGTATCCTGCTACTTCCAACAGCTCTTCTTCTCGCATTCACGCGCATCACATACCCCAGAAGCGGCAGCAATACACTTAACACAGCTAGAACGATCGGAATCGTCAAATTTCTTCCACCCCTTCGAGGGAGATTTGCAATGTACAACTTGAATGTCTCGAACAACGTGGGCGAGTCTGGGGAGGACGGTGAGAGAGACAATTCATTGGGACTGTGCTTATTCAAAGAGGAGGATGCGGATGAGGAGAGATTGAAGGAAGGCGCACGGGGTGGTTGAGGAAAAGCTGTCGTACTCGAGGAGCTGTTCGAACTACTTCGGCTGATGCTTAACTCTCGAGAGGTCCGAATTTTATCTCGAGTTTCACGCCGTGGAGAGCGGGACTGCGATTTCGCCCTGTTAGCGTTCCCGTTCAAGTGCGTGATGCGGGAGTCATCGTGGGGCGTTCCGGATGAGATCGCACGACGAGCTATGGCGTTGGGCGTGACAGTCGCTTGAGATGCAGAACTCGATATGGAAGAAGATGATAGGGCGGAACTTGAGCGAGGCAGCGATGAAAACGAGGACGACATTCCATCGGTGGTTTGGTTCGAGAAAAGGACAGCAGCATGATCAGACGAAGTTGAGGACGAAGACAACGGCGTGGCGGTTCCGTCTGTGGAATGTTCGGTTGGGACATGGTGAGAGGAAGCTACCGCAGTGCCATTGGTTCGTGCCGCAGGGACGAGTCTCCGTGCGGGTGGCGGGGGAGGATTCATTGCATGCGTATGCAGCGTTTTCAGGGACGTGTAAATTTGCTGCTCGTTAGGATATAAGCGATTAGAGATGAACGGGGTCGCGGACATTCAGATGACAACTTACCTTCTTCTTCTCTTCCGGCAATTCCTGTTCGTATTTTAAGAATTCGAAGGCGTACTCCCATTCCCCCAGCCTCGGCAACACTTGCAAGCAATATACATCGATGACCCGTTCGTACGCATCCGGTGATTCCGCGCCAGTATTACCATTTGAAGGAGACAGATGCAAATCGATAGGCGCTAACCCCCTGTGCGCCAACCAATCTTCTGCGAACTTCCGTCCCACTTCCGGGCACTCCAATTTGAGTGCCGAGTAAACCAACGCAACGAGTATTTGTGCGGGGAGGCATAAGGGGATAGGAGATGGTCCATCCGGCGTTTTCATTGGCATGAACAACTGAACGGAGCGAACGTACATGGTGTCAAGGATATGAGAAGGCGATTGTAATAGCATATCCTTGAGTGATGGAGGCAGGCCATCTGTCTCCGTGTGCGAATGCTCAGGGGTTGTTGAAATAGTGGGCGGAGACGAGTACAGAGTTGTCTCGAGGGTGATTCGTAGCAGATCCCACTTACGTCTGTGCGAGTCAAAAGAGTCTGGCAGGAAAGAAGACACTGGGTGTGCCGAGAGGGTGATGAAAGCCCTTTCTACAAGAGATTGTGTCAATGAAATATCTCGTCGGAGGAATGCACGGGCTGCTGGTGGATATAGGGATTTGAGATATACAAAAGGGTCATTTGGGTCGGTTGACTTGGACGATTTAGAAGTCTTTTTACGGGCGCTCTTGTTAAGTGTGGTGGTCATGGTTGTTGTGGACATGGCTAGGATAGGTTAGAAGAGCCGGAGTGGTGGCAGCCCGTCACCAGAATTTCAGTATTGCGTCTCCTCACGGCTGAGACAATGACCGAATCCCACCAATAGTATGAAGTCTTGGGGATCAGCCAGGTGTTCACTGTGTGGATAGGGTGGGTGGTAAGCCGAGCAACCAAGTGAAGGATGTCGGAAGAGACGAGTCATACGTTGTGTGGGCGTGAGCGCGGGTTGTTCCTGGTTGCAAGCCGGACCCGTGAAAATAGATAGCCAAAAAAGGAAGGTGGTCGAGACCGCAATTTTTGCCACTCTATCGACTCACTCTCATTTTGCCAGTCGCCGCTGATGCCACCCCAGCCAAGCCCCATTACACCTTCGGGAAAGGGGGACGCGAGGGTTTTCGTATTGAGCGCACACGGAGGCCTTCGGACTCACAGGCACGCGATAGTAATATTCTCTGGCACCGGACTTGCCACCGAAATAACACAACTTATGGTGGTCGGCCACGCGTTCTTAAGCCTGAGAGCGGCCGAAGTCCAGGGGGCTGCCATGCGCCTTGACCGCTTCTCTCTCGGCGTCCTCTCCTGCGAACTTCGGCTTTGCGAGACGACGGACGCCGAGTGCTTGCCCTGAGGTTTTTATCCAATGTCTGGTTTTCCCAGCCATGCCGGAAGATGAGCCCTTGTATTGTATCTCTAATTGGGGTGCGGAAAACAATTGTCGAAATATTATTTCATAACCTGCCTAGCCGAATTGCATCGGCTAGTGTGGAAGGCAGTGACCCCGTCACTTATGTCGGCTCAAACCACTAGAAATGTCTGTGATGAGCTGTGATGAACCCCCTAAAGATTACAGTGCGTTCTTCCGGATTGATGTGTGTATGAACGATCGCCCTTGATAATATTGCAGTCATGTTGTCGCGTGGCAGGGGACAGAAAGCAAGCACGGCCGTAGAGTTATGCGCCATAATTTGGGCGCCCCAAGCTCTACGCCCTTTTTTGGCCTGGGACTGAATTGACAAGGCACAAGATGACGCAAGCTTGCTCTCACAAGCAACATTCCATAGGTGCGATAGATTATCGAAGCTAGTTTATTGGTTCAGTCCTCTTGACCAGGTTGCGGAGCGACTCTCGCAACACATGCTTACTCTGAACGAGGGACGAATGTGGGTGGTTGGCCATATGCGACGTCGCGACTATGAATAACATACCACACTCGTCGCATCTGGATTACCTTTGATTCCCGTTTCCTATCCAAGTTGTGGCCCTTGATTACTGGAGAAGTTCATCCATGGTCATTTCAAGATTATGTTACGCGTGGACCATTCCGCCGGTTCATAGATTCTGCCTCGCTGCAGACGAGCGCTCCCACTCCATCTCTGATTTGCTTACTAGACGTACGATCGGCCGTCCGTTACCCGTTATTTATAACGGATGTTTTGAGCGTACTGGAAGTATTGATGGCTCGCACGGCGTTCTTCGTGGCCCATTCACTTTCGAGCGTTCCCGGTGGTTGTTTGCTGTACGAGACATGAATTCAAGGTCACCATTAATTGAATGAATTCGGCCCAGTCTAGTTTCCCGTGGGCTTAGAGGTCCAAAAGATGCATTGTTTATGATCGACGGATCTAGTTGGTACATACCCATGGATGGCAATCCCTGCTGGCCACCGAATGGTCGATTCATTTTGGGAGGAACACCTTATTTCCACTTGCCGGGCCTTCGATGAGTCAAGGAGTTCAGTAGAAGTCCCTAGACCGATCCTTCTGAGCAATGATTCGTGGTGATGGATCGACGATTATTGGGACAGTTGTTGGACAACTGTGATGTTCGCCCTATCAAACGCTATTGTGATGTCCTCCAGCATCGCAAAAAGGGCACTGATTTAGGACGCATTTGATGCACCGGCATAGGTGACACTGGGTGGTTCCCCGCCTTGTAATCATGAATTGACTAAAATACTTGCCTGGACTTAGATTCTCGCTGGTCTGGATTATTACGTTGGACAGTTTCGCTGGTGGGACAATTAGATTCATATCTAATTGAACGGGATATGTTGGGCTCAGTGTGCGGTTTACAGCAGATGAGCCCCCAACTTAAGCATGACGTTCTTCCTGTTGGTTTCCCTCCACCGATGCATCGCCAGGCTCTCGCGGACCTGGCACATGAAGGAACCACATACATTTGTGCCTGCACCGAACTTAACTCAGCGGATTAAGTTGTGACCGCTCAATTGTGTGCTCAAAGGTAATATACCGTTTCTCCTGCCTCCGTTGTTGTGCTTTCCTCGTTTCCCCCTCCCTCCTCCCTCTCCCGTGTTGTTCTACTGGTGAAAGAGCTTGGATGAATTGTTCTTTAATTTCGGTGGTGGAGGCGTTGCAATGTAAACTCGGATCCCTGGATACTTTCCCTAAGATTTTGCTGAGGCGTTTTCTTCCACTACTCCAAGCAATCACACGAACTCGATAACTACACCGGTGCAGCCCCTACGTTAACTCACCCTTGGGTTAATTTCAGCAGAGGCCGGGAAATCCTGAACTTTTCGGAATGATGTTTGTTTCCGTTGCGCGTAGCTTTATTTCCACATCAACTCCGTCGTTAACACCGCGTAGAATCTGGTAGGCCCAGAAGGCCTGGGGCCGACCACCTTCGCGGTCAGAGGGCACTGCATCCGTGACTCATTTCGAGAATTTTTTTTTTTCGTTTTTCGTTTTTTACTTTTTTGGATACCGGGATCTCCCATATTATCTCTGATGTTCGAGCTTTTCTCCTCAGTTCTCTGAGTCTGAGCCGTGCGTTCGAGGTCAGTGTCCTTGTTATGTGCATAATTACTCATGGCATGTGCCCCTACTTACCAGCTTGACATTCAAACGCCAGGCAGTTCCAATTCAGTTCTCCAACCCCAGACGCTCTGGACTGGCACGGTCTACGCAGCTCACTTTCTCCAGTCTATTTCTGTGGAATCCCCTCGACTGCCATGTCTTATGAACTCTTGCCTCGTGGCGAGATGGACGACATTGAGAGCGAACTTGGCATGAAATCTCGAAAATCGGGCTTCCTGGTCCACATCAACACCAGAACACGTATACTGATCTTTCTCTGTGCTGCCACTCTCTCGGGTTCGATATTCCATGCACTCTTGGTTGGAATTAGTCGTAGTTCGGGTGCCTTGCTCGACCCTCTACTGGGCAAATATGAATTCTCGCCCCCCGATCCCTATATACGTCCTGGCCTCGGTAACTACGTTACACCGATGGAGGATGAATGGGATATGGATAGTATTCGGTCGATGGTATCGAAGACGAAAGGTTATTACGCCCGCGATTACAGCGTCTGGTTGGGTTGGAATAATGTATGTTTATTAATGAGTTTGAAGGATACGTTATTTCATCTCTCTTTTAGATGCGATATATTATTGAAGCCAGCTTATTACACGCTAACCTGCTGAATCGAACACTCGTCCTTCCGAGTTACGTATACGCTAGGGCTTGCGAACACAACATGTGCGTACCCCATAGCTAATAACGAGCTGCGGCAGTCACTCAAATCGCTTTCTATCCAGTCACACCTGCGCTGACTTTTCAGAGATGGTAAACCGTGGGGATGCTATTGGGTGGGATGAATGGAAAATCCTACCCATAGAGGAGCAAATGTGAGTTCAACACCAGTATCGAGGCTCGTAGTGAGATATTCACCCCTCGCTACGTTGTAAGGGGATGGCGCGTACCCATTAGCGTCATGCTTGATCTTAACCGCCTTCGTCACTTTCACCCTGTCGTCACCGTCGCCGAGTACCTACAGCTTCACGACCTTGATCTATCAAAGGAACTACCAAATGGCCGCTGGGGGAGGACGGAATACCTACAAAAACCCGACCATCCATCCCTTTTCATTATCCCTAACAAGGACTTCGATCATGGTAAATATGGGGATTTAGTTCGCGTTGACAAGTTACCGCCACCGCCCCCTGGAGGCCCCTCAGAACCAACTGACATTACCAAGATATTACTAGAAGAATTGAAGGCCAGCGGGAGGCATACAATAAATATAGACGGGGCCAAATCTGTTTTAGAATTCCAGAATTCGAAAGCCTGGGGTACCGAAGCCGAATTAGAAAATATCCTGGAACGCGAGGGATGGTTGGTTCTGTATACATTTGAAGGGTGAGTTGAACCCAATTTGGCAGGAGATCCACACTCATTACCGTTCGCTTGACAGACCGGAGGCACAGAAGACTGTCGTATTTCCGGTCAAGCAATTTGCGAGGCGCGAACTTGCTCGTGGGCTTGTCGATGACTATGACAAGGAAACCGCCCATGTATTGCTTCTTGACTCTGAGACTCATGACAGACGCCCGGCGGTACGTGAAATCTGTAGCATGCCTAAATTAAATTAATGGTCTAGATAGTAATCTTACCTTACAATTTGTTAGGGGGACCTCCGATTTACCACTGAGTCGGCTCGGAAAAACTTCGCCAATCTAATTTTACAAGGTGTGAAACCTCTTCCTTCGATATTCAAGGCCGCGGAACGCGTTGCCGAAAGGATGCTCGAAGTGAACGGTGGAAGAATGTGGGTGGCCGCACATATGCGGAGAGGGGATTGTGAGTAACCTTATGGCTGACTTTGAGCCTATGCATAATTTATCCCTCGACTCAGTCCTGCGATGGGGCTTCCAACTTGAGTACAGTATTCGAAAGCACCTAGAACGGATCAAAAATAATATCCAGCGTGGTCGTGAGGTCTTGCGAGATATGTCGGAGAAAAATGTGTCATTGGTAACGTACGACGTACCGAATGTGACGCCGGACACTCCGTATCTGCGTTCTCCTCCACCCAACAGCAGCGATAAGTAAGCTCCGCTAGTTTTGCCTCCGCTGGAGCGACTTGCTTGGCCATTGACAATCGCGTCCACAGATTCTTCATAGCCACCGATGCACGCACTGAAGGCGAACTGAAGCACATTCGTGAAAACGGAGGTGTCCTTATTGTTGATCTCCTTTCACCATCTGACAGACGATTAGTCGGATGGCCACTTCTCATCACCGACGTGATGGGCATTCTGGAACAGGTTGTGATGTCCCATGCGCATTACTTTTGCGGGTATCATGTGTCTAGCTTGCCGGGTGGTGTGTTAAATTTGCGGGCGTCAGGAGGGATGGATCCTCGCACGGCGTTCATCGATCTTAGTTAGCTTCAAGTGCCATTCGTATTTGTTTATAAATTATTCAGATGCCATGCATCATACGGACCAGCAAAATGACCCGGGTACGACACCACGCTACAGAACGCGAAGGTATACATGTGCTCTCACTCCAGGGTGTTAGACTCGCATCCTTTCCATCTTGCATGATCCGACCTGATAACAGGAGATCTTTGGTGCGACGCGATCGCAACGGACTTGTGCATCAATGAATCACATCTTTGGGCCAGTAATCAGCCTATACGGGCTAGCACCCTGGTGAATTTCTGTAAAAGAAGCTTTGATGCGAAGTCCACATATTTGTGCCAGCCGAGGGAAGTACTAGATATCGAGAATCGGATTGATAGAACGTCCTTGATCTTTTGATAGCCTTCCAATGATGGGGTGAACCGTGATGGTACACCAGAGGTCGGGTCAGTCGGCGAGTCCCGGCGCGTGGGCAAGTGATGGAGGAACGGATTACAAAGGCAGCTGCAAATCCGGACAATGAAGTCAGAACCCCTAAGTTGCAGATGGCACATGTAACTTAGCGGATCGCCCAAATGGTACGGTAAGTTGTCCGTGGGGAAGGAAACACAATTAATGCAACTGCGAGTCAATTCATTATACAATGGGTCTGTTGTCGAAGCCTTTTTGTCCTCAAGGGGAGTGCTGCGTTATGACGGGAAGGATACTCAACATCGTGCGTGCTAGCAACGGAAGGCGGATCTCCTAAATATCGACGAAACGGTCTTCCATCAGAAAGATCGAGCCGAGTCCATAGAAACCCGTGAACCATGGCATTGTATGCCCCGAACTGGGTCGAAGGACCAATGAGAGTCACAACATCGGTGCTGGGTGGCTGCATTATAGTGGGTAGATGAAGCCCAGAAAAAGGGAATAAGCACAATACGAAGCTGGTCCATACTCTGCCGTCGTTGAATCCAGTTGAAGCTGTTGCGGAAATAAGCGCAATGTATTTTCGGATAGTGTAACTCCACTCCATGTCGAATTTTCCGCTCGTTGCAGCTGTGCTATCATCAGCCCCTGCTGGTCTATCTAATGGGCTTCAGGGTCTAATATCATCTAATGACACGCTCGAATCAACCCTAGATAACGTTCTGCGACTTTGTTGTGGGCTGCCCCACACTTCCGATAATCAGTACACGCCCGAAGAATGGGCAAAATCTGTTCAAACACTACATTCTAGGATATCTGAGCTGGGAGAGACGTCCTTGACTTTCCAGCAGCCTCTCAAGAGAGCTTTGGAATATGAGGAAGATCGTTCGGATGCTAAGAAAGCGAAAACTTCCCGCGAGGGTTTTGGTGTCAGTGCACTGACGTCAAATGTCAACAACGCCTCGCCAAATGACACGTCAAGCGATCCACCCATCTTCACATTTCATTCCATTTCCATGTCTTCCCCTGTTCGTAAAAAGGTCGACATAACAGTCCATCAGTTGACGTTACGAATCACTTCTCCAGGAAATCCTCTCGAAAATTTGCATCCTCCCATCTTACTCTCTATCCTTCGTCTCGCTTTCCTGCTTCCCGTACCTGGGAAACGGATGCCATACCTCTCGGCTGTGATTCTCCCCGAGCGAGCAAGGGTTTCGCCTTCGGACGGAGATATTCAAATCATATTCGGAACAGATTCTGTCTTGACGGCGACGCAATACACAACGAAACATCCAGGTCCCAAAGAAGCTCATACAAAGGGCAGTCCATCAAAAGTTCTCTTTCATTCCTTATTTGCCTATTTCCCACAAGGCGAAAATGGTTTGCGGGATCTATACGAACCTTCTACCGGCGATTTCACATCTTCATCCGGCGCTCCAAGCGTCGATGCACACATAGGAGCTAAAGATGGTCATCTCTATTTCTTCAAACATGGTATATTCTGGGGAGAAAAGAAACCGTGTGTATGGTTCCCGGTTGAAGCCATCTACGATATGACAACCCGAAGCGTAACGGGTCGATCTTTCTCTCTTTCCATTGATACTCGTTTCTCGACCGTTTCTGCTCTGTCAAGTAACGCGAGACGTGCAGCAGCAGCGGCTGCTGCTGCTGCTATTGCTGCTCAAGCATCATCGTCATCAAAAAATGAAGCCACTGAGTTGTTGATGAACGAAGAAGATGATGAATTGGAGCAAACGGAATTTTCTCTCATCGAGGGAAAAGATCAAGATGCCGTTAAAAGCTGGATATCCAAACACCGGAATGAATTCGCGACAAATGTAATGATCCTCGATGATTCGTCAGCGTCTAGAACCGCCACTGCTACTGGTGAAAATAGCAATGCGTTCGTAGTCGCAGGGACGTCTCCTAACAAATCTGGCGCTTCCTCTGCCGCTGCGGCATCCGTTCCATTCAGTCAAGCTCCGTTGGACGAATCCGACCCTGAGGATGGAGATTTTAAAGTGTCGGATGTTATATCCACAGCCTCATCATGGTCGTCGTCTTCGTCTGAACGTGGAAGCGTTGATGAAGATGAGGGGGGAATTAACATGGGACCGGATGATGAGGAGGGAGAGTACGAAAGCGAGGAACTTGCCCATCGGGGGGAAAAGGGAGAAGTGGGCAATGATGGTGATGATGATGATGGTGATGGTATCGACGAGCTAGGCCAAGGCAACCATCCTTTATTGCAACCTGGTGCCATGCCTCGAATGAGTAAAGCTGCAGTAGAAGCAGCTATCGGTATGGTAGAGGAGGAATTCGGTTTCAAGTAATCAATAAAACAACGAGGTAACTAAAAGTTCAATTCCCCCCCCCCTTTTTTTTTCTCTCGATATGAATCCGGAGTGTTGTATGCTTCGATATCCTTATTCGTGCTTGATCAACTTTCGGTTCTTCAGAACGTAGCAATATCCTTAAATGTACCACCTCCACTTTCGATGGGCCCCTATCCTCCATCACGATTCACCATCATTCACAGGACATCACTCAATATTTCATGCTCTGCTCTGTACTTACACCCAACAAAATGTCATGATTGATTTTTTTTTTGGGCGGGGGTTCGTTTACGGATACATCGAAAAACAGTATACGTACTAAAAATTCTACTGTACTGAAACTAGTAGTAAGTGGGAGGATAGATGCTAAAAGAGATGTTCAGGTTGGGCAGCACAGCGCATTTGATGTGAGGAAGTCCGGAAGAGAAAAAAAAAAAGAATAAGAAAAGCCAAAAACGTAGACAACAAAGCGCTACAGACGAATAACTGTTTCCAAAAACGTCCGTCTGAGCTCCACTATCGAAACAAGTACATATGAGCAGATAACAAAAAAAAAAAAAGTCAGAAAGAAAGCACGTAACAACGATCTGGGGTCTGGTTGTATGTATCACATCCCTAGGCAACATGAAGCAAGGAAAGGAGTAGAAAAGAAAAGCGTACGTGTGGAATAGAGCATGCTAGAAAGCAGGTGAAAAAAAAAAAGAGCTTCGGGATTAAAATGGTGAGGTTAGCCGACAAAGGGAGGGGGGAGGGGTGGAGGAGGCAAGCAAGATAACAGTTTACTAGGGATATTTCGTTCGTCGGACGATGGATGATGGATGGGTGTATATGAATGGTTTTTGAACGCGGTTGAGCTACGGCGGTGGATCATGCAAGATACCCGGCAGCAGGATTCCATCCTCCAAGCGCACTCAAATCCCCGCCAACGTCACCCGCCCCTCCAGGGAAACAGCCGCCAACCTCACCGAACGCGCCGGTGGACTGCGCAACACCATTGCTCGCCTCTGAGCCATCCGCCTTCCGACATTCAATACCACCTTCGGATTTATCTATAAAAAGCGCGCGTGCGCGCGCACGTCAGTCAAATGATCTACAAACAGAATCAAAAGTGACAGCTTACGATGTCGGTTTAGAGCATCCATCCTCGCAAAAGTCTTTCCGCATCCTTCACACGTGAATGGACGAATGTTAAGATGCAATGCCTCATGCCTCTTGCAATCATGTTGTCTTGCAAATCCTTTCCCGCACTTGGGCCACTTGCACACGTACGGTCGTTCCTCACGGTGGGAACGAAGGTGTCCTATAATATAGCACAAAAGAAAGACAGCGGCATTAAACACATATAGATATATATATACACACACACACGGAACGCACCTTTCAGATTAAACTGTCTGGTAAATGTACTTCCACACCCTTCCACAGGACACATGAACGGTGCCCTGTTCTTCCTCCTAATAGCACTAGCAGCCTCCGTAGCAGGAGTGGTAACATTTTGTCTCTCAACCTGACCCGCAGGAATAGGAGAAGGGTTCCTCGAACCACCCGACAAAGACGCTGGTCGGCTATAAGGCGATCCTCTATCTGACCCTACCGAACTTGAGCTACTCCTCCTCCCACGTCGAGCAGGTGGAGACCGTGGATCAGGTGGAAGGAGCGATCCGTCAGTGGAGGTGATGCTTCGAATGAATGCTTCGTTGTCGACGGGGACGGTACGATTGAGGGATATATCCTCGGACCAAGCGCCACGACGATGACCAGATGGTGTTGCTATCGTACGGTACCGCCGAAGCGCCGTGCCTTGAGGATGAAGGGAATTGAGGGGGAGTAAGCTTGGGGAGTTGGGCGTCGAATGGTGGAGTAGGTGGGTGTTTTCGGGGTGAAGTTGAGTATGAGAGTGAGCCGGGGAGATGGGGACCAAAGAATCCAAGAATGGCTCAAGGGAAGTCGTCAACGACGGGTTCACCTCGCTGAGGTTCACAGTTCGTTGCGACTGACCCAAAAGGTGGGATTGTTGATACTGCTGCAATGGGAAGACGCTCGTGTCCTGCCACTGTCCCCTTGAAGGAGTCGAAGACCCCGAGTGAGATGCAGCTCGAGGTCTGTGACCCAACTGCACAAAAGCGGAGAAGGGGAGGGGGCCAGGAGGAGGAATGGAGTTTGGAGTATCATTGAAATTAAGGCTTTGGTTGCGAGGTGACCCGTTCGTGAATGAGCCACCCCCACCTAGTAGGAGGGAATCCGATGTCCACGAGGAAGTAGCTACAGGGCGTTCAAACGCCGGAAGAGGATAACCCATAGATTGCGGAGCATTCTAAAAATGAAGAAAAAATAAAAATAGTTCCAATAAGACACGTAAGTGCATCGAAAAAAAGGCGACTTACTACTTGAGTATTCCAGCTCGCGGCAGGATCTACAGACCCATTGTCCGGTTGTGGAGGCGGGAACGTTGCTGAAGAAAGGGGGGGGAAAAAAAAAATTGCACATCCATGATCAGCCTTTTCCGTTACTTATGCCAAAAATGAAAAAAAAAATTTTGAACTCACACTCATTCGCACCTGTATCCTCAGGGACAAACGACAAGGGAGAGGGACGCATAACCCCCCGCGCGACGCTCCCACCAGCGGTGATGGGCGTACTGGGAATAAGTCGAATAGCGGGACCCTCATTGTCGGCGGCGGAATCCTGTACGGGGAACCTAGGCAGTGCAAACGTAGGATCATGGGGGGGTTGGAGGAACGCAGTTGAAAAGGCCGCCGCAGTTGCCATGTTATCTACTACCTTGGCAGTCTCTTGAGATTCTCCTTCGTGTTCGTTATTATGTAGGGAGTTGAAAGGATGAAGTGAAGGGGAAGCTGGAATGACGAGGGGTTGAGTCAGAGATTTCGTATGAGCGTGATGAGGTGCAGGAGGGGATGTGGATGATGGAGGTGGACTTGGTGCGTCGATAGGAGCAGAGATGATACCGGGAGATGCAACCCGATGTGCGTGTAATTCTGGGCTCTCAGCGCCTGATGTTACACCAAAGTTGAGACCGGCCAGTGACTCGTTGAAACCCGGAGGCGCGGTCGATTGAGTGCGGGGGGATCGATGGAAGGAAGACACGGAGGAAGCGCGGCTTTTAGTAGGATTTTCTATGTCACCCACACTTGAACCTGGGGAGTGATCAGGACTAGGACGATAGTACGCAGTGGGTTCGTTTATATGTGGGGGGGGACTACTTGCGTTTGAAGGCGCGTCGTATACAAACGTATTTCCAAACTGGTCTTCAATCAAAGGAAACTCTTCTGCCCCTGGAGCGATTGATGAGAAATGATGGGGATTGTAACCTTCGTCTTCGTCGCCAAGGTTGTGGATGCCTAATCCAACTAGGTCTTCACCGTATGATCCAACTTTGGTGTGGTGCATAAACTCGAAATCGTCGTCTGCACTATCCAAAGGAGCGGACAAGCCAGAAAGATTAGAGCCGGGAGAGTTGTATGAAGCGTAAGATCTAAAAGGTAAAAGGTGGGATCGAGAAATGGTTTTGTGAACGAGTTCAGTAAATAAAGAGAATAATGGGTTGTACTGTGGATCGGGGAGAGAGATGAACATACGGAGTATATGGATATTCGGCGTTTGCAGCTTTCTTTGACCACTCGTCGAAGTCAAATGGAACGGCGGTCTCCACAGCAAATGAAGGGAGGGCGTGCTGATTGCTCGAGTCATTGTTGGTAAAATAGTTGGACGTAGCTGTGTCTTGATGCTGTTCCATTGCGATCCAAAAGACTACAGCCACAACGCAATGAATGAATGCGGTGTAAAGGTTGGAAGAGCCGATTTGGGAGTGATGAGGCGCTGCAGGGGCAAGATTATGACGAGAAGGGTGAGAGAGAGAGCGAGGGAGATGGAACGAGTTGAAATGCGCCCGAGAACGCGGAAGAGCGGGAGAGAGGCAGAAAGAAGGTGTGTGTTATTTGTACCTCCTACCTAAGAACGAATTCCCAAAAGAAATAAAACCAAGATATCAAATAACGGGCGCCAATTCTCGGCTCGGATTTAAGAATAAAATCCGAAGTGCCTGGCCCGACAACGGAGTGTAACCTCCATCTGGCGAATCAACAATAAACCAATAATACATAAAGCAAAAAAATGTATGTAATATATATATATAAAAATCAAAATAAAACCGAATCAAAGATCCAGACATTCCTCTTATAGTCATTCCCGCCTCCTATTCTGAATTGTCATGGAGATCCAAGCTTCCCATTTCGTTGACTAATGAATAAATCGAATTATTCCCAATTCCAGTAAGTGGGCTAGAAATATATGTATGTAATCAAAAATAAATTTATTGAATGCGGATGGATTCGCTTCCTCCCATAAAAGGGAATCTTAAAGTGACTCAATTGTGGGTAGCTCATTTTTATTCTCTGAATTTCAAAGTCGAGGGCGCTAAAAAAATGAAGGTTGTTTATGGAATCACACACAAAGGAGCTTGGCGCTTACTGTAAAACAACCGCTCTCTGGAACATAATCCACCATTATCTCTTCCCCAACCCAACCCAACTCTTCCGCGTTGATTATTCCGAGGGGGCCCAAGCATTCCAAACAGACGATGTTCCTTGCGTAGGTTCGCAACTGTCGAAAAAGGGCAATTCGTTTTCATCAAACAAGGACTACTATGGTACTGTTGCAACGACCCAGCGTGCTAAGCAGTTGTTCTCATGGTGATATGTGTAGTGAGTTGGATGTAACAATCACGCATCTTCGCTCTATGCTCTCCAAATGGCAATCACTCCATCCACACGTCGTAATCAGCTCAGGATCGACTTCTTGCAGTTTCAAGTGAATTACCGGTTGCTCTCCACAGAACGTAAATAATAGCGTCCGTACAACGACTTGGGCCATCGACTGCATCACTCCTCCTCCCCCCCGCCAAAGATGGTTTCTCATATTGAGGAATGGATCGGAACCGGGGATTTGATGCCGCTTCGATCTCCAAACTGACGCCTCCCCCAACCCCTCAGTCCTCCACTTTTTCCAATCAACCCAACTTGTTCCAGGACTTTCCCACCTCTCATCCCATCTCCAATCGGCCATCTTCCTGCTCATCATCACTATATGATCATCATCCCACAAACTGAAAAAAATATAACGTCCCTGGCCAAAACCTTCTCCACATTACATGTAACATTGATACATATCCACGGCTTACTTTGAGGTTGATTGATCGTGCTGTCACGCCGAGTGTAGTATTACATATGTAGGCCCACGTAATTTGATGCGCAACACATCGTTCCCCACCCTCGGTCCCGCATCCGCGCTGACGCACAGATATTTTTCTTCTCAATAATCAGTTACATAATCGAGGATTGTTCAATGCATTGATGACGCAACCAAAGCTGCCGCGTTCACAATATTACTTACAGTACAGTAATCATAACTAACACTCTCTAACCGGAACTCTTTTTTGATCCAGCGTCTGTTGCATCAAAATGGACCTCCATCTCAAAGTACTGATACTTACTTGTTCCCGAGTAGCCAACGTGTCCTACCAGCTCGGGCCATACATATCTGTAATCTATCTTTGCCGAGGAAATATATATCCCAGCTGATACAGTCACTAAGTAATATATGCCAAACATGCTGTATGCATGTGTGTGTGCGCGCGCGTCCAAAAAAAAAAGTAGCCGAAGGAACGATATGATATAAAATAATTGTGGGTGAGAGATCCCGGATCCATTGTAACTCTTGAGTGAGTTTGAAACGAATAGGAAAAACGCCCCGATTTGCACGCCTCGTGGGATTCAAGGTACTTGATATAACCCACAGAAAAGGACTAAGTAAGGGCGAGGGGGGGGGACAAGAGAGGGGTTATACAAACACGTGTACTATTGCAGGGAGTAGTACCTGTAAAAAGGAGTCGGCACCAACCGCAATTTTTTTTTGCGGCGCCTGCACGGCTGATGTATTACAAAAAAAAAAAACAAGGTTGGATTGGTTCCATGGACCGTATACTTATGCAACTCAAAGTACCCCTAATCCCAGCACATACATACTGCATGCGCGCTCGATCGACTCGTCATCCATAGACAGGAAACTAATTAACTCCGAGACGGTGTGTACCTGACCTACACGAGCCAGCGGTTTGCATTGGCTCGCGAACAACAGCCGGAATTCACAGTTTCAGGAAATATCACATTCCCCCCTGCTAACCCCATTCCTCGGTGCACGGGATCAGGATCAGCTATCACACTAGTACTGTCAAGTCTTGGCGTCGCATAGATAATCCTATCTCACTTTCCCGCACCTTCCCCGCACTTTCCCCCCCTCTTCCAAGCCCACGGAAGCGCCCGTACCTTTCTCTTAGATTTGTGGAACAACCGAGGGGGGCGGACAACATACCCGAGCCAATCCTAGCCGGGGTTGGGGGGGCGGAAAAAACTTCCGAGAACGGGAAATCAGACAAGTGAAACAGAGAGCCAAGGACAAAAAAAACCCTTCGTTCATACAACGGAGATAAGACAAGAGACGGATTCCGGATGTAACCGTGCAAATGGGGGACCCATGCATACTTAACGTAAAGTACTTATCATCAGTCCGCGAAAGGTCGTTCATGATAGGGCAAATGAAAATAGTCCCGTATCACGGTGATAGCCAATCCAACTTCTAAAGGTAACTATACTACATACTTAATAAACTTCCTCGATCGAATCTTTCTTTCTTTGTTCACATGTCGCGGGATGGCCCCCCAAGGTTTTTAAGTAAAAAAAAAAAAGGCGTCAGCATGATTGAGAAGGATGGCAAATACCAAGTTATATGTCGTCGATCGTGTAAATATACGTACGAGTGATATGGATTAACGAAAGTTATCATTGCAATGCAAGCCGTGAGCGCCTGACGCTGTAAAAGCCGCCAAAGTGCGGAACAAACAACACTTCAACATTTCCCTTTCCCCTCCGCCACCAACCCGGGCTAATGCGGAACATGGGTATATGTGTATGATGGTATCGCGAAATCAGATCCCCTATGATCTGAAAAAGAAACGGAGAATCGATACAATAAAGACACGTCGCTGTGTCTTTTAAAAAAAAATCATCTCGGAAACACACAGCTAGCTCAAAAACCGGTCGCGTCGGTAGGTGACCACCAGTTGCATTAGCGATTTAGAAGCTTCTTGGGGGGAAAAATAAAAAATAAATAAAAGCAGCGCCAGTGACTACCCTGTTCTCTGATTGAGGGTGGGTAATGTAAAGGCAGTGGGTTTTTACGTTAGCTGGGTATGAGAAAGGTCTGAGTCATGTCATTCATCCCAGGCAGGCTAGAGCAAGAAACAGTGCCCAGAACAACCATATGGAAATAGGAAAGGCTGAAAGAAACGACATATCAATGGTCGAATTACTCATTTTTTTTAATATTACCCACTTGCAGCGATCACCTTTACCTTTTGGGGGGGACGATAGCTATCGCATGACTCGGGGCCCCACTTGGTGTCTGAATGACTTGCCATCAGCGCAGTCTGATCAGTTTGAAAAGTAGACATAGACAAGGATATCATGTGGCAAGTCAATCATAGATGACTCCGTTTAGATCCGTGTAGGAGGGCTTCATCACAGCAAGTGGTGATCGAGATCGTATGCTCCATCCGAATGGGAGCGCCGCGCAGCGAGGAGAAACCAGCTCCAGTATATATATAGGGTTTGTTTTCTGGAGGCAGAATTAACTCAATCATAGACGGGGGTGCCTGGGCGTCAACCGTGAATTGAATTCTACCTCGGGAGGCAAGGGCATCTCACCCAAAACCCTCAACCTGAGCTAGCTCAATTCAATGAAAAGCGTTAGTCCAGTTGTAATAGCAGCAGCACCCATGTATGGGCAAGAGTGGAGTACTATTGAGCACCAGTAACTCTCACGAGAACACTGGCAACATCAAGAAAGAAACATGAGCGTAATGCCTTGTGAGGATATTTGTGGCCTAGTTGATATCACCTTCTTTGTGATCCCTAAAATTTCCTGGTCGTTTGATGCCCTACGCGTGAATTTGATGTTCTGAGTCAAAAACGCTTGAGGCTGTGGCCCCCCCCCTCCCCGGACAAAGTGGCACTTAATTAAAGGCTGTGAGTTCCATTCAATCGATCGACAAAACATTAAAGTATCGCATGCTCGAGGGCAACAGAGGCGATGATCAAATATACGTCAAGGTTTCTTCATTCATTTCTAGCCGAGTCGGTTACCCAAGCACATTCGTACGTACGTAGCAAAAAGACGTACAAGCCAACCGAGAAAACCCAAGAGTTGCCGAAAATGATGCGATGATCCGGTCTTAGCCAAGTTACTTCCCGCTGAACGTAAACTGCCTGTGGGCATTGTCGGCAGCGGATCTATAGAATCCAATCAAGCTCGGAATGATAGGTGGTGGGCGTTCTTTGCAAGCCATTAAGGGTTGCATCTCAATCAATCAATCATCAGAGTCCGAGTGATCACGGCAAGAGATTCTCAAAACAGCGCTGTTTGGGTAGTCAGATCAAATTCTTTGCGTGCGGCGTAGACCGGAAGAGAACGCCGGCGAGAAGACAATATAAATATATCGCTTGGGAACGCGGACACTTTATACGGGGGTTGATGAAATTTGCTGTGCCGCAAACACTTGCGCAAGCACCCAGGCGCTGCGCCCCTTGCAGCGTGGGATGATATACGCTCTGTTCCAGGACTTGGTTTACTTAGCCATGAGAGCGAAGGTGATGGATATGTAACGGGGAACCCTGGTTTCGAACCATACGGTAATATTGTCCCTCCACATGCACACCCAATTTTCCTTCAATGCCAGATGAGTAATACGCCGATCCTCAGGCTGGGAAACATGCTCATCCTAAAGACGTATTAGAAGGCGGGATCTGGCGCGGAAGGGCGTGGGTTAGGAGATCGTATTCAGCCATCGTGGGAGATCCGACAAAACCACGGGAGAGCGGGGATTGGGGGTCTTGTATCAGTATATCAGTCAAGATTGAGTGCACTGTACCAGAGGGATCTTCACCCAGACCAGTAATGATTAGCCTGGAACGGGGTACGGCTGGGGGTTGGGGTTTTGGTGTACTTGGGGGCCATGTGAAGGTTGCTTGTGCGCTCGCCCATTGACTAAGGAGGGTGTCGTAAAAACGGATGCCATCTATTGTCGGTGTGAAAGTCAGAGATGTCCTTCTTGACCAAAAATGTCAATTCCTCCCCAACCCCGGGGAACGGCTTGCGCAGGGAAAAAGAGGAAATATAAGTAGAAATGTGGTGGATTTGATTCCGACAGAGAAGCCTTTTTGAGAATGGCAATGACAGTGATGGTGGCGGACTACAAATCCCCCGTTCTTCGGGGCTTTTGGGGTCCAAAGAAGCATACATTGCAACTGAGGCTGTTGCGTTGGAAGGTACCTTAACATCAACAATGTGATCCCCGATCGCTATTTCGGACTCTCGGGCTTCAAAGACCTCAAAACCTAAACAACCAATACTAAGACTTGGAAATGACGGATTAACGATCGCATATAGGCAGAAACGGCTCAATTTAGTCTCATTCCTTAACTGGGCTAACACTCACCGTAAGGCACAAAGGAGAACGATACCCCGGTTGGCTCGACTTGCACAAGCGGGCGCTTATGGAGTTCAGTGTGGAAACGGCATGGGTGACACGTCGGCGATCAAACAGCATTTGCAAAGTTTTTGGTACGCCATCGTGATCCATCGGAAAGTCGGGAAGCCGAAACCCCCGGAGCGCCGATGGGGCATGGATGATTTCGTTCCACATGCCCAATCACCGATGCAAATCCATACCCTGTGGAAAAGGTAAGATTGCACTAAATTATTGAGGGATCCCAGGAGGTGTACCTGAAGGGGACAAACTGTGATCGAGGGTGCATGCAAGATCGCGCGAAGTCCGCCGGGGGTTGATGAGAGTAACGCCACATGCTAGCTAGTGAGGCTACTAGTCCTTGATGTGGGGTGTGGGTAAAACGAGCTAAAAAAAAATAACATCAGTGTGATCCGGTTGGGAGGGTTGACATGGCGAGAAATTTGTCCTGTCGCGTTTTTCTAGTTTGAGGATCAGAAGCCTACACGAGAACCCTGAAACTAGCCTGTTTTAGGTCGGCTGTTAACAGCTGGCTAGTTCTGGGGATGGGAGTAGCGAAAAATATAATTGAATGATGCACGTCCGAAGCTGTGCATGATCAGGCAGAAAGCAGTACAAATTTGGTCGAGTCCGTCTCCAACCAGCAGAGACGAGAGTTAGGACCAGAGGATACATAGCTGCATCAATTAACATTGTATTGGTGTGATTGTGATAAGAAGGTTGCGTACTGGTTAATGTATTGGTGGCGGGCAACTCATTGTGCACCAACAACTAGATTGTTCATCTCATCACCCATCAATCACCATCGCCTTCAGTCGGGCGTTCCTTAGTATGATCCCCCCCCCCTTGCGACCGCCCCGGGTCCGTGGGCCCTGGCTTCAAATGTCAGGCCCCTGATCCGAATCTGCGGCCTGGGAGGGGTAGCAAACAATGTACGGCGATACTTCCTCTGTAGGCGAAGCAGGAACAAAGGTTATCGATTGTTGAGATTGAGATGGTATATCCCAGGTAGCGATGTGTATTCGGTATGAGAGCTGGAAAAGGATATAGTGGAAATGTGAGAATCCACTAGCTCCGTTATCCATCAGTACTGTACTAGCAAAAGTAAGCCATCACGATCGATAGGATACAAGTCCGTCGAATCGGACTTGTGGAATGATTATCCATTTGTTGGGCCAACGACACAAGTGCTATATTATTGAAATGCCTGTAATCAGACTTGTTTCGTCGCCAATGAGTAGGGTGGTTGATTGATGGCGGCGGGACACACTTTTGGCTGGCCAGTGAGCTGCCGTAAGCGAAAAAAAAGAGGACATCCTAAATTAAAGAAAGCGCAGGTTCAGTTGGTAATTGAATGAATGAAAATTGGGTAATACGAATATTGTACTCAACTCGTACTGTCGTCTGGGGTAATCCTTTCCATATTCGAATTCACTGAGATCTGGGGTTGGTCCACGAGGGGAGAAAGAAGCTTGTCTTGGATCAACTATGCTGTGATCGCCGGTATGCATTTGCTATACGTAGAATGTGGATTTCCTATGCATAGTTTTTATGTGTCGCTAGGAATCGGGTCGGAGGACGTAATAGCATGGATAGCTATGTGTGATCGGCGCAAAGGGACGGAACAGCAGTGCATGTCGGATAGATAAACATCCAGCGACCGACCTGGCAGCTGGAGTCGCATGTTTGAAGTAGGAAAGGTGATAACGCCCACGGGAATAACTAGGGAAAAGGGGGGGCCTACAATAAAGAATACTGGTAGGATCCGCTATCATGCTTGAGTATGGGAAATAGCGAGGTTCTGGGAATCCCCGGCTCAACATTGCACAGGTTGAGATGGAGATAGCGTATCTTTCCATAAATCTACACTGCGCTAAACCGGGCTGAGTTGCTATTCAAATTTGGATGATCCAAGCGCTGGCCCATGTGCGTCGGTCCACACCAGCGAAAGTCCTAAATAGAAACGACGGACTGGACTGGCGGATGGGCTAATTTCGTGCGGTGGAGCGAGTCTCTGTCATATCGCTTGGCGGAGGGACGTCCATGGAATAGAAAATACGGTAGAGTGATGACGCTCATTTGCCGAGCGGCGTCTCAGTTTGGAGAGGTGTGCACTGCAAATTGGTAAGGGATTACATGCTAGCCGTATTGAAAACGGCGTGATTGATGGATAGCGGACCCAAGGACGATAGACCCACGGGGACAACGTAAAGAAGGGAAATTTTTTTCATCTCCCCTACGCGAGTCAGGTTCACTGTGGAGTATGATCGCGATGTCACAGTGAATCAAGATATTACTCTTGCTCCACGTAATAGCTAGTAGGCATGAGGCAAGAAAGAGTCAAGGCTATGCGGCGTCATGATCGACTGCGAACAGGAAGGCGGTGCAACGACAACATACAGTACGTGATAAATGCAATTCCAATCACCCGACTCAGATCGAGGTTGCCAACCAAAAGCTTATCACAGGGTGCGTTGAAGGTTTTGCACGCGAAATACGTAATCCCAAGGGTTGCTTGGCTGTAAAGCTCCAGTGACCAATAGTGGTAATGAAAATATCCCACCACATGGCCCCCCAAGTGCACGCTGGATTTGGATTGCAGTATTGGGGGTGCAATGGCAATCAAACATATGAATATATCCGCTGAGGGCATCCTTGTCATCAGAAATCACTGTCATACGTACCATTTCCTCGGGTCCAGAAGACAGAAAGAAACTGTGCGCGGTTTTGCACATGAGATCTCATAATATCCGCACATACGCACGACCTTCCATAACCGACCTAGTTGTTGTTCTAACGCCCATGCGTGTAGCGAAATGAGATCAGATGCGATGGATGCACGGTATGCGCCGCAGTCTATTTTAGCCAGTTGCTTGGGGTAAGGGGCCAAGATAAGGAGGATCAGGCATTTTTGAGAGTGACGCGTGGAAAAAAAAGGAACACTCTCAGGGGTGAACAAGCCACGCAGCGAAAAACCGCAGTGCAAGAGTTGTCGAGTTATTGATGAAACCAATTGGAAAGCTGGTGACATTTCATACTAAGCATCGTGCAGCGATTCTCAGGAGTCGGGCACGTTTTCCATTCAAGAAAGAAGAGTTCAATTCAGGGGATTGGAACCGAACCCCTCGTTCCCCTGTTGCAGTCATGATAGGCGCCTGCAAGCGTTCGGAGGGATGACGGCGGAATTCATTGCTGTATCAATTCAATCGGCAATTACCGTACCCGTTAATCGCCAAGTTGACGGTGGACCTGCGTCTCAGCGTGTACCATTCGGTTCCGTCTCCTCAATAACCCCTAACTTGTAGCAGCTAGGGTGAGTTGAATATATGGCTATTTATGAGGGGGGTACTCATTTCATTGTTGTATCAAGTGTTGGAGCTTTGAGAAAGATAAGATGTCCACCAAGCGCGACTCCTCCGCCGATGGGGTAAGATGGAGATGACCTTCTCTCTAAGTCAACTAGCTCGCTCACCTACTGTTGGACCTGCTATCCCCCACACATACACCTCTCAGCTAATCCGTCGATCAATCCACGCAGTGTCAGACCTCTTCTCGCCCTTCTCCTCATCAGCTCTCGCATCCCTGCCACAAGATGCTCGTGTAAGGCCACGGTCCATACGGACAGATAATATCCCTGAAACTGAACAAGATGATGATCAACTGGGCCCGCTAGGGGAGCGTGAAAGAGGTGGAGAGAGAGGGGAAGGAAGTGGGAGTGGGGAATTTCCGAGCTATGGCACTGTGGACGAAGGAGGGAACAGAGGTTTACATGCTCAAGGGCTGGGATTGCCGCCTAAGATCAGGGTGCCGAGAAAAATCGCTACAACCATTAAGGTCGAGGCGAAAGTTTGGTTTGCAAATGAACGAAGTGAGTGTTTTGTCTTTTTTTTTTCTTCATTCTCTTTTCTGGGGTTCTTTATTTTGAGGGGAGAACACTAACCTGGCCTATTGATTTCTCATTCAAGCATGGCTCTCGTACCTTAATTTATCCATACTTATGGGGACGTTGGCGCTCGCTCTATTCAATGCCTCGCACGAGGTTGTGGCAAGGAATTTTGCATTGTTTTATGCTCTGGTGAGCATTGGCATCTTAATGTGAGTCGAATTTCTATAATCATGGTTTATACATGCGCGCCTATTATCGAGGTAGACGGCGATTTGACTTGTGCGAATTCCGACATACTTTTCGTTCTGTAGATATGGGTATGTCCTCTATCAGCGACGTATCACAATGATTCGTAAAAGAGATCCAGGAAATTTCGGTGACGTGTCTTGCTATCTTCTTTCCTCTCCAGCCTGAATGGGGAACCTGACTTTGTCTTGGTTCATCGGTCGTGATGTTCTCACAATGGGTGAACGGCCACAGATGAAATTGTTGGACCAATCATCATCTCTGCTCTCATGTTTTTCGCTATATTGTCGAATTTTATCATTCGAGGTGAGTTGGGTTACTTTCTTGTTTACAGCCCACTCAGAGACTTTTCTCCTATACTCACACTTCTATCTGATATTGTAATGTGGTTTTGGGGATAGTCCGAGAACTGTAAGTATGATCAGTACGGACACCGCTATCTTGTGGCACTAACGAGCTTGGTGTGCGGTCCCTTTGCGATCTGTTAGACAACGTTTGGATGTTCCAGCGTAATATTGGCGTGAATAATAGGTATATGAGGTGGTACCGGTCCGCTTGAACATGTACATGCATGCCACCGACATGTAGGGTTGAATATCAGTGAATCAGAATGTATCGAAGGAACCGATCCGCAGACATCCTCTGTGCTGCAAAACACATGCCGATCTTAATGTCTTGGCGTGATCATGTGTTTGCGCACATGTCAGTATGAATCTATTATTTGTTGCCGTTCTCATGAGCCAATTTTATCTCACAGGTGATTTCATTGGGCCCGCACGTATAGACGTCTAATATAGAGGCTAGTAAGGGGGTTACAAACGGTGTCAGGAAGGTACCATAACTGTGTGGAGTCCGTGCTCGATCGCGATCTGCACTTGGATAATGGATGAGTGTGATAATGATGTCAGTATGGCGATGGCTAATTATGGGAACGCGCGCGCGGCGGATCGAAGTGGGGGAAACAATTTGCAAAGCAAGTGGTGTTTGCAGGAAGGGGACCCAGGTCAACGGTTAGGGGAGACTGGCATGGGACTTGGGCGATATGGCATGGATCGTGGCCCGCTACTTCCTCTTTCCTCGTGATCAACCATCGAAGCGTTTTCACTGAATGGGACTTGCTAATAAGGAAAGTATGAATTGTCGAATTGGGTTGAACTAGAAGATGTGCAGTCGGAAGGCCAAGCCACAGTTTTTGGATGTCCTTCGACCTACACGATCACCGACTAGAAACTGCTACAACGCAACAACCCACGTTTGACGCATGCATTTCATGGATACAAGGTCCATCCTCTCTACCTTTTGCCCCCAACTCTTTCCAGGTCTCATCCCATCTCACCCCTAAACTGCAAATTTTGAACGAGCCAGGGACTAAACTAGGTGATACTGAATTCCCTCCCTCATACTTAATCGCCCCTCCCACTCTTCTGCCCTCCATAACTCTCTCCCTCCTCTCTTATCAATACAAAGCCATGGCGAGCTACTATTCACTATCACCTCCATCATCTCACCACCACAACGTTGACCAAGACGACGTGAAAAGCATAGACTCTCAAACCACTCTACAACTGGACGACTTTGAGTCCGACTACGATTATGACTTTGACACAACGGGGAGCAGCGTTGCCTCCGGGTTCGTTTATCTGGGTGGCAGCCCACTCCAGCGGATGATGCCCAAGCGGATGTCAGGCAGACAGGTCAGGTCTTCATTTTTTAGCGACGGGCAGTATGAAGAGGAGGAAGACGAAGAAGAGTGGTACAAGAATGAAGAGGATGAAGAGGAGGCGGTGAGGAGGAGTGAGAGTTGGGAGTATGTTCTCGGCGTTTTGGAGAATCAATATTCTCACGAGAGCCAGTATTATGACCAGGGTTTACACCGGCATGACCACTTTCGGGGTTTCCCATTTTTGTCCGCGTCAGGTTCAAAGGTAAGTCTGAGAGTTCCACCGACTTGGCGATTGATTTGGGTTCAACGTTCGAAATTCATCTAGACGTTTGACGTCCATGATGAGATCGACCACTCATCTCCATCCTTCGGCACTGCCCGCCCACATTATGACGCCACCGCCTCCTCTGGTCCCACCACTCCAACCAACACGACCATCATCCAATACCTTTCACCATCCTCACCGCTAGCACGTATAACATCCTACCTAAACCAGCCTGACATTCGACGGGATCCATGGAATATTTCCCCTCCCGTTGAAATATCCCCCAACCCCGCTTCTGCGAACGAGGATAACGAAGGAGGTGCTTCGCATGTGTTTGTCAGAGAACGTTTCAGGGCGTGGAATGATCCTGAACCAAAAGGATTACTGCAGGTATTTGAATTTGTCCGACAGTTGCTTGAGGTGAGTATTCCGTTCTAGTATTTCATTGGGTTCTTTTTCGGTTTTCTTCTTTCTTCCCCTTGCCTCGAATTGTGCTGGGTGGAGACAGGCACATAACCGTGTTCGGTCAGGCTTCCATTATCTGCCGAGTACCGCACGGCCACACCATGAAACACCCCTGTCGATATTCATCCAGCACATGCGCATGCAGCACGCTCATACACACGAGCACATACACATGCACACACACACTCTTCCCCGTGAAGTCGCTTTACTTCCGCTCTCTTGCCTGTTTCACCCTTTCTTTCGATTTCTTCATTCAGTAAAATTCGATTGAGAATTCCTTGCTAACCTTTTTTTTACACGGAATTGGAACCCACAAAACAGGGACTAATTTTTTTCCACGAACACTCTGGAACCAACATACCCTTTCTCGCTTCGAATATAGTGATGGACACGGGACTTGCACCCTATCCGGTTGATCGGTCTATTTTCCCGGTCAAGTATTATTTGGACTCTGTAGAGGGGGTTGTATTCGATGAAGGGAATAGTGGAGGTGAAATGGGGGGTGCCGTGCATTTGGTGCCGTTTTCGGAGGATGTCGCGCGGCTGGGGGGGCTGATTAAGGAGTTGTTCCAGGATGTGAGTCCTCTTTATGTTTTTGGCCCTCCTTTTTTTGACACACACTCTCACTTTTCACTTGTGCTACCGACCAATTACAAAACACGTCGACGACAATAATAAAAAAAATTACAATCAGCTTCCTGATGACCCACTTTCCCCTCTGTGCAATTTCATGCTCTCTTCGCCGACAGGTACAAAGGGCGGTGAGCCGGCGTCCGATAAGGCAGGAGTCGTTTCACATGCTCCTGTTGTGGCGCCGAGTGCGAAATCGGCGTTGGAGGTGCTCCAGTTGTTGGAGAGCGGGAGAATCTGATCCATGTGGCTGGGATAATGTCACTGTGAGTGGGGGTGAGAAATGGGTCGGGAAAGCACCTGACTTGCCAACGCTGTTGACCTTGGACGTCACAGCTGTTGAGTTATGCCTTTCCGATGGCCTCTCCCTCATTTCAATCGTTTAGCAAAAACAGATGGGCCGGAACCATCCTGAGTCACCATAGTGCTCCAAAATGCATTTTTATGAATTGTAGTTATGACCACGACCTCGATCACCACGACCATGATATATCACCAAACACAAGTACCGTGGAGGCTTCGGAGGGGTCGCGATGTGGCCAAGTTCCGGGTTTCCGCCATTCCGAGGTCCGATTCGAATTTATCGCAGCATTCCCAATCGATCCCAGGACAACTTCACTGATTCGTATGTTCTTTTTTAATCTCCATCCCCCCCCCTTTTTTTTTTTATCCCGGCGATAATCTTTTCCATCACCCTGCCAACCGGTCCCGGGGCGCCGCGGCATCATCTAACCTCCCCATCGGTGCCACCGATTCTCAGTACTGCTTTCATCACACACCGCATCACAATACTAAAATCGGGTGCCACATCCCGCTTGATGTCCAACGGGGGGGTCGTGCCATCAAATTCAAATTTTATGGCGCATGTATCAGCGTATCAACTCGGAGGCCACTATTTTTGAAAACATCTATTCGGGAAAAATCTGTCCGGCCTGGCTTTCCTTGTTTCTTCGATCTTCCATTCTCCTCTTCACGGATCAATCGATGAAGTGGTAGGATCCCTCTCCTATCATCATCATCGGCTCGCTTCTTTGGATCGACTTTTCATCACACAGTCGGGCGCCTAACCATTATTCTGGTTCAATCGGGAGTGGACGGCCGAAGCCTACATCACCCGGCTCACGCCTCACAGGATAATATGGTCCTGCCCGCATCGATCATCGCGATCCATACTGACACGAGCACATGAGCCATGTTCGTCGTTGTGGTTCTATGGACGATTAACTTTTCCCAGGATCTGTGCCCAGCTAGGCTGGCGACAAGCAGACTTCAAGTTCACTTTTTCTCTACATCAACACACGGTTTTTGGACATGGCGACTCATTGACCGCATACCCGTCTTGACCGGTCCTAATAGACACCCTCCGAGTAGTTAGGTCACCCAGACTCAATTAACGTTGACGACACGGGAGTTGTACACAAACGAGTCGTGCTTCACTCGGAAGGCTAGAAGCGTTGGATGGTTATCACGCCACCGATGGAGGTCTGTTCAATTGGAGTGACATTGGACTCGAGACATCGGTTCCAACGTATTATCTCTTCCTCGTCCTCTTCGTCCTCTTGTTCATTGTCGTCCCTCCCGTCCTCTTCATCTTTGCCAGATAAATGATCACTTGGGCTTCGGTGGGACAGTCAGTCGCCCTTTCGTTCCTCAGGCCTGCCGCTTCAGGCGCGACTCACCTCGTGCCCTCCATTCATCCGCCATTTGGAGAAGGACGTTCCTCAGTGCATGAACCAAACACTGAGTTGTGACGCGTCGCGAATAGCATCCACATTAATCAGAATGCAGGTTCATGAGATAACCGTTCAACTTACCACGGCACTCTCTTGCATTTTTCTTCCGATGGACTCACTGGTTTCCCCGATATATCGGGTTTCCGCCATTGTGCATGAGCCAACCAGGATGTTAACTCATTTTCGAGTTGCGGATGGTCTTCCACCAACCCTTGCAGGTTGTCGATGGCCTCAATATCTGATCCGTTGCCTTGGATTTTCCGCCGCTGGGCCACATTGGAGATGACTAAGGCTACCCCCAAACACCAGTTACCTCAGGTTCCCAACGTATTCGGTGTACGCTAATGCAATTGCTAGTATTGTCAATCGCGGTGAACTCTCGACCATCATCACTATACTCCTGGAATTGCGCGCCGCTAAATTCTATACTGGAAACTAACTACATTGCGAGTGCGCTCCAGACATGCATGGTTTTAGACATTGGAGACCATCTTGTTCAGGAAGCTCTTGTAATCGTCACTCTATTCATGACCATGTTATAACAGAGCAGTCGACAACAAAAATTGCTGTCAAGCGGCCCCAAGAAGACATGAACGGCGTCACATTTGCCTGAGGCGACAAAACGAGCTAATGACTATCTGGTGCGTGCCCAACACAAACCAACAATAGGAATGGTCAGACAACTCATTGAGGTCGTCGAATTCGAATTTGTGAGTTCAACGCTTTAGAACTTGTTGTAACCGGGTTGGGGGGGTCGCAAACTAGCAGTTGGTGGGCATCCGATTCTTGAACGCACGTTCCTGGGCTTCGGCTTGATGGGACCTGGTACAAGATCAACGCCTACGACTGCATGGGTGTGTGTCGGTTGAATGTAATGATAGGAAGATGAACGATGACGTTTGCATGAGGAAATATCTAGGTTTCCAGGAACGAGTAGCAGGTGGTTCAACGATGCCGACCGAGCTATTATGGGTGATGTAGTGTGTATATGCGTACCAATGCGATTTTAATCACCCTCCATATTCTCATCGATCAGAATAACTTGGTCATCAGTATTTGCACTGTTCTAAGAGCGACAGACGCACTGCAGTCCAAGATGTGTTTCTCCTGCCCCTTCGTTACTGCCTGATATAGACCACCTAAGCAGATTCGCTTTGGGATATCATGTATCGTAGATGAGAGGCTCACCGAGCTTCAGAGGAGAATGTGAACGTACAGTCTGTTCCATTCCCCCCCATCTACCAGGCAGGATATTGTTAGCGTGAACGTAAGTTTGTGTACAGTGGGACTCCCCACTGCCACTGATGGAGGTACCTGCTGGTGTCATTATATTTCGTTCAGTGAAACCTTGCCTCGCCCGCCCGAGACTCTCCTCTCGCCCTCCGCTTCAGCCTCGTCGCGACGGGCTGAGGTGTTGTGGTTTGATTCTTGGATGGCCATGGGGGTCATTGGTACGTCCAGTGTTAAGATTGGCAGTCCAACGCCACCGGTGCCGATGGTTCGTTGGCAACCGGCACGCTCGCCGATGTGGCGGGATTGAGATACAATGGAAAGTACAACCAAGTTTCTGCAAGATGTATTTGATTAAAGTGCTTGTTAGTGGAGGAGCGTGGTATACATCGTATCCTTACCGCGCTCAGGTATTTCCCCCGCTCCATCCAGAGCGGGCCCTTTGTCCTCTCCGTTCATCGTTAAATATCGAGAAAGTCAGCACAGCTCCCTTCGTTCATGATATTGAGTCCTTAGAAGGGGTTTTTCGAGTGGGTGCTATGACAAGTCAATATTGCTCAAGGTCGGCAAGCTGATTGATGATTTTTTTTGTTCCCACTTGTACATACAGTTCCACTGTCCGCCGGCACTTACTGGCACACAGGATTGGGCGACTTCTTCCCATACTTTCTCACTCAGACGCGACACCAAGGATTCGGCCGTAACATGGACCGCACTAGTCAACGTACGTCTCCGGTCCCGGATGATAGAACATGAACATCAGGCAAAGGGTTATATCTCTTTGGCATCCTCAGTTTCTCCCTTCACTTGCCTCGTCAACCGAAGTGGGCCTCCGCAACTACCCGCTTTGTGGATTTTCTCCAAACACTTTACAGTAATGTACCTGTGCTGGTGGTTGTCTGAACCATGTTGGAAAAGCGTTCGGCATGTACCCAACCGACTATAGCAGACACCCATTATAGAAATAGCCCAGCAGTTGTTGGCGTTGTCGAGTTCAAAGTCCCAAGGCCTTACTGGGGGAATCCCGGCACGCTCGCGGAATATGCGTGCGTGTTGCGTGTAGAATGAATCTCAACTCCTACATGGGTACGACACGGAAGACTGCCAGTTCCAATTAATCCCATTTTGGCAACGTGGTTCATTTAGCACAAGTTTCGGGGCTATCGCAATCTGAAGCCAGTATCGAAGTTCTTGCGTTTGCCCAGTCGGGGTAGAAAGTGGTTACTGGTGCGTTCCTGTCCATCTACATACACCTGGAAAGATGTGTTCGTCAGTGCGGGCGGAAGTATGATATTTTTTTACTCCAGGCCTCATTGTGAAGCAAGCCGACTCCCTCACGGTGTCAAGTATGTCAACTTTGCTGCATTTGGAATACCGGAGCCTACATAAATGCAGTGGCGACTTATAGAGGGGAAATGGGAAAGCGGGCTCCACTGGGAATCTGATTGCGGCCCCTCTGCTTTTCCGGTTGTCCACCAAGGAAAGCACTATCCATAACCATCACCTATCTCGGTCCTCTTGTGGTTTTAGTTGTAATATCAGCTTGTTAAAAGTTTCGGTTATGCAAGTGCCAGCGTGTTCTTGTTCCCATCCTTAGGTGACATGTCGATATGGGGATGTGTGCAGAAGAATGCGCGGGTCGGATGGGGTTTTCACGTTCCGTCTTTAGTTACTCTTCGGCATCTTCATACTGCCCCTCTTCACCTTGTTCGTGGTCATTCCCCGGCTCCATTCCTGGTAGATAGGTGATGACGGACTCGAGGTGAGCCAAAGTCGCCTTATTCCGCAATGGGTTCGGTTTTGAGACAAATTAGACAGCAAACGTGAGCCGCCGTTCAAAACCATTCAAGATGGAAGGGGATACAAGTACAACCGCCAAAGGGGAAATTGAAACACCCGAGAAGTGTGTGAATCAATACGAGGAAAAAGACGGAGGTAGTTGTTCGAAAAGAAAAGATCGTGCTTTAATATGGAGTGAACCGATTGTTGTTGGCGAAATTACTGCGCACCCTCCCGGCCTCACTCAGTTCTTCTCCATCTTCCCCCGTGAATGCTCGGTGATCTCCAGTGTTAACATAGACCGCATCATCCTCTTCGGTGTCGTCGTATTCGTATCCTTCCCCCTCCGAGTTTGGGTCGGGGTGTAGAGAGGAGCAGTGCGAGAGTGCTTCGAACACTGTGGTCACTGCAAGCGATTAAACGGGAAAGCGTTTAGCATTCAGGTGCATCTGGATAAGTTAATTGGTTCACCAGTATGTGGATCTGAAGGGATTATTTTGAGTTCTATTGTCTCGATGTCATCCCCGTCTTCAAAATCATCGTCCAGTGTTGACTTCTCCAATTGGCACCAAACAATAGGCTCCGATCCCGAGGTCGAAATAGCATGAATGATTATTTGTGGATACAATATTTGGAACCCGCGTCCCGTAGCAGATATGAAGGCAAGGACGCTTTCATTTTCATTTCATCCGATGACGAAACTTTTAGTTTTGAAGAATCCTGCTAGTTCGGACGAAGCCGCACACGTAACAGGACTTACCTTTCCACCAAGTAAAGCGCTCCATTAGAAAGGTCCTCTTCAGAAAGACCTTCTTGTGGTGGATCAAATATAATTTTAACTCCATCTTGCCGGTGTCGCAGAACGGGCGGAATGTCTCCAAATGAACTCGGAGTCGACTCAACCAATTGGCGATGCTCATCAAGAGATATAGATTTTGGTGTCTCAGAAATAAGCTGGACAGTCTTCATACTGCTCAGGGCTGTTTGTTCCCCGTGTTTTTGAGGTTGTTTCGATCGAAGAGCAAATCACGACACAGCCACAAGTGACTTTGTTTCTCAGGGTCGTCATGAACACGCTCTCCCGGAGGGAGGAAGATACGATCATTAAAAGCACCAAAGAAAGGGCTTTAAAGGAATGTGGTCCGATTGTTAGAGGTGAAAGTGCGCGATTTTCGTTGTTGCTGAGCTGAGAGAGGTCCGTTTTGTAGAGTTTGCGGATTGTGCAAGTGGAAGAACAGTTTCGGTTGTGTGGGCTTGTCGAGGAAAGTATCGCACGCTACAAACATGCATGCACAAATAGTAAGTCATGGTGATCGGAAAAAGCTGGAGGGAGCATACTAGAGGGTTCATTGCAGCACAAATGAAGAAGCCATGGCTCACGTCCGAGCCGAATATATTCGACTACGACGAACTGCTGGGATAGACGCTGAATCCTTATTTGCAGCAAAATGATAAGTGGCATACAATTAGATATCGTATAAAGGGATGAGTGGGATCATGGGTTTTCCGTTGTATCACTTTCGTCGTCCTCGTCAGGCTGCCATTCTCCATCATCACCATCATCTTGTTCGTAGTCTTCGTCATACTCGGTCCCATCAGTCCCATCGCCCTCGTCCTCGTCGAATTCCTCATCCTCTTGTTCGTAAAATCCCGATTCTTCGCCTTGCTCGGACAACGCTCCGTCGTCATTGTCGTCAGATTCCGCGAGCCGATGTATTAGCTGCGCACCAGCTTCCTTTCTCTGTTGAGCAGTAGGTGGTGGACCTAGCCTTGAAAGTAGGGATGGGGGCGTGGCAGGGGGCGTAGCGGCTACCGCTGGGGCGTTTTTCTCTTCAGGACTCGGTGTGCGTGGCACTAGGTTTGCGGGCTTCACGATAGGGGGTATTGGCGACGATGTGAAAGCTAGCTTAGGTTTTGGTACCGGCGCAGGACTTGCTGTATCTGGCGAAACAAGTGGAGCGTCTGGCATCGGGTTCATGCCATAACCAGTGAAACTGAACTTGAGAGGATTGCGCACCGGTCCGGAAGACGGCAAAGGCCCAAAGCTCAAGCTGGGCTTCGGAGGAGCTATACTTGTTGCCTCAGTCTCGTTAGACCCCAGCCCGAACACGTTAGATGCTGAACTTGAGGTGCCTGGGTGTTCAGAGACCGGGTTTTCCCGCGAGCGAATAGCTACTGACTTGGTGTGCTGCTTGGCTCGACTACTCCGTAGTGAACTCCGCCCATAATCGGGCGAAGGGGTCTTATTTGTAGAGTTGGGAACGAAACTAGCATCACTAGTGAAGTTGGGGAGTCGGGTGCCCGGAGGAATGACCATTGTGGCAAGAGGCGAAGTTTTAAATGTATCACTGGAAAACACGGATACGGGAGCTGGCGTGCCGGAAAGGGATTCTGCCAAATGTGCTGCAGCGGGAAGCCGAGTCGACTCTTTTCTCATCGGAGCTACGTTGACGGAAGCTGTCCTGATCGAGAGTGGCGCATTGAACTTTGAGCTTTCTACTACTTTCGGGATGACGAAAGTGGTGATTGAGGGTTCTTTACGGACAGAAAGGAGGGCCTGCTTGATTCTGGCAGACGAACGTTCTGCATTGAGAGCAGCGGCAGTGGCTGCTGCTACCCGAGGAGTGATTGTCGATCTCGCAAGGATCTCTTGTAAGGGAGTGTCTCCACGCTCATCTGCTCGTGAACCTTTCCCTCGCACCGACTTTGGCGGCAGGAACTCCGTCAAATTTTCATCACCCTCGTCATCTGAAAACACAGCATCTAACCGTTCACTCAGGGCATTCATCTGATCACGCCTTGCGAGAGCTCCAGCTTCGATGTTCGATATTGCCCTGGAGATGACGTCTAAAGTCGGGGCCCTGGATCCAAGTGAGCCTCCCACTGTGATTTAAAACAACTATACCTACTTCAGACTTGTTTCGCCGCTTTTCGCTCTCTCTATCCTATGTTTCATCGCCGTCACTTGGTCCTCTAGCTGTCGGACACGATCTTGAACAAGCTATGGAACCGGCATCAGTTGGAAGGGGTTATCCTGGAAATAGACGCGCACTTGAATGGACTGTCGCAGTTTTGTTTGGTTCTCAACGTGCTCGGGACCGAGTTCACGGACTTTGAGAAGTTTGGCGAAATTTTTGTCCTCCCTCGCCCTTAAGAAGCGCTCAATTTCCTGCTTGTTAGTTTCAGCTAGAGCAGAATTCAGTAACGCACGCAGGGTTGAGAGGGGTGCACCTGACCTTTGAGGAGCAGACTTTGAAGTTCCGCGACGCGGGTCTTCAACTTTAAACCCCTGTCCTCTAGCATGAGAGTATCGTCTTCCAGGTCATCCGTTCGTCTTCGTAAAACTTTGAGGTCTGCCAAACTCCACTCGGATCGCTGATCGAACCTCATATTCCCTGAGTGCTTGCTTGCAGTGATATCACGCTGTGCATTTGCGCAGTCTTGAGTGACATGTTGCAACTGAACAGCGCCTTTAGCACAATTCTCAATGTCGGGAAAACCATCATACCTCCTGTAATTCATTGTCCATCAGTCTTATAATTCGATCAATTTCGGAATTGATACCAGGCTTCCCTGTCTCTGACGGAGCCTGAGAAGATGGTATCGCTGAACTTGGAGCCACCGTGGCTTTGAAGGGGCTGGAAGTACCGAGCTGGAATTTCGCACCGAGCTGAGGGGTGGGTTGGATTAATGAAGAGGAGACAGAAGTCTTTAAGAAGGTGACTATGAGTTACGAAATGGATCATGCGCGAGACCAGTGCTTACAGAGGGTTTCGGTGAATGTACAGTAGTTGACGGCTCAGATTTCGACACAGGAAAAGATGGAGTACCGGTGCCAGTTGTTGATTTCCTTGTACCAAAGCCGAACCCGAATGCGGATAATGGTGGCGTCTTCGGGCGAGATACCACTTTGGGGGCATCTGAGATAGGCTCAGATGCAACAGGCCTCATCGAAACTGGTACCGGCGCTGAAAATGTGTGTTCACCTATTGAGGACCCTTTAGCTGCTGCAGACCTCATTGCCAGTTCGTTCAGATGTTCTTCCTCCTCTCCGTCCTCCTCTTCATCGTTGGGTTCTCTGCTCGCCTTTGAGGGCCTTGGAGGTGACGGACTGTCTGTGACGTCTCTTCGGGAAATGGGGGGACTTGCTGCGAGTGGTGAACTGCGCAGGGGGGCGGTTGAGAATGGTGAGGTGAAACGTGTCGGAACACTGGAAGGTCTGCCTAGACCAATCGGACCGGTAGTTGGGCCAATAGGTGAACCGGTAGAGCGTAGAGCGCCTTGAACGACCGGAGCTGGCGTAGTGGAGTGGGCAGGCTCAGCATTAGCCTTATGAACGACAGGCTTTTCAGGGGAGCCTGGAGGTGTGGTATTCTCTGCCATCGTTTCTGCAATAACTTGTGGGACAGGCGAAGATTCTTTAGATGGGTAAGCCGAAGACGGGGACGAGAGTCGAGGTGGGGGCGAAGGTGTGGATGATGGTCGGCTTGAAGATCCAGGAGTCGTATCGCTAGGCGGTTTTGATGTCGGTGCGCTCTCACTAAGTTGGAGCGAAAAACAAATGAACTCCTCTTTTTTGTTGTCAAAAACATCCCTGGTCGTTTGCAGAGGCGCCCCAAAGATGTTCGTAGTTTTGACGGAAGGTTGTGGTTGGACAGGAGTTTCTGGTTCACGGTTTGCCAAAAATCCCTCATCGAACTGAGTTGAGGTGGTGGGTTTCTCATCTTCGTCATCCTGGTCCATGCTCTGGGAACGCAGGCTGAGTACGCTTCGGGCAGCTCGTGAAGTACCTTGCTGCGATGCAGTGGCAAATACGGAGGGTGCTGATGTTTTAGCTGTATCTGAGATATGGATGAATGGCCAAAGAATTGGGCAGAATGAGGCACTCACTGAGGTCGGCGAACGGTGTCGAAGAACTAGGGTTAGTATAGGCTGAAAACCCCCCAGATGCTGTTTTAAATGCAGAGAATCCCCCAACAGATGTCGAAGAAGCGGCGGCAGGCTTAGACTCTTGGGCCGTCAACGCTGAAGGTAATAAGTTTGTACCAAAGCCCGGTTTCACGGCGCCGAGTATCGACGTTGCACCAAACACCGGTTTTGCCGAGCCTCCGAGGACGGATGTTGAACCAAACATTGGGTTTTCCGACACATTTGTCGGCGGGCTTCCAGATGTTGGCGTGCTGGTGAACGTCCCCAAGGCACCAGGGCCGAATGCATTTACTGTAGGGGTGCCTAGAGACTGCGGCTTGGAGAAGGCAGATTGTCCAGTCCCAAATCCTCCGAATGCCCCAAACCCCTTCGCCGGGACGAATGACGAGGACGACCCAGCAACTGAGGATGGTGCAGTGGGCTCAGTGTTATTGTTGTGGATGTTCTCACCAGGACGATCATCCGACGCTGGAGCTACCGTGTCCATCCCATCATCGCCGCTCCCCTCCGCTGAAGTTAATTGATTTGTCTGAGGCGTCGAAGCACCATGTGCCATGCCTGGGGACCCTCCAAGGCCAAATCCAGTACTTCCAAACGTGGTAGGCTTAGAAACTGCCGATGCGAAGGCTGGAGCGATAGGGGTACCCCATGCGCTGGCAGACGCGAAAGGTGATGCCGCCGGCCCTGGCTGATTAAACGCAGTATTTGGGGATTTTGGAGCCATGTTGCCGAACAAGTTTGTCCCGGTTGAAGATGTGGCAGCTGATGGAGATCCGAATGTTGTCAAACCGGGAGCGGCACCGAAAGCATTGGTCGTCGTGGTTGGAGTGACGGAGGGCGGGGTTGACGAAGGCTCGTCAAAGATGTTTGTCGTGGATGCATGTATAGTGCCAGCAAAAGCCGAGGGCTGTTTAGACGCAAAGGGCGAAAAAGCCCCGCGGGACGAACTGAATGCCCCAAACCCTCCCGAGATTGGCTTGTCTGACGGACCAGCAGACAACGCGCCTGGTGTTGCGGCAGACATCGCACCAAATGCAGAGGTAGAACCAAACGCTGGCTTACCGAATGCGGGAGTCTCAGCCAAAGCGAAAGATGAGGGACCCAATGCGGATGGATTTGACATAACGGGGGAGGTGGACATACTAGAATCATTGTTTGTTATCGAGGTAGACGCGGCCAACTGGGTGGAAGGTGGAACAAGGAACGGGTAGCTCGGAGTGACTTTGTTCAACACGTGGTAGCCAAGGAGGCTTCCAGCATTAGTATAGAGATACAATACAGGAGATGGAGGAGCAGGAGGTGTTTCATCACCACCAAATGCTGATAAATTCACAGGGTCCATCGAGGTCAAATCCACATCAAGACCGAGAGGATACGCATCATTCCCATCCTCATCAATGGGCAGCACTATCCGAGAAGTCTCTTCTAGCTCTAGAGTAGCCCAAGGATCAGGATCATCTGCTTGCTTGCAGTATACAATCCCGACATCAGTCGAGGGTGGATCAGCCACTATGAGGAAATGCTTTGCTGGAGTCCAGTCACGCAAATGAACGAAAAAGCGCCCGGTCTCACGGGATCGATCCCCAAATGCAGGTGCTGGATCTGGATGATTAATGTCCGTTATGCTCGTCTTTTCACGTAGGATTGTATATGCTTCGTAGGATTCATCATTTAGTGAAACACCAGGACCCGCATAGACAGCATGGAAGACAGCATTTTCCATCCAGGCAACGGACGAGACGCGCCACCCAGTACGAGCAGCTGGAGGAGGGGTTACGGCTTTCTGCTCCCCCTCGGGACTATACTGGATTAACTCTCCATTCTTGCTTCCCACCACAAACTGTTTCCCTTTTGGTGACCAGGAAACTAAAAGTTGGACACTCAACTCGTAATCTTGCGATCACTATTCGTCTTGGGGCTTACTACATGATTGTGTCTGGTGTGGCGCAGCTCCTTCGAGTGTCAACGTGACCAACATCGTTTGAAGGTCGACGATCTCGACGTGAGTACCGGAATCAAGGCTTCCCCGCAAAAAGGCTACAAGACTTGGACGTTCAGACGGGTTCGGTGCGATGCATCTCACAGGCTCGGTGGAGTGTGAAAGAATTCGAGTAGGAGTTAAAGTTGTGGCACCATTCTAGACATCACTTTCTTGTCGACACGTGAACTGGTGAAATGAGGGCCCGCCGACTCACCGCACTTAATATAGCATTTGTATCATAACAAGCGATCTGACCAGTAACGAGTGCCACCACCAAAACCTTATCATAAAATGCAAACTTTGTGTGTATAGGTTTCTGGGGTAATTCTAGGACAGTCCTGGGATGGAACTGCGTCCGAGCGGAAGAAAACGCAGAGCGAAGGTCGGCAAGCGGCGACAATATGACACCTAACAAGGGGATTACCAGAACCCCGCCCAAACAAGATGCACAAGAATTAGAAAAGTAACTCAGAAATAACCCACAACCTACTCTGTTCCCGCCCTGCTGCAAACCATCCAGCGACATTAGACACTGTAAAAAGAGAAGTTGGCCCTACCCAGGCACCAGAATTCGCTATCGGCGTGGACAGGAGAAGCGGTTCACGACTCAGGGCCTTGAAGGTGAGAAACTAGCAGTTACCGAGGGCGCGTTTAATGACGAGCATTTAGAGTGTGGCAGAAAATGAATGACACATACATCAGCCTCAATGGTCGGTGCTTCAACATGAGAGCGAGACGCCATTCCCCTCTTCACTTCCTCGTAGTACTAAGTTACTTGACTCAGGGGAGGCAACACCTTGCACGAGTTGCGTTTTGGTATCGTTGTGGTGGTTATCGGCTCTCGGTATCAATACATCACAACACGGTGTCTCCGATTCTAATTAAGGGTTCTCGCTCATATTTGTTGTCTATGGAGTGAAGCCGGGCTGGGTACAGGCGATCGCACCCCCCCACATACCGAGTGTGAACGAGGACGTGCACAAGCGTCATCCTTGCCTGACCAAACTTTGCGAAAGTTGTTAGCGTTCCGATACCCCATACTCGAATTTTCGCGAGCTACTTTCCATTTCAATGAAGACTGTGGTGTGCAAAGATACTCTGCCAACTGTACAACAATGGGATGCTCAAGATCAATGATTTGTATACTGAAATCGGATAGGGAAATTCTCAAGTAAATCTACAGTAATTCACCCATGAATGGTGTTGTTTTTGTAATTTTGAGATTGCAACCTGAAATAAGCACCAAACGGAAATCTATCATTATGGATCATAGCCAAACTAAATGTTTACATGTATACGGAATATTAAAGCAAACAGACGGGAAATGAGTGAATATATGAGCAAACAAAAAATGAGGCCTTCCCTACTCAATGGTTTTGCGTGACAAGGTGTGACAATGGATACCACGTGCCAACCCAATCACTCGTTGTCATCCCCGATGGGCTCAACCTCCTCCCCTCCACACTCTCTGACCATATCTGATGCCAAACCGGCCAGCTGGGGATAGTTCGCTGCTATCCACTCCCTTTTTGTGACTCCTTTCAGTTTCTTTGGCACCCTCAGCTTTAGTGCCTGCAACCTTTCCTTCTCCTCCTTCCACGCTGCCGCACATGCCTTCTGCCCTCTTTGGAACTCTTCCCAATCCTTCTGTACTTCCTTCTTTACCTTCTCTGACTCTTCCTCCATCATCTTCCTCTTAAATCGGTCTGTTTGGTGCTGAACAAAGCCACTGTGTGTCACCACGCGTCCAAATGCGCCTTTGATCCGACCACCCTCCTCTTTGTGTTTGTCTCCTTTTTCACGCGAGAGAAGCTGGGCCCGAGCCTTTGATGCATACATTCCACACAGAGCTAGCTGGGCATTGGTTGCGTCTACTGTACTCACACGACCAACTACCGGTCACGTGTCACAGCGACCTCCCGGTCCGGTCGAAATTCAGGGTCTGTCACGCGTCACAGCCGGTTGGTGGTTCGGTGTTTGGGTGTCACGCCAGTTATGCTGAGGCAAGGTGGCTATGCAAGGTAATTCAAATTTTCCATTTCTGGAATGTATTTACATTCAAAAATGGAAAATTTTCATTTGGTCTTCCAAGTTTCTTGTGGACCTTGCTCGCATTCCACGGCCAAGCTGCCCATGAATAGGCACAGGGAGTGCAGAGATGTTGCCAAGCTCCTCAATTTCAGCCTCCTCAGCACAGGTTGAAGCTGTCTGGAGACTGCCTTGAACTGCCTTGAGGCCATCGGGAACCGCCGCTCCATCCATATGTTTGATTATGTCTTCAATCTCGACTTCTACATCATCATCCACAGCATCCGTGAACTCGCCTTCATGTTCAATGGGACTAGGATCTGGGGCAACACTGTTTGGGCTCCGCGGTGCCATGATTGCTTTGGCAAGGTCTGAGTTGGTCTGTAGAAGATCATCAAGAACGACACGAAGCGGACAGCTTGTCAGGCTGGCATGGGATAGATTGAACTCGCCTGAGCGACACAGCTCAAAGGCCTAAGGATGGGTAAGCACCTGTGTACCATCAGATTGAATCCGATCAACTCACTTTTTGAACCCTGTTTTGCTCGTCTATGACATGGAACGTGTGGGGTAATGTGCTGGGGACACGGTCCCAGAGGACGCTGAGTTTTGCATTGAGTTTGACATCTTGTGAGTCCATTCCACTCTGTAATTGTGAGTAGACTTCTTGAATAGTTGCTGACTGTTGTGATCACTTCACCGTGTGTTTAAGTGGCCGCTGAATCCCAACATCACAGGGTTGCCAGAGACCTGTGCATCCACCAGGAACATAATCGAGTATGATCCATGGGAAATTTTCGTACATCCAAGTACAAAATTCAAGCGAGGTGTGCACTGGCCAAACGTCAAGCTGCCAGATACACTCTTGGAGGGGGTCAAGTGAGTGCCTTTCCTTTTCGTTGTTGAAATAAGGAACCAGGATGTTGACCACAAATGATTTCATTGTTGTCAGGTTAGCCCAATATGTGTCGTTCCCGGAATACTCGAAGAGAAATCTCAACTCCTTTGCTTCCTGAAAACCCAATGCACTTGCGGAAGGTAGACTCGCTGAGGTTTTCCCTCGGAATATGGCTTGGAACGGAAGAAGAACTCCACTAGCTGAGATAGCAACATTAAGTGTGAATGCCCATTTTTCGTCATAGCCAACGGTGGAGATTTGACATGAGCCCTTTAATTCGTATGTTGATGTTGAGCTTTGCTGATATATCACTTGTGTCTGATCAGAGTTAACTCGGAGGGTGTCAGGTATCGCATATTGACGAATGGAATAAGCCTGGCGAAGGAGCGAAGCACGGAGCTTTTGGGCAGCATCTCGTGGAATTTTCTGAGTTGCGTGTGTCGCCTGCCGAAGACTCCAATTCATCTCATCTCTGAGAAACTTGCGGACCCAATTTGTGCTTGCCGCAAATATGCTTCCATCCTTACTGACAACAGATCTAAGGATTTCAGGCCGGCTATGCATGATCTGGGCAAGAATAACCCCACGTATCTGATGCACATCCAGTACCGCACCTGCCTGATGGACACTTTGTAGCATCTGTTTGATTCTTTCTACTGTCTCCGGATGTTTGGCCTGGGATGCTTTGGTAAGTGAAATGTTGTCAAGTTAATAACTAAACACACCAGAATCCCCCTCCTTGTTACAGTCCCACCTGGGCAGTTTTCTCTCGCGACCTTCGTGTCAGAGACGGGATTATTGTCAGAGGCTGGGATATTGTCGGTGTCGGAGATTGTGGCAGAGGTCTGTTGGAGCGCGCACGCGCGGATATGCGGGCGGAAATATGCGGCGCATCCGGAAGCGCTGTTCAAGGTTAGCAGAGTGGGATCGCGGCCTCAGCGACTCAGGTGGAGCGCTGTGCCCTGAGCTTGACGTTTGGGGGAGATCCCGTATTTACAAACTGACACTTACAGCGGACTTCAAACCAGACTTGTGGGCGGAGCGGACCTGTAGGAGGAGCGCAGACTCCGCGAGCACGGACTCAGAGGGGGGAAGCCCCCTTTGCAGAAGGAGGGACTCAGACCAGACAGGGGGGTACTCTAGTTGATTTCAGACTGGGGTCCCCGAAAGTATTTACAAGGTATATAAATAGGCAAGAGGGAATATAGAAAGGCCGGTCAGTCCGGCGCGGTCCGGCGCGGAGATAAGCGGGAATTGTCAAACTAAATAAGGACAAGAGCCCGGGAACTGGAAAGGAGGAACAGATCACTAAACAATAAGTGGCAAGGGTTATTGATGAATAACTGAATGAGATCAATAACCTAGTGCCAATAAAGAGGGGATCAAATGCCGATATTGGCAGGGAAGCAAACAATAAATGGCACTCGGCAAGGAATGAATGATAAGCTGCCAAGTGACAAATGGCCAGAGGAAAAGCGGAGGTCAGCGCGCGGCACCGATACAAGTCCGCAAATAAGCGGGGTTGGTGCGGTGCCGACACAAGTCCGCGAACAGAAGTTGATCTGCCAGCACTGTCACACAAGGACAGCATGAAGGCCAACAGAGGTACAGAGGGGAGTGGGAGTGTTGACCTGACCAGAGGTGTCAAGGGCAACCAGAAGTGGCCAGAAGGTGCAGAGATGGGCAGAGGGTGCGGAGTGGGCAGAGGGTGCGGAGTGGACGGAAGCGGGGCATGGCTGTGACCACATAGCGGGAAGTGATGAGTGTGGTTCAGATGGAGACAAGGCAGGTGTGACTGAATGCCGGGAGCGCCAAGGGCTCAGGAACTGGAGGTAAGGTTGGAATACCGGCAGGGTCTAGGTTCTGATTCTTGGCCAAGTCTCACGCAGTAAGGCAGGGGGCCAGGCATGGGGTTGGGGGCTGGTTAGGATGGGTTTCGGGTTGGCGGATTCGCCTATCGGCATTGGTTCGCCGCTGACGGAGCCCCGGGATTTGTCGGTCATGACACTTCGCTAGTGTCGCTGCAGACCAACATGGCTGTGACCCTGTTCGATCAATCCATTTCCCAACCACATCAGCACACAGCGACTGGAACAACTGCTGACTTCGTGCTTGACAACCCCTTACTATCTCAGTTGGACTCATCTTCCAGCCCACTGTGTCTGTGACGTCTTTTATTATTGTCCAAAAGATCGGTTGGAACCAGTTTGTAGTTTTCGCATGTGTTCTTATTACTTTTTGGGGAGGCTTGGTACTGACTGGATGATGGTTCCTTTTTTGGCGTTTTCGCTCCATCATCCACTCCTCAATGCGGCGCTTTGGTTGCGAGATCTCCGCAACTGGGAGTGCCTGTTAGGTACGGGTCAGCAAACGGGGACGACTGGCGGGACAAGGCTCTGGGGTTGGGCTTCGGCCTCAGCGACTCCAAGAGAGCGCTGTGCCCACCTACTGTCTCAGTGCCCACATTTCGAAGTGGCTTGGGCTGCCTTGTTAGGGGGGACAAACCATGTCGATATTCAGACTAAAGTTATAATAATGTAATATACATATATAATAGTAAGAAACTGAATGGGTCAGGTGACAAAATGAAACAGAATAAGGGCCGGCATCTGGGTCAGAATGCATGGTCGTGACAGTGCCATCGGTTTCAAGACAACAATGGGTGACACTGTCACCTCGCCTTCACAGGTATGGCTCCCATGTTTGATGTGCTACATATAACATCGCTGATCAGGAAGTGTTCCCACCTGTGCATCATCTGCGTACCTCATCATCTTTATTTGCCACTGGCTTCTGAGATGCTCGGTGGCGGCATTGTCGCTCTTTGGCTGACTTACGGGCCTGCTCTACTTTTCTGATGGCAGCTCTCCTCACCGAAAGACGGAGTTCTTCCTGTCTTTCTGTCATCCTCTCATACTCTGCAGCCAACTGGGCTTGGTATTCTTCATGGCTTGTGGGGCTAAAGAAGTGAAGCAATCCACGGCCTTTGTCCTCCTCTTTAATGGTGAGATCCAGCCGCTTCCGTTCTCGTTCTGATGTGCTTGTGTAAGGTACTTCTTCTGAGCGATTCAGTGCAGCAGCTGCCACTGGTGCGGGGGGAGACATGGGAGCGGGGGGAGACATGGGTGCTGCAGGAAGGGTGGGTTTGGTATGTACATGTTGCATATGACAGTCAAGGATTGATTCTAGGAATTCTGCACGTAGGGCCAGTGCTCCATTGCCAGTCTGGAGTGAGTGTTTTTCGGGGAGAAGGCGATGCATTAGAGCATTGAGAGTGAAGAGGCCACATGATGAGGAGTCTGTTTGGTAAGCTATCAGGAGCCACGCAATCTGGAATGGGGCTGTGGACTGATTTGACTTGGAATAGGATACATCAAGCCACCATTGGAGGATCTTGGTAGCTGCTTGAGTGGTGTGTGAGTGTTGATTTCCACCCACTGGCCAACATAGGGAGTCGGCAAGGTAAATAGTGGATTCAGCAGTAGAAATGATGAATGCTATCCAATGGTTGTCGTTGACATTCATTATTCCACCAAATAGGGTTATAGAACCAGATGCAAGCTCAGACCCCAATAGATGGAGGGTGATACAGGTGCGGTCATGTTTGTATCTTTCTAGTCCGTCCTTCTGAGTCACACAACCAGTTAGGTACTGGATCTCAAGTGGGCTCAATAGCCGTGCCTTCACACCTCCATTCCCCAGATCGTCACGTAGAAGTTCGATATGGTACATAATGTCGGTTGTAGTAAGGCAGGACATGGAAAGGTGACGCATCTAACGGAATAACTGCTTGCTCTAATGCTAAAGCTCAGTCTCAAGCTAATGCGCGAGAACTGAGGGAAAAAGGAAACTAATCCAAATGAATGAATATAGTTTGTGGACTTCGCAGATAAGTCCGAAGTGACCAAAATAAGTAAGAAGAAAAGGTGTTGTGACCAAGTAGTCACGCTACTGCGGGAATGTGGCTGTCCGGGCGAGTTCCTCGCTCGGGTGTGGGAATGTGGCTGTACGAAAACTCGTCCGGCCTCCCATAGCACACGGTTCTTCCAACAGCATCAAGCCTCCAATTGAACTGAACACTGATTTTGAGAAACCCAGGACTTTACTGTTCCAGGGGCATGAGAGGAGTCGCCTTTGCGCTGCTGTAATAGCACTGTGGTGTGCTGGGTGGTGGCATACTATCTCCTTGACGTGTGCCACTACATCTCTCCATACCTGCTGCAGGTCACATAGTCGTAGCAAGGCCTCCCAGATATGGAGAATGGTGATGGGGAAATAATATGAGCCAACATGAACCGAACAGGCTGGGTTGTCATCATTGGGGTTGTGCTCGGAGATGAGGTTTTTTATTGAGTGGTAGGTTGGACAATCTATGGTGTGGAGATCATTTTCGGACAGTTGATTGACGGAGGGGGGGTGGTGGCTGAGGTGTATGGTTGAACCTTGTAAATTTGTCTGGAGGACTGGAAGTGTAAACTGGATAAATTCGGTGACAGACAAGTTCCCGTCTGGAAAGTAGGATCCAATAAAATCACCTGGGATGTCGCTATATGAGATAGTCTCATCCGTACACAAAGCAATGCGGTGTGCAAGGGTAAAACCATTCATGAGATGATGCACAGATGCTCAGAAATTTTATGGGGGCGGTGTTTTCAAAATTTTAAATTTTAAATTCAAGGTGCCTTCCATTAGTTAACAATTCAATATAAGTACAGTCATTTGCTTCCGAAATGCACACTTTTCATGCTTAGCACCTAGATGAGAATTTCGTATATATAAAAAATAAATAAAAATTATTAAGGGAAAGACCATCATCTTATCTCTGTGCAGGCAAATTTTGGGAAGAAAATATGGAGTTTCCATGGCGTTATAATGAATCTTCCAAGGGGGATGATTTTGAGGCATGACCTCTGAAGTGCACAGGTGTGGAAAAGGCCATTGCCCAAGTTGCTGATCCGTGCTATCATTGCTAATTATTGATCAGGCATATGGAACCACTGTACATGCTGAATTGGGCCCCACATCTTGTTATTGTGCTTCCATGACCCGCTTTCTGTTTTTATATGCTGCACTATGGTTGCTGTGACTTTATGCTGCATGTAGTGCCCATTTCAGATCAAATATGCTCAAAAAAGTATTTATCCACTCCCATTGGCACTTGTTCTCCTGTCCTTCTTCAACAATACCACAAGTGGGGCTCAAGTACACTGTAGCATGGATCAATTGAATTGCTAATTTGCTAAAAATGCATATTTCAGTGTTTCCTGAAATAACCATGAAGCCAATGTAGTTAATATTCAGCATCTGTGAAGGCATTATCTAGTGGAATGTTATGCAAAAAAAATGGAGTGAAACAGCCCAGTTGTTGTTGAGAAATTGCCGGTGTGTACATCAGAGGTGTGTGCATTTCGGAGGCAAATGACTGTAATATAATTTGGACAACTCCGCACCCCTGCTGGTTAGGTGTCACACGTCACAACGAGTGGCCAGTTTGCAGTTTATATCATGTGCCGAGTCATGTGCCCGTCTCAGCCGGTAGTTGGTCGTGTGAGTACAGTATGGCTGACACTGCACTCGCCACATACTCTTTTGCGCTCCGGAATTCAGAGCGTGTTTCTTGCAATTCGGCAATCAACTCCACATGCGTCTTTGACTCATAGCTTGTTCCCTCAGCTAGGTCCCATTGGATGCTTTTCAGTCCTGCAGAATCCCCATATGCCTCCTTTGGAAGTTCAAATGTTGAACGGAGTGGTGATGTTGAAACAATGAATTTGGACGATGACGAGAATGACATGATGTGCTCTAAATCATCGACTGCACACCTTTTTGCCTGGGAATATGCCACTGGTGTCTCAACTACTGTTGGAGATGTCGTTAAGAAGCCTTGGCTTTGGCATGTTGGGGTGTGTATCGATGAGGAATCCTCAGGTCGCTGCCAATGTACAGCATGGATCATAGGATCAAATATTGGCTGATCGTTTGTATTGTCATCGTTGCCTAAGTTGCCGTCCTCACTGTAGTGATCACTCTGACTGCCAAGGTACATCCCGGGTCCTGAGAGCTGTCAAATGGGGAAGGTGTGTCCTCGTGCTGGTACTTCTTGGCCAAGAGTTGACTGTGGAAGTACATAATCTGCTTAACAGGTGATGTAACAGGCAGAGGGAGATCAGCATGGGTTGAGTGTTCAATACTCGGTGCCAGTTGTCGGTGGTGGATTACAGCTGGGTCAAATGGGTAGACACCAGTTATGCAGAAACAAGTCTTGACATGTTCCTCGGTGACAGAGTCCACCCAAGCCAACCCAAACACAGATAGAAATGAGGTTTTGTTCAACTTCTTTGGGACATTCTCCTGGTTATAAATATCACGGTGTTTGGTGAAGGATCTTTTGAGAAGGGCGAAAATCACAACATCAAGTCCTTGAAGCACATGAGTCATATGAGCAGGATAACAAATCACAACAATTTTGTGCTTGCGTGTGTATGAGATGAAGTCAAGGCTGTAATGGGAGTTGTGCCCATCAACAACAAGGAGACGGTAATGGTCTGTTGCCTTCTCCTCTGTATTTTCATTGAATGTTTGGAGCCAGTCCATTCCAATCTCATGGTCTGTCCAGCCCTTGTCAGAAACAGCAACCCTGCCAAAAGTGAGCTTAGGTTGAATTGTGAACATCAAGACTTATGTGCATTTCAATGGGTTGTTCCGCAACCATTTTGAATTTATGTTTTGTCCTTTGAAGATCATGACTGGTGGCACATAGGAGCCATCAGCACAGACTGTCACAATGACACTAACATTCTCGCGGTTGCCATCACGTTGGACATGTGCCTGTTTTGTCATTTTGTGTGCAATCACTTTGATCTTTTCCCCAGTACCAAATGGGAACCCGCTTTCATCCATCCCATATATGTTCTCAGGCAAGAAGTTGAACTCCTTGTATTGAGCATACAGGAGCTGAAACCAATGTTCTAAGGTAGTGGGGTTGACAGCACCACTGCGAATATTCTCAAGGTTTGAGCTCCATTTCGAATTGAGTCGGTCCTTGTTACGGATCAAAAAATTGTCAATCCAGTTCTTGCCCAGTGTTTGGAGATCAGGATGTCGGACTCGGGCAATTTCTAGTGCATACTCCACAGCTCCACCATGTGCTAAGGGGAAGCCACAGTCTGACATGAGGAGTAAAAAGTCAACAAGAGTATCATTTTCAGCCTGATTTAGCCATGATTTGGCCACAGCTGCTGCTCTATGACTATGTCCACCATTGAGCCTCCTTAGAAATGTAGTATAGGCTACCCCATAATCCAATGCATATTCTTTTGCACAGACTGGCTTCCGGCCTTCCTGCTTGGCGTGCGCTAGTCCAGAATGGTATGATGTGAGAGCTTGCAGCATATGCAGCTCTGCTGCTTGAGCCACCTTTTGCTTTTGCAACCTCAGGGAATCTGCATGCCTAGCCATAGAGGAAGTCAGGTAGAAATTGGCAAGCAGCAGGCGCAAAAAGGGATGACTTAATGAAATGAAGCGTGGATGTAAACCTGCCCAAAATGAGTGCGCATTTTGTCAGAGACCAGATTCGAGATGAGGGAGTGTCTCCGTAGCAGAGGGCTTTGGCCTCAGCGACTTCTGCCAAGAGCGCTGTGCCTAGTGACACGTCCGTGCCCTAACTTACTGACTGGCAATCAGAACCGAAGGGGGGGGGTAACTCTAGTTGATTTTACTACTGGGGTGTAACCTATGTACAAGTGGGATATATATATGGTTACAGCGGAGACGGTTCCGCAATTGGCGGAGCCGAACGGAGCGGAGCTAACGGGGTTTAGACATTAGCCGACTGAATATTACCGACAAGTCGGTTCGCAGGGTTAGCGGAAAGGCAGGCGATAACCCAGAAACGGAAAGGAGGGATAGGCCTGAAGGTGGGCTCTGCAGGGCAGGCGAGTGTATTGCCCAGCGGAGGCAGGGGTGCGCTAGCGGATGTCGGAGCTGTCCGGAAGTCTTCGGGGCTCCGTACTTAGGGAGGCGTAGGTAATAAATTGAAATGAGGGGGTGGTGACCATCGAGGGGTACCGAGAGGATTGCGGAATACGGGGGCTCCGAGGTTAGTGAGGGAGGAGCGGAGTTAGACCGGAGGGATCGGAGGAACCGGAAGTCGATGGCCGGGGATGGATATGACACATTTCATCAAAACAAACAAACATGAGTGCATGTGACACTGGCTTTTTAGTCTTGGGTGACATCCCAAGCTCTGGAGTGCACCCATACCACTGTAGCCCCACTCCTGGAAGCATGGGACACATAACTTTCAAGGATATGAGAAGTTAGGTTATTGCCATTTGCAAAATTCGAGGCAAACTCCGAAATTCAAAATTCCGCAAAATCTTTCACGTCACTGCTCACTCAAAACTCGACCGATTTTGGCGATTTGACATGCATTGGAAAGTGTCCAAGTAGTGCTTCATGATTGTTCGGATGGCGCAGCAATATGAGAAGTTTTTTTTCTTGCCGATTTGCACATGAACAGTGGAATAGTATCGTGATTTGAGTGCAATGTTGTGTGCGCATGTCCTTTATTTAGCACTTTCTGAACATCACAACATTAATATTAGATTATGGAGGCAATGGACATGACATTGGCACTGGGGATGAGTCTGAAGTACAGCCACCAAAATGCGCGACAAATTGGTAAATCATCTGAGTTCGGATTCTCACAACTGTACAGTTCCGCCTCTCTTCTTACTCCCATCTACATGTCCACATGGTCACAACAAGAGGAATGCGATGGGCAGTGGATGTGCCACCACCAAGCGAATCTGATCCCACCGCCACTCACGCAGTAGTGACTGTGGCTAAGCCCATGGTGAATCAGAAACAACGTGGTAGGCGTCGAAAAGAAATGCCACCGCCTGAGATCGTCAACCCCCTTCCTGTGGGCCTGGTGGTTGAGGAACCAAGTGAGCCCCAGGTTGTTTCCTCGGTTCCTGCCCTTGTTTCCCCCATTCTCGCCCCCATTTCTCCTATTCTCGCCTCTGCCGCTGACCCTCCCGTCGTGAGGAAGACCAGAAAGCCGCGCACTAAAGCCAAAGCAATTGAGGCTGACCAAACAGAGCAGATCGGCATTCCAGAGTACACATTTGCGGTTGCAAATGCGCGAATAATTCAAGAAATGCCTAAGGCACCCAGCAGTCCTGCCACTTTGGGCGCAGTTAACCCAAAAGAAGTTATAAATGTCAAGCACGAGAACAAAAAGCTGCAAGTTGCAGCGAAAGTTTCTGCAGTCATTCCTGACTCCGACTATGCGATGATGAGTGAACTTGAAGATCTATCTAGTGATGAATCTGAGATCACTGGTGCGCTGGGCGCAGACGATGCTCCGGCGCTAGTCCAAGAGGAGGCAGTTGAAGGTGAGTGCCAATTCTCATTCCTCACCCCGCTGAGACTGGTGTCATTCATGTTTACCTACTCCTATAGACTACATTATAGACTTCGAAGTTGAGACTGACGATGTCGTCAAACTTCTTCGACTACCCATATCTATGTCATGGTGGACATTCCAGGATCAGATTGCCGAGACAATGGGCTGCCATGAGACCCGGCTACGCTTGGGCTATAGGCTCAGCACTGCAAGAGCGGGAGAGAAGGCACACAGCCTCGAGACACTGGACGAGTATTCCGAAATGCAACAAGAAATAGTCTCAGAACGTGAGAAACGGGTGGTCCTCCAGAAAAAGGCGTCCAAGATGAAGCCTCCGAAGGCGTTGAAAGTGTTGATTAAGGACAGGCGAAATAAGGCTGAAAAAAAGGTGTGAGAGTAGATAGATGTTCAAGAATCTCATGCAACGCTAATGCTAACAAATTTGTAAGACCATCGCGAAACCAAAAACCGCCTCAAAAACTTCTTGTGCTAAGCTCAACAATAGTGCCGATCCAGACTTGGTCGAGTCCACATCGGCAACGTATATGCGGCAACTCACAAACAAATATGGCAACTGTAATCAACATGGAGGGGAATCCTGTTTTGTCCGGCCTGATGGGACTCATCGGCACTTGACCATTGCAGAGCTCACTTTGTGGGCAATTTCCATCATAAGTCTGATATTGGTTTGCTTGCTATGTAAAACTTATGAATACATAGGAATTGCACTGTGCAACCCTCTCAGTTCCTCCTGACTCGCTCAAACTTTCAAGTGAGAATGATACTCGTCTGCCCAAACCCAGCAAGTCTAAACAAACACCTGGTGCGACATCCGGTTATCCTCCACCACCAATTCCAGGTGCCATGTGGCCATATCCCACAGGATTTGCGCCGTTCAATACCACCGTGCCTCAGGCATATGCAAGTCACGACGCAGGTGTAAATCCCGGTGCAATTCCAATCCGTCAGTTCGCATTTTAGGATGATCTCATGTGTTGCTCACTGTTGCTTCTGTTTATAGCGCTAAATTTACGCTACATGTCAATTGAAAGACTCCTTGAAGTGCTTGATGAAGAAGAACTGCCGCCAAAATCTCACCTCGCGATGAAGTACAAAGAGCAGTTTGCATCACACGGCTTTCGCACCATCTACAATTTGACTGATACCGATTATCTCAGCCCCAAAGTACTCAGTGAACTCCTTGAGCCTAAACCCCCCTTTGCGACCTGTGTACGCATTATAAGGCGTGCGAAGGATGAAGTACAACACACTCAAGATGCTTATTTGTCTGGCGATAGGTCGGTTCTCATCTAGTACTTGGTTTACAACCGCTTCACACCCTCGGTTCCCCATTCACACTCTTTTCCCGTGCAAATATATACCTTTCATGTAAATACCTTGCATTTCTCATTTAGTTCGTGCTCCCCAGGTGGCGGATGATGTTTAGTAATTATGACCGATCACGTGTTACAAGCCTTGCCTGCGCACTGTCACAAGCAAGGGGACATCGGAGCCACAACTCCACACCACCTCAGCCATCATCCTCCATTTCACATCATGTATCACACAGGCCCTGATGGGATGGGCGATAGCCTTCATGGCCGTGAGTTCGGAGGTGCCACACAGGCGGGTTCATCAATAGCTCATGCCCGCTCATGCTCCATAGCATCGACCAGCTCCCGTCACCACTTGAAAGGCTACCAGACCCCGTCCTCTTCATCGCTAAACCTAACTAGCCATTTTATGTTGCGAAACCGGTCTCATACCCCAGATCCTCTTCCCTTAGCCACGTCACCCACCTTGTCGACGTTTTCAAGTCCGTCTCACATGGCGGTTAGCTTTGCAACCTCATCCCGCCCGTTGATTACCCCTCCCCCTACGTCTCCGCCTCGCCCTCGTAGGCGTTTGCGCAAGAAGTCGCGTCCACAAGATTTCGACCCCAATGCTGCGAATTCCTATTCTGGCGATTCGTCGGGATTGCGCTCATACACTCCCTTCAGCTGTGTCGATGAAGATCAAGATCAACCGTTATTCGATGATATTCCTGAGGAGCGTGTATCGGGTACCATCACTCCATTACCAGTGCGAATAAAGTCTCCGAGTCCCCGACTGATGTCCAACGATTCCCCTGCTGCTTTTCCGGTTCCAACGCCATCATCTCCACCGACAAAAGCCCCATTGCTTTCCCGTATCAGCTCCGTGAAACGTTGGCGATCGCACGGATCTTCTCAGACCAGCAAAGATTTCGCTGGAGACATTTCTGTCGATTCCGGTACCAGCATCCCTTACCAACCACCTAAAACACCAGAGCCGTCTTTCTCGCGAGCTGTCACCCCAGCGTCGCCTTCAACGAGCCGAAATTGGCTTTTTAGGACTACTCCTAGCCCCAACTCAAAGCCAATGCCAGATCCCGGGCTCCATCTCAGCAACAGCAACAGTGCGTATCCCACATCCCGTTTCAGGAAGCGGAGCTCAACCACTGCCGGTTTCATTCACCTATATGATCTCGAAACTGGCACATGCGTCTACATGAACGGTATCAGCGGCGAAACTGTCTTCGTTACTGCAGAACATGAGGCCACTAACGGTATTATCGGGGTTAATAAGCAGGGCCCGGTGTTGAGTGTGAGCGCTGACGAGCAGACCGTCATCCCTTACATTCTTACCGTTCTGAACAACACCGAGCTGGCGGTCAAATTAGCTAGCCGGGCAAATTTACCTGGTGCTGACGAGCTGTATGTTCAGCAGTATCAGCAGCTTTTCGCCTCCGGCCAATATAGTGAAGCTGCCAAGATTGCGGCCAATTCGCCAAGAGTGAGCGATAATTCGACACTCTTATGTTGTTACGCACTGACGATTGCTCTCAGGGCATTCTTCGTACACCGCAAACCATAGAGCAATTCAAGCAAGTTCCTGTTCAACCAGGCACTCTTTCGCCCATATTTCAGTACTTTGGTATTTTACTCGAGAAAGGCAAGCTTAACAAGCATGAGTCACTTGAATTGGCGCGCCCTGTTCTTGCCCGGGCCGTAAGCAACTGGTTGAGAAATGGCTCAAAGAGAACAAGGTAACAACTCCTCATCCAGCGTGAGCATAGAGGTTGACCACATAAATTGCTCCAGCTTGAATGCACAGAAGAACTTGGCGACATTGTTCGCTTACACAACATGACCCTCGCTCTCTCGGTATATCTTTGCGCCAACGTCCCCAATAAGGTTGTCGCATGCTTCACCGAGACGGGCCAATTCAACAAGATTCTATTGTACACAAAGAAAGTCGGCTACCACCCTGATTATGCGGCGCTTCTTCAGCACATTATGCGAGCGAACCCTGAGAAGGGTGCCGAGTTTGCAGCCCAGCTTGTAAACGATGAGAATGGGCCCCTTGTAGATATCGAACGCGTCATAGACATCTTCATGTCACAGAACCTTATTCAACCCACCATGTCCTTCCTCCTGATGCCCTCAAAGATAATAAACCTGAGCAGGGTCATCTTCAGACTCGTCTCCTTGAGATGAATTTAGTTCATGCTCCCCAGGTGGCAGATGCAATTCTCGGAAATGAGATGCTCAGCCATTACGACGACCACATATTGCCAACTTGTGCGAGAAGGCCGGCTTATTGCAGTGTGTATGCGATTCTCAAAGTTAGACTATTTTTCACTGACCAAGATTCCGCAGGCTCTCGAGCATTACGAGGATCGGATCAATATGCGCGAAAACCTTCAGGTGGTGGTCCAGATCGCAACCAAGTATTCCGACATTCTTGGTCCAGTCAAACTCATCGAGTTATTCGAGTTGTATAAGAGCTTCGAGGGGCTATATTACTACCTTGGCTCGGTCGTAAATCTCAGTCAAGACTCCGAGGTTCACTTCAAGTACATCCAGGCCGCTACTCAGACTGGCCAGATCCGCGAGGTTGAACGAATCTGCTGTGAGAGCAATTACTACAATCCAGAAAAAGTCAAGAATTTCCTCAAGGAGGTGAAACTTTCCGATCAACTCCCGCTTATCATCGTCTGCGATCGCTTCGACTTTGTGCACGATTTTGTTCTTTATCTTTATCAAAATGGATTGGTCAAGTTTATCGAGGTTTATGTTCAGTGCGTCAATGCGGCCCGCATGCCTCAGGTTGTGGGTGGCCTCCTGGACGTTGACTGCGATGAAGCGACTATCAAAAGCCTTCTCACCTCCGTTATCGGGATTTTCCCCATTGATGAGCTCATCGAGGAGGTTGAGAAACGTAATTGCCTTTGAACATTCTACAAAATGTAATTACATTTACGGAACCATGAATGTGCAAGTTCAGGTGTGATACGGAAAATATATTCATGCAAACGGGTGATTGTCGCGATTTTGGCATCATCATTATCAGTGATGCACATATCCTCACGAAGCACCTCATCGCGTTGAGTCAAACCTTTCAGCCAACCAAAGGATGGTTCGATTGGGCTGAAATCAGGGCTGTAAGGTGAAAGATAGACAACTTTTTTGCCACTAATAAAGACTTGTTAGCGTCACTTGTTGAAATAGAAGTAGACATGTATATACCTTGATTCGATCATTGACTTGATGTGTTCCCCTTTGTGAATACGGCAATTGTCCATCACGACAACTGAATTCGGCCCAGGAAAATCGCTCATTTGCGCCAGTAGCCCATTGATGAAATCGGTGAATAGCTCGGCAGTGAATGAGCCTTCCACAATCTTCAGCCAAATAATGCCATCGAGGCATAAAGCTGGCAAGACGGAGTATCTGAGCCTTTGTATGAGATTATTTTCCACAAAAGATGAGAATTATTCATACCTTCGACCCCGAATGAAGTGGCAGCGCTTTGTCGCACGCTCCCCACGGAGAGACCAACCATAATCCCGATATGTAGTACGCTTATCAAATGAACTCTCGTCAATGAAAACTAGCTGCTCTGGCTTATATTGTCCAATTTCGAGTAGAAAATTGGCCCGTTTGACTTCGCTGCGCTCGATTGCCACCTTCGTCATCTGTCACGAAATCATGGTTAATAAATACAAGGGAAATGGGTATAAATAGCCACCTTTTTCCATGTCAATCCAGCATTCTGTAATGCACGCCAAATGGTGGAAAGGGATACATCAAGATCCCGGAACTCACGCAGGTGAGCTTGGAGTTCTTCGAGGTAAAAATCTTTGCGGAATTCCAACAGACCTAACAAGTACTAACCTATGCACTTAGAGAGGCCAGGAATATAGTGATTGGAAAAATACTTACGCTGATATCATTCTCTTCTATGAGGCGTGGCCGACCAGCTTTGGATGGCCCATGTGAAATTCTGAATGCGCCACCATTCGCCTGGCAGTTTTCACGTACACGATACACTGTCCGTAAGCTCACACCAGCTACCAATGCAATCTGTTCAGGATGGACATGGAGTGCCAACATCCTTGCAACAACATTGCCACGTTCCTCAGTGATCCTCTGGACACCTGAAGTCACCAAAACAGTAGGCGCACTTGTAGGTGCACAGGGGACAGTGCCACTCAGAGGATAGTCCATGGTCTAGCGGGTTTGTTCAACAACGGTGGCTTTGCTCTCGTGACTATGATATTAGGAGTTGTCCGAATTATATTACGCTTACACATTGTTATGTTGTTCCCTTTGGCTTTCCAGGAATTAAACCAAGTCATACGCTCTTTGTGTAACCTGGGGCAGGGCTGATTCAGACTTTCAAGACCTCTCAGCACGGAAAACACGAGAAAAAAAATTTTTGTTTAAAAACAATTTGGTTTGCACCTGCTTCATGCGCTACTCGGACGCTTTCCAACGCATGTTGAATCACCAAAATCGGCCCAGTTTTGAGTGAGCAGTGACGCGAAAGATTTTGTGGAATTTTGAATTTCGGAGTTTGCCTCGAATTTTGCAAATGGCAATAATAGTCACCATAACTCATTTATTTCATGTCCGATCTGGCTAATTTTTTGCATAGTCATAGTAGTAGTTATGATGGACAAACATGAAAAGAATGGGGGGATATCATTGCAGAATAAGGATGTTGTGGATGAAAAAACCATTGATGGGTGAAAACCGTTCACGTGTGAATTACTGTATAGGTGGTCTAAATGCGGCAATTGTCTCTCACATATGCATCTGTTGCATGATGACATAGAGACAGAGGTGAGGAGGCTCTAGGCAAGGTTACCAGCCTCTATTAGTATAGAGGCTGGGTGTAAGGAGTGGTCACCCCACCCTTTCTTATTGTTCATTTGTCTCACATTAATTGTTGTTTAATGTTTTCATTTCACGAGACTAATCACAGGGCAACGATCGAACTCGGCCCAGCCAATGCTATGACTTCCCCTGGCTCGATCACCCCGATGTGCCTGTCTCAGCACCACACTTGCCCCTTTGCCGCTTTCATGAGTTGCTGTGCAACCTGACCATTTGATGGACCCAGGGACTGTGCCTCAGTCGTATGCTGGGTTTTCTGGCATGGATGTGCGAAGCGGACCACACCAGTGGAGGTACGTACTGAACTTCACTCATCACGAGAGTGCTCACGACAATTCAGGCCATGCTTATAAAAGGGCTTTCACAGCGCCCCCTTTTCCTTCCTTATTGCCTGAATCTCTTGCGACTCTCGTGGTGAGTACAAGGCCAACTTGCTGCTGTTCTTTCGAACTCACTCTCATGATTTTGCTGCTGCTGCCGCTGCTGCCTCCCTGTTCCCCTTGCTGCATTTCCCCCCTCGACTCATGCATATCCGCTGCTGCAGTCTCACACTAGTTTTTGCTTCTCTCTCTGATTCTTTGAATATCTTACGTTTCACACACATGTCTGAGCATGCCCAGGCACAGGCAACAAGCGGTTCAGCAGATGCCTGACTTTCTCTCTTTGAAGGGCTCGACCTTGAGCGTATCGCAATGGGACCCATTGACCAATTGCTCCTCGACCAGCTTGATAGCCTCAAATCAGAATACTCAAATCGATCTATCGGATTGCATGGGGCTTATTGACAGCTCTGGGATCTCCTCAACCATGCCACCAATCTCAACAGCCAGCAACGAAGCAAACTTGCAGACTGGTACATCGCCCATTTCGACCAATCTGTGCAACTCAGAGAAGAATCAATCATTCGCAGAAGTCAGCACCAAACAACCTCCGAACGTGTCCCATCAGGAGGTATCAACCGTTCCGATGACTGTACCACCAGAGTGCCCGAGCAAGTCAGACGAACCCTCCCAACTGTTGGATCTTGCCGACAATGGGATGATGATGGGGAAGATGAGCGTGGGGGAACTACCAAGCGCCCATGAGAGGTTGATGACAACCATGATGCTCGATATGCCTGGAACTGGGATTACCCAGGAGGTAACCGGCCCTGGGGTGTTAACGACTTACTTAGTAACCAACAGAAAACCCGATGCTTGTGGAACATCTACAACCTTGACCCTAAGGCAGCGGTCCAAAGCCTCGCTGCACGTGGACAACCACCAGCCTTTCCCCATACACTCTGGTGCGACCTCATCTGTGACAAACACATCGACCTTGCTACCATCGTCAAAGACCACAATGCTGTTGCACCCCAATACCACAACTCCATTGACCTCGGTGGCGGGGCCGAACTCACTCTTGGCAAGTCCAGCTCCAAGGGGAAAGTGAAGATCAGAACACAAGGGGAATGGATCACTGGCTTTGAGAAGTATAAGCATGCACTTCTCTACACCTACCTGCATCATTGAGAAGAGCTCGACACCTACTATGAACACATCCAGGACAAGTTCAGTGCCTGTGCCGACGAACTTTCTGTCATCAGTTATGACTCTGCAGTCCGGAAATTTGTCCAGGAATGCTACCATCTCTCCTTCACTGACTTCCACCTCTTTAGCAATATCGCCTTCAAACTCCTTAGACACAGCAGCAGCATCGGAGTGTCAGGGCACACCCACCTGACCTGGCTCCACCCAGCCCAACCTGACCTGGTACCCCGCTGTCCACCCTTCTTCACCTCCTCCCCCTTCCCCTTCCTCTCTCCTCATTCTCCCTTCCTCACTTTCTTCCTATCTTACTTCTTCTTTATTCTCTCTTTATTCTACATGGACGACCTTCTTTGTATCAATGTACCATTGACCCATCTGCTGCGTGCCCACCATGTACCTGGCCCGGGCACCTCAGGCGACTTCCTGCTGTGCCCAGCACACGTGCATGCACCGGATGGCCTGGGGATCTCCCATGGAGACACCCGGGTGGTTACAGCTGTGTGCGAGGGTGACGTGGCACCTGTCATGTGATCTAAGCCGCATGTATATAAATGAACCTGAAGTGGGAACCGAAGAAGTAGCCTTCTTCTCAACTTTCCACTTCAGTCTAAGTGGCCAGGGACCACTGTCCCACATCAGGCCTGTCAGTACGCACGCCCGATCCGCCCCCTGCCAGGCTCTCAGCCCTGGACGCTACACCTGGGCTCCCTCGACCCCGGATGAGTCCCTGACACGGAGCCCATGGTGCGCAACTCCAATCTCGTGGAAGGGGTAAGCAAGGGAAAGGGATGGGAACTTCCCCCATCTGTGGTGAATTTAACACAAAGAAAGGATGCTTGTACGATCCATGCAGATTTAGACATGTCTGCCAGGACTGCAGTGGAGACCATCCCCGATTCAAGTGCACAAAGGAGCCTGGCCAAAAGACGGCTGCCTGAGGAACTCTCTATGGGACTTGTGCATGCTGGGCAGTGGCCACGACATATGCGCTTTGTATTTGGCCACAATGACTATGGACGTACTCCTTCTGCCACATACACAGAAAGTGTGCAGCCAATCCCATCAGTCCCTCCTGGCGATTACAGATATAAAAACATTTCCCAAACGATTGCTAAGCACCCTTTCCTGTTCAAAATCATTACACCTATCAATGTTGACCACTTTGAGAGTTTGTTAGTGGGTCACCCAAATCGCGCACTTGTGGAGTCAACGTGTCATGGATTGCGCCATGGTTTATGGCCTTTTGCAGACACTGATGATCCTAAGCTGCAACCCGAGGGTATAGTTGCACGGCCCTCAGGCCTGCCTAACCTCGATGATGAATTAGTCGAGTTTCTTCGGCGACAGCGTGATGCCAAGATCGCTCTGGGTCGATACTCCGAATCCTTTGGGGTATCTCTACTGCCAAGAATGACAACGCAGCCAGTGTTCATGGTGCCAAAGAAAGGTTCATCCAAACTTTGGCTCGTGAATGATCACAGCACAGGAATGAAATCCCTTAATTCCCTCATCCCAACTGAGGGA